CTTCATTTCCTTCCAAAAGCATAATAGTAAAATACAAAACTAGAGCAAATTTAAAGGGTGAACAAAAAATTGAGTAAAAAAAAAATTTGCCAAAAATATCAAAAGTCAATAAAGAGGAAGGAATTCGAACTAAACAAAAAAACGCATACACACAATTGCGTAAAAATAACTAAAATTGGTTTGTCAGTGGCGTAAGATGAATTTCCAGCCAAAGGCTGCCCGGAGGTGGCGGATGCCGCAGCATACAACAAAAAGTAGGCGTGGCAGTAAGATAAAACTCTTTTGTAAGCGTGCGGGATAGCCGTGTCACTGGGTAATCCAACAACAACAACAACAGAACTTTGATTCTACGACGCAAACAAATAATAGAGCAGCCAAAGAGAGAGGAGGAGATTTGCATGGCTAGAGGCGGACAGGCTGCTGCTGCGGGGGGTCCGGGAGGAGCTTGAATGTGTGTGTCAAATAAACATATTTGGCCCACATTACCTTCCGCCTTCCATCCATCCCCGTTCGGATCGTCCTTGGAAGGAAGGCATAAAATATCTGCAAAGCGCATTTAAGCCGCGCGCCACACAATAAAAATAAATAAAAGGGAAAAGACGAACAAAAAAGCACAGAAACCAAAGGTGGAACAATTTTCGTGTAGAATGATGGCGCCGGCGGAAGGGGCAGTGGCAGTGGGAGCTGGATATGTCGAGGGAGGCAGACAGGTAAAAGAGAAAGGCAAAGACATAATAATAATAAATATTCAGTTCAGTTTCAGTTTTCAGGTGCTCTATTTTAATGGATACCGTGTAGGATTATAGAGGGACGGTAGGAAAAGATCCTTCCACAGGTCATCTTCAAATGTACCATAGTAAAGAACAGTTTTAAGAATTTAATAAAAGAGCTAATTAACTTTTTGGTCAACATTTAAATTGATACATACAAAAATCATTATCACCCCAAAGAAACTATTCAAAGTAATCATAATTCTAAGGAATACTCCAGGAATGAAAGTATTTAAGGACTGTCACTAGGAATAATTTTCTATATGTTTCTGCTTGTAATTACTATTGGGTCAATTACAGGATAAATCTACAGCCGCTTCACTCTCCTTCAATTCCAATTTTGTAGGAGAAGCTCATGAATGGAACTGCGATGTGAATGAATAAAAAGCGAACTAAAGCGGGGCAAAAAAGGCTTCCACCGCCCCCACATGTGATGGTGGAGATGGAAACTGCAGCCTGCCGGCAACTGTTTTGCTCTGTGGCTGTGTGTAGGAGACAGAGGATGAAACAGAGAAGAAAGCACACAGAAGGTGAAAGTGAATAGGGGTGCAGATGAGGCAGAGAATGGGGCGGATGAGGATGAGAAGCAGTGTTGGGGGCAAGTAAGTAAACCAAATCCGAATAAACAGGGATTTGCATTCATAAAATATATCGCATGTGAGCAGAGCATTCTTTCTCCCTCTCTCATTCTCTTGTTCGCTCTACCCTCAGGTACGGGCTAGGCACAAATGGAGGTCATGATTCTGTGTGCGTGAGCGTGGTGTGTGTGTGTGTGACCCTCTGAGCAAGTGTGCGTGTGTATATGTGTGTTTGTGCAAATTATGCAAATCGCAAGCATGAAAAACAAATATTAAACTTTTCATGGAAGAAAAAAAAAAAGAAATTAAATAAAAATTTTACAAAAGACATAAAAACCAAACGGTTGCGTTTCAACCAGCCTTTAGCCTTCAACCCACCCCACCCACGCACACACATGGGTGGGCCTGCAGGAGGGTTGGGCTGCATGACAAACAGGCAGCCGCAAAATGCGGGAAATGGATCCACAGTTTGAGGCAAGAGATATGAGAGGAAAGCAGCCAGAAAACATATGTACGAGTATGTATGTATGTACATAAATCTGTATATCTAGCCGAGTCCCGCGTAATGATTGTACTTACATATGTATGCATGACCTCCCATTACCCCACTTCCAGGCCCTCTCTCTAGCGACTCCCCACAAAAGTTGTCAACTCAAACAAGAAGTGAAGGCGCTAGGTTTCGGGAATATACGCATTTGATACCCTTCAGATCCCTCCTACGATAAGGGTATGAAAACAAACAAATAGAAATTCGAGACTACTTTTATTTTTGTAAAAAACTTGCGTGCCTCCCTCAGGGGGAGTGTCGCCTGAGAGGAGGTTGTTTTTAAACGAGAGGTGCTCTAACCAGTGGTGGTCTCAGGGGTTTCGGAGCGTAGCGGTTAGGGTGCGCTGGGTGCGGTTGTCTGCACGTGTGTCTGGGCCTTGTGCTCCAAAGAGCAACTAGTTGTAGACCAGGCCCAAACCAAATTCATTTTGTTGTGGCCAAAAAAAATAAACCGAGAGGGAGCGAGCGACAGGCAAAAATATGTGTAAACACGCAGATTGTTTGTGCCACCCAACTGTCCCCACACGCCCCGCTGCACTCTGGAGTCGCCGTCGCCCCCTAACTATCCAACTTCCTCTTGCTTCCTCTCCTCTCTCTCTCTCTCTTGGAGACAAGCCGCGCTAAATAAAATCTCGCACGCTTCGTTTGGATATGAGAAAAACAACTTCCCTCTAGGCCCCCCTTTCTTACCCGCACTTTCTCTCCAACTCTTTCGGTGACGCTTCAGTAAAATGTCAAACAATTTCACAAAAAACTAAAAAAAATAGGTTTGACAACATTCGCGTCTGGCGGCCGCCCAGAGACATGTTTCAAAAACTCAAATTGTTGGCGGTTGCACGTGCCACGCCTGTCACAAAATAGAGTTTCGTTTTAGTTGGGTTTTCAACTGTGAATTTTCCATTTCCACGAAGGACTTCAGCCTCAGCATCAGCATGTGCAGACGGATGCAGATGTTTTAAAATGAAATAATTTGTTTTCAGCAATTATTTGTTACAGTTTTTTTTTAATAAACGACATGAGAAATTGTATAAGAAGAATTCCAATATCTAAAAGAAAAATTCTAACGGCGAAAAATATTAATTTCTATAGCTAAATGTTGGGTATCGTTTCACACGTGCATGATTTGAGCCCCACTTATTTATTTCTCACAAAGCGCCAGCAATTCGAGTAAATTGCCTGTCAATCAACTCCAGAGTTCATTAAACGTGCCTCTCTCTCTCTCTCTCTCTCTCTTCCTCTTTCCAAGCGCCGCTTTTGACGTCATAAGCGGTGCACACGCACTCACTCGCCCCAAAACGGAGAGTGATAAATGTTTGAAACAAAAGTGTTACTGACCTCACATTACATGTAAAAAACGTGCAGGTTTCCCCCTCAGTCTTACTCCTTCTTTTTTTCGGGTGTCCAAGCGCCAACGAGCAGGACAGAGATATAGGCAGAGCGAGAAAGATGGCAGCAGGCTTAAGTAAAGGGAAAGGAGAAACGAACCGCACACACACACACACACACAAATACACTCTTTCAGGCTCGGCTCAAAGTTCGTCGGTTGTCCGCTTTTGTGGTGGCTTCACTTTTCACACTTTTCGTTTTCGTTATGTTGTTATGCCTCTCTTGGAATTTCTAAACAAACAAAACCAGCAAATAAAAACTAAGAGAGAGAGAGCGAGAACAGGAGAGAGACGACTATGGGTGCATTCCAGGTGCTGCCAACGCAAACCGAAGCAGCAGCAGCAGCAACGAACGCTGGAATGCAGGCACCAAAAACAACAACAACAACAACAACAACAATAGCAACGTCACAGGCTTGCATTTACAGCAACAAAAACTTGCCATGTTGCTTTTTTTACAGCAAGGTTGATGGAAGGGCGGGGAGTGGGAGTGGGGGGACCGAACATGTTTAAGCGCGATCGCTAGAGAGAGAGGGAGAGCAGGGACAGACAGTTGCTGACTGGCTTTTCAATTGGAAATGGAGTGTATGGGGTGGGGGAGGGGGAATGGGAATGGGAGTGGAGGATTGGTTAACTGGAGTGGGGAATGACCACTGGGGAGAGCTGTGCTGTCGTCTGTGTGTGGGTTTTTGGGGATGCTTTTGTGTGTTCGGGATTGTTGAAATGCTAAACCGGAATGTGGCTCATTCAGTGAAAAGACCATAATAACGATCATCATCATGAAGTTGAATGACGATCAGCAGCATCGAAAGCCGAGTTTGGGGCAGCATCGTCGACGACGTCGTAACTTGAGGCCGGCAATCTATGCGCTGTGGTTGTTGTTGTTGTTTCTCTCTTTGGCAATTTTCTCTCCCTCTCTCTCTCTCTCGCTATCTCTGGTAGTTGTTGTTGCTTGTTTTTCTGGTTTTGGCATTCATTCGCGCTCAATTGCGCCAGATTTGCGTTTTTTTATGCTGCTGCGGCTGCGGCTGCTGCCGATCGAGTCCACGCTTCATTTCAGGCAAGCTCTGGTTGTTGTTGCTGGTGTTGTTGTTGTTATTGCTGTGGCAGACAGCGCTCCAAACCAAAAATGTCGCCAATGGATCAGAGCTGAAGTCAGAGCGGTTGGAAGAGGGAGGTTGGGCGGGAAGAACAGTGTAGAGAGAAGAGTGGGGTAGCGTAGAGAGTCTAGAGCAATGAGTGCTGCACAGCGTGTACAGTTGCAGCATCACATTGGAGGCCAGGTTGGCAGTCCTCCTCCTGCTGCTGCTGCTCCTTCTCCTGCCCCACCTCCTTCCTCTTGCTCTTCTTTATTTTCCCAAGAAAATTCCCACAAAGTCAAAGGCAGTGGCGCTGGCGGCGGAGCAGGAGGGGTCGCTTGGGTAATGGCGTGTAGAAAAAGAATCACGTTTATACCGTTTTGTACTGATTTCTTACCTCTTCCCCATCATCATCATCATCATTTTCTGCCTCTTCTTTCACCTTCTATGCCGCAACTTCTCTTTCTCTTCTTGTCATGGCTTTTCAAGTGCAATTTCTGTTGCAGTGCATTTCTTTCACACACACACACGCAGGCAGAGTGAGAGAGAGATATACACGAACACATGCACAAACGTTCATTAAATATTTTCGTTGTTGAATAATTTTCCCAAAAAAAAAAATACTTCAAGTTCGCCCTCACCTTGTCTGCACCTTGCGCTGCTCCAATGATTTTGCTGCTTGTAGTTGCTGCTGCTGCTGCTGTTTAATTGCACTTTTAAGTGAATTAATCACCTTTCATGCTACCTCTTTTGTTGCTGCCTCTTTTGATGGCCTTTTTGTATCACGCAACTATTATTTTGCATACACTCTTTTTCAACGGGGGTTTTGCCTTTCTTTCATTCAATTCCCAGAGCTGCTGCTTCTTTTTTTGCTTTTGTAATTAATTGAATACACACAGACACACTGATACACGCGCGTGTAGAAGAGAGGTAAGGTACGCACAAACAGACACACACACACACACACAGAGAGACACCTGGAACAAACGCGCGGACTCGGATTATTCTTCGGGAAAACACGTCGGTCGACAGGTAAGCCGCGTGAGCAACTGAGACGCCGACCTGGCCATGGCTTCGCTTTGGGCCACGATCGCGTCTATCTACATATACTCGTCTTGCGTCTGTATAGCGATCTCTTTCTAGCAGCGGCATGCAGCAGACGTCTCTCTTGCACCTGTGCAATTGGGCCTTGGCGATCGACCAGAAATACGTTACAAAGCACCGTTTGAATTTTACCTGTGACGCGCACCTCAACCCAAGAGAGTAGAGAGAGAGCAAACAACTGGGAGAGTTGTTGGGAGAGGAGAGTAAGAGCGTTGAGCGTTGGGAGAGCAAGGTGAGAGCGCTGTTTACCTGTCGCCATTATATCTTCTCTCGTTGCGATTGTCGCTGCTGCCCCGCTGCGGCCGTTTATCTTTCCAGACGAAATTAGCTGCTACCAAACAATTGTACGAGCGTTTTTCTGTGTGTGGGTGTAGGAGTGGGAATAGGAGTGTTGCCATGGTGCATGTGTTTGCATAAAAAATCGAACTGCAGCCATGACATTAAGAAACCTCCAATACCACTCTGCTTGGGAAACGAAGACAAACTAAAAGCTTGCACGACGAAATTCAAATTCAAATGTCGAGAGGCCGTTGCTGGCGCTGCCAGAGGGACGCGATCCGGGCTGCCACACCATAGTCTGAAGTGCCGCCACCTATCGGACGAATAAGGAAGCTCTACATATTAGTCCCTAAGAAAATACACTGATGGCGCTGTAGTAAAATTTAGAATGTTTCATACCGGCAAGCTTTTGCCAGAGTGACAGCAATATTAAATATAATATAATATATATATGAACATATATAATATAATAATAATAATATAATATAATTGTCTTTCTGTGCCAATTGTGGGCCGGGCCGACTTGGATGGGATATGGCTGGGCTCCCTGTGGTCGGAGGTTCTTGTTCTTAAGGTGTTCTTATCATGGATTAAGATTAAGAATGAAAAAGGGGCCATATAACCTGGTAAATCGTTATGACCAGCAAGTTGAAGCATCAAGGGTACTCCGCTCAGGTCAAAGCAAACTCTCTTTATCATAATCATCATCGCCCCTCACCTCCTGCTTAATTCATTTTTCCGCCTCTGGAAAGTTGCATAAATCTCTGAAATTACCCAAACACTCGAAAAGCTTAACGCAGTCAGTTGAGTAATGCTGCAAATTTTGCACGGGGTGTGGTACGAAGGGGGTGGGAAAGCGTGGTGGCAGAACGAGGAAGAAAAGTTAACCGCAGAGCGAAAAATTTCGGCAACGAAGAAAACGTCATAAAAACGATTTTACAACCGAATAAGCAACCGCAAAAACGGAATGACAACGTCTGGCTTTTCCATTTACACTTTTCCCATTTTCATCCTCTTTAATTCACGCCCTTGGTTCACCTCTTCGAAACGGAAATGAAGCCGACGAAGCGGCTGAAACAAAAAAGCGAGAAACCAAAACCAATCCTGGGGCCGAAACGAAACTGGCAATACCTATGGCTGATCGTGGGGGGAGGGATATTCTGCTTGATGGATTTCGACTGGTGTGCTTCCTGCCCCAATGGGGAGCAGAGGAGTAGGGTATCCGTCTCGCCATTTTGTCTCTGTGGACACACCAAAAGCCAAAGGCTTTTTTATGGCCTATCAACGAACGTCTAATGCCGGCAATTAAAATAAACGGCAACAAAGCGAAAGCCTGCCTGAGGCAAAGCTTCGGCTTCCTCTTCCCCTCCTCCAAGGCATGCTAAGATCTTAGCGAGAGAGAGAGCGTCCTTGCCAAGGGGGCGTGCTACCAACGCCTTCCAGCTGCTAGAAAATGTGCGTTTAATGAAATTTTTATTCAATCAGAGCGCAGCAACTTTTATGGCAGCACAGACACTGACTGAAAGGGGAAATTTGTCTGAAAGGCGGGTAGGAACCTGTTGAGTCTGAGTTTATGATAAAGTGGCCTCTTTCACTGGCATTCCACGTCCATCCCTCTGCCCAGCCCCCATGGCGGTGTGCGAAGTATTTTGCTTTTACAGCCTCAATTTATCTTCCACTCTCTGAGCCACGAAACGCGTCGAGTGGGGCCATGGAGGGATTTCGCTTGCCCGAGTTGATGTTTGTTCAGTTTGGGTCATAGAAATTGACAGAGTTAAAGGATACAGACAGATGGCAGTGCAAGCCGAGAGAGCAATAGTACCCCAAAAAGGGTGATGTATGATAAAGTGATTTAATTGGGACAAGAATGTTGAAAGAATTTACATCATTCACTTTGCAATCAATCATTACCATGAATGATATGTACATGCAGCATATACAAAAATAAACCGATTTTCTGAGGATTTTCGGATGGTATTAGAACTGCAAACAAACACAATCGTAACACCAAATATACAAATTCTAATATCTAAATTTAAAGAGCCCAAATGCAAAAACCTTCCTCCTTTCTTCCTTTTCTTTTGCTCATTTCCTATGGAAAGTTGGGAAACAAACTCATGAATATCATTAGCAATAGAATTAGACGTAGCTTCCTCTTCTAACACCCCACTTACACGGGTATTCCCCGCCTTTCGAAAACTACTATACTTTTCCTAAGCCCTCAGACTGCCTTCGGATGTAATTAAGCATTTGCGGTGTGAAAATAGACTCAAAGGAAGCCAGGCAAACCACAGCAGACAGACAATCTCCTAGGCGGACAGGTGTACGCATTTCATTTGCATAGATTAGCCAGATTAAAGAGGCAGCTGGTATTCCCGTGGCCAGTTGCCACCAAAAGTTGTACGCATCTCAATCCAACACATTTTTTGGTTAATTAAAAAGTTTTTCCAAAATAAATTTACATAAATTTCATTTGCGCTGAAATCCGTGCAAATGAATTTCCTTTTAATTAAGCAACACCTGAGGGTCCTTCTGCCTTCCGCTCTTTCTTAATTCCTTTCAGCCAGGAGCAACAATTGGCAAAAGCTTAGCGCTTGAAAAAAAAAATGAAACAGAGCGAAACAGCTTTAAGTCAGCGGGAAAACCTTTTTGGCGGGTTACTGTTACCCCAGTGGTTTCCCTTTTGCTATCTGCCAAATATTGATCGGATTGGTGAAAAGGCGGCAAGCCGCACGATGTTGAAGGTGATGGTGATGGAGGGATATGGGTGTGGGTTTGGGCATGCCGCTGAGTGGTAAAAGGTGAGTTGGTGTGGCGCTGTCTATACAAATTTGAGTTTTTTGCCCGTGGCCAGGGGCCCAAGTGGGTCAAGTAAATCAATTGACAGCTGAACCGAACTTGAGCGAGGACAACGCCAATCTTTGTATGTGTATGAGAGAGACTATATGCAGATGTGTGAGTGTGAGTACGAGTATCTGTGTGCCGTCACCTGGTTTGCTTCTATAAATAAATCATGGCTTATGATAACATGCCACACAAATACAGAAACTGACACACAAATGACGATTAGATACAGGACGAACCACAAAGGAAACAACAGCAAAAACACCCACAAACACTTCAAATCCCAGACAGTATTTGACTTTATTCAAGGATTCTTCAGCCACATATGCTCCATTCCATCTACCTTTGGTACTCACTCTTTCGACGCTTTTTATGGCCCTTATGCTCGCCAAGTGGAAGGGTATATGAGCAGTAGAGAGAATTTCTGATCCCCCAAATGTAATAAACTGGACCTTGGATACTTTAAGATCATGAGGATGCTAGTTTTGGGTGTCTAATTTTTCGATTTCAACACAGTGAAACCTTTGATTACATTATTTTCTAAACGTACCTAAAACTGTTTAATTTAAAAAGCAATAAAGAAATAAATTCCGAGTACTGGGCATCGTATAGTCGATAGTCTGACGCTGGCACTCACTCTCTCCCGCTGCTCGTTCAATCATCATAAAACTTGACATATTGTAACGTCACCGAAGAGAAAATGTTTATTTTGAAAGCGTTACGTTACGTTGGTGCCACGTCCCATGACGTCGTTGGAATGATGGGTGGATGTTTGCATTGAGCGAGAGATTGTTTGCGGTCTCCGACAGTTTTTGGGCAGTGGGACTGAAGATTAATTGCATTTTGCAGGTGTTGCAAAATCACGAGTTGCTTTTGCTTTTGCTCTTGCTGTTTGCTCGTTGCATTTGCCAAATACATTTGGCCATTTATGTAATTACCAATCGAAATGCGGTGGGAGACCATTTTAGTTGAAGAGAAATTATAAAGCAAATAGGTCAGAGCTCATGCACTGTGCAAAAAAGATGACAGCTGTAATGAATTTTCTGGAAATGATTGTTGATGCTATTCTTTCGGAATCACTGAAATAAAAGTATAAAGGATCAATCTCCTGATGTATCGCTTGATCGAAAATTATTCTTGTTTCTCTGTTCATTTTAAAGGAATATTCTTTAATTTGAATAGCGTTTGGTACTTATCGTTTTTCCTCAGTGTTCATACCCAATTGCAATCTTCTCATGTGAATAATAAGCACACTCAATGCAAAATCATTCATCAGCAGAATAATATGCTAAAGATGTATAGATATGAATATTCACATTCGAATATAATATATAACTAGCACATGAGCAATGGGTAAAACCTTCCATTCATTTTCACGGATCGACACATTAATAAAATGCCAAAATAATGCTCGTCACAAGTTCTAGATATTGTGTGCGGCTGCTGCTGCTGTCAGCCATCGTGCTCATAAAAGAGGGTCATACAGAACGGACAATGACAACGGAATGGGAAATACATCCATAAACACCAAAACACAATAGAGAGAGAGAGAGTAAAACATCAGCAAAGCAAAGGAAAAAGAAAAACAGAAACACAGAAATTAAGTAAATCTTTGGCGTTTAGAAACGTTTGATGCCCCTGGATAATCCTTACAGATTAACAGATGACATCCGTAAATTCAAAAGATAAAAACGATATTATCAATCGACACATCTGATCCTGATCAGGAATACTCATACGTATATACCAGAGTCTATTCTTTATTCAATTTTGCATCAGTTTGGAGCCCAACTGAAATACCCTTCTCTTGGAAAATAGGGTATATCTGGTACATGGCCCAAAAAACGAAAAGCTGTAAATGTTGCAATCCCCCAAAGCGCCTTCTATTGCCTCCCTCCCACAAAGGCTCCCCTCTCTCTCTCTCTCTCCTCTCTCCCTCTCCTTTCTTCTGCTCCATTGAGGCTGGGCAATGGGAAACGAAACGAAATGAACTCAGCAAACACCCACAATGGAGGAGGAGACACTGAAGATAAACAAGGCAAAGTCGTAAAGAAAAAATACAAACAAATCAAATGGCCGAAAAGGAGGGCAGAGAGAGCGACAGAGCAAGAGAGAGAGTGCACGTAAAAGCTCTCAATGACGTTGCAAAGCTTTTCCATGTCGTCACAGGCGAAAGCACCGCAACGAAAGCCGAAAGGAAAACAGAAAGCCGACACGATTCGAATCGCATCAAACACTCGACGGCTTTGGCACGGATCGGACGGGAAATCAAGCTGCTGCCACGACGACAGCGCGATACGGCAAGAGTTTCACGAGAATTTGATTTTTGGAAAACGTCAGATTTTGGAAAATCCCCAAAAAGATTACAAAACTATATAAAAATATAAATACCAATGCATAAATAAATATATACATAAATATTTCAAAATACAACAAGTGGAAAAGATCTAAAATAAATTGTACAGACTGTGTTACGTTTCGGCTTCACTTCATTTTTCTATAAATAACCGAAAAAATATAGTGGAAAGAAAGTGAACAAGTGCAAAAATTAGGTATCTCTCTACCTAAATATATATTACATATACATATACATAGATATCTAGTATCTATATAAAACGTGTGCCGCCTTTTTTTATACAAATTATCGATCAAATACATAAGTTCCCCAACGTCAGGCATATCGCAACAGCATAAAAACTCTTCTAATTGCGGGGTTTTTTTTGGTGAATGTTCGGATGGATATGCCCATAGTATTGACCAACGAAACGAGGACATTGCCATTTGTGGCTCATTAGAGGACACCGACGCGTTGGCAGAAGCCAGAAGGGGCATTTCCCCTGGATGAGGTGCCAACTGGTGAAAGAAAGGTATGTTTTGATTAATTTAATCGCCTAATTGCAGTGTCGTGACCCATATAGATACTACAGAGCATGATATATACATACTCTGTATACCTATGTGAGCCGCAGGGCATTTAAGGAGTAATTCTTTCATCGCCTGCGTCTGGATGGGCGGTGTCGTGAGCTTTGGCACTTTCCACATTTCCTGTCACTCTTCGATTTGTTTACTGTTACCCCACCTTTGGCTCCCCAATTCCCACTTCCATTGCCCTTCATTATCCTGTGTATGGGGATGGATAATCATTCGAAATCGTTCCTTTCTCGCTACTCATCGTAAAAGGAGCAGAAATCACTCATTCGCCCCAGTAGCCGGGACCGGGATCTCTCCCATTGCCCATTGCCGGGGCATTAAATATTCAGTGCTGGTAAGTTGGCAGCCTCCTAACGTTTATGGGACTGTATTTCCCTGATGGGTAGGGTTCCCGCGCGAAATGGCCTCGTTTTGGAAAGGGATTATTTGAGAGCGAATCCTTTAGGGTGCCATAAAGCATTTGTTGTGCTCTCTGCGGGAAATGGGTAAATACCAATCAATTCGAGGAATGTAACAAAAGATAAATGGATCTAAACAATGCAGGCGGAGAATGCAAGAACAAGCATATAAAATTAAGAACAATTTAATCAGAAGTCAGAGGGTTTGGATCTGTTGTAAAAAGGGAACAAATGTAGGTACATTTATTTCCAAAAAACAAGTGAAGATAATTGTTAGAAAATGTAGAAACCCCAATTCTCATATTAATGCTAATTTTATGCAAAAAGTATGAGAGTTAGTGATTACATTTAAATGCTTATTTACAGAGCCTTTTACCATACCAATTCATCCTGTAATTCTCAGTATAATTGAAATTAGACCCTAAAAACGGGATATTCGAGAAACAAAGTTCTACCACTAATTGGGACAACGGCGGATGGCATTTTCCGCTTGAACCATTCTGGTAAGACCGAATGAGATAATATCAAATAGCTTTCCACTGGCAATCAGCAAAAATAAGCAAAAAAGAGCGAGCAATGGGAACCAGTCATAGCTGGCAATCAGGAGCGATACAAATCGCCACAGCAATTCCCCAGCGCTCTGGTTCCTAATCAGGAGAGGACATGCCACAGATAGACAATGGGAGTCCCCTTTAATACCACTCCATTCCACCCACTGCTGCCCCAAACCCGACTACAACCACAACCACAGCAATGGAAATGGAAATGGGGAAAATATTTTTGCTGCAGTGCGGCACTTGGTTTTCAATCCACTGATTTTTCCAACTCGCCCCTTCCAACCCTGCTCCCTATCAGTCCCTGCAATTGTTTTCCTGTTTGCCAATTAAACTAAAATGTCTCGACGCGTCTGTGTTGTCGTCTGACACGCGACTTTTTGACCACGCCCCCTCCACGCACACATACGAACATACACTCTCTATATATCAGAGAGACAGTGGCAGACCAGACAGGGCGAATGCTCCTATGGCAAATCAAATTGCCAACAAATTCCATTAGAGTTTCCGAGGACGGTGGAAATTTAGATGGAGAGTCTCCTGGTCATAACCAAATTCGTAGCTGGCTTTCAAGCCAAATGGATTGTTCAGATTTCCTTTGTGATGCATCCAACGAAATTTCTAAATTCAATTAAAATATGCAACGAGGCCAGAAGGAGAACTAAGTGGAGAAACACCAGGAGCCAAGGCCTAAAAGCCACTTCCTTGTTGTTGTTTGTACCTGAAAACAGTCCGAAGAAGGGCAGCGGGATGTGCAATGGGAGGAAGGAGGTAGGCTGAAGGGTGGGAGTTAGATGAGCAGGTGGTGAAGGGGAGTAGATAGAACAGGAGGATTAGGTAGAACCCACAGCGATGGGGATCTGACATGTCAAAGGGTTGAGCACGGTACATACTGGTCGCGCCACCTCCAGCGCCACCACTTAGCCCCAAAAAAAATTTGTTGTAGTTGACACTGCCGACCCCCAGCCAACAACTGGGGGCGCGTAGAACATGGCATGCCTCGTGTTCTGTTCCTTTGAACCAACAATGTTTGGCCAAGGGAGGATGGAGACCAGGCAAAACGTGACAGAGCCCACTGCCAGTGCCAGTGCCAGTGACAATTGAGACTGGAGAGTAGAGTGGCCTGGATGTGGATGTGGATGGTAGTGGAGCGGTCTGTATCGTAGTGTAGTGCATGGCAGTAAAGTGGAGCACATTTCCTTTCCGGTGCTCCAAGCTAAAACTTTACATACACCAGACACCAGACACCAAACTAACGATAATATTTATGCACACACTTAAAGAGCTTCCAGCAGTCCAAAAACCGAATTGCAAACCGAAACCTAAAACCAAACGCAAACCAAACAAACAAACTGTTCAAATGCAAATAAAAGTCACTGCTGGCACAACTTTGCAGTCATTTTTCCCATTTCCCACTGCACTGGTCGGTGCCTTCTGTACCTTTCGGACTCAGCTCTGTTTGATGGACACTACAGAATCTCTGCTTCTCTGCAGAATTTTCCCATCCTTTGAACATAATTGGTCAACATTTTGCATCCAAGCAGCCAATCATCCAAACAGAATGACAAACAGAAGCATAGAAATCAGAATGTCAGAAGGAGGAACTGGGCTTTCATTCGGGCATAAAAGAGGTTGGTTGGAAAACGAAAGAGCGAGCACTCATTCCTATAGCTTAGAGTTTCAGATTAATGCTAATATCTTGAAGCGGCAATGGCTTTTACGCAACATATTCTAGAAACGCAGCCCATCCTATGATAAATTTCCTCTTTTTCCACTCTTTTAATTATATTCAAGTCAATTTCCCCCACTTAACAGCCAGATCTAACAAAAGAAAAAGAAAATTCCCAAAACAGAAAATCCAATCCCCGAATAAATTCGAACAAAGCCCGGAACGAGTATGTGAAATCAAATGCAGTCCAATTAGGGAGTGGGCAGGATCCATAAAGAAGTGGCGGGTCCTTGCCCCGACCAGCAGCATTGCGACAAAGGAAAATCGTAAATTTCATCAATTTATTTTGAGACCAAATTGGTGCTCTACCAGAGACACAATATGCTCGAATACCATAAGACATTCCATCGACAGTTAATTATGATGTGGCACAATGTGGCACACAGAGACAGTCACACATCAAAGAGGAATGCTTTGGCTGGATATATAGCGGAGGGCAGCGGCTGTCAGCAGGAGCTTTATTTATACTGTCACTAACTAAATGAAGTGAATTTTGTGTAAACATCTGCGCCCAAAGACTCCACCATGCGACTGTTTTCGACTTTGCGTTGATTTTAATCTAAATTGAGAATAAGAGGCGATTTCGAGGCCCCCAAAGTACGGCACTTGGGGTAAACAGCCGCCAAAGGTGGAGCACACTCCAATACAGAGAGAGAGAGAGAGCAAATACATATAGATACACCCACCTCACACACATACATATGTGTCATAATCATCGTAAAAGACGTGAAGTTTAAACTAAACAGACAGCCATTTTCCCGCCAATTCCCCATCCAAAAGGAAAGAGGACGACATTGGAGCCAGAAAGAGGGCAGACAGAGAAAACATTAAGCCCCATAATCTGCCCTTGAGCTCGATTTTGTGCAACGATTTGGAAAATCTTTCACAAAAATAAATTTCACAACAGATTGGCCACGTACCCGCTTGTCTGCTCCATTCCCGTGGCTCTTCCTTATTATCCTTCTGCCTTATGGCAAGCATATTATCATCGATTTATTGAACATTAAACAAACATACAAAGTCTAGGGGATATTTTCCGCAGACAAAAGTATATTTTTTTTCATATTAATTCCACAATAAGTTATGTCAAACATATGGAAAATCCAAGACACTTGTCAAGTGATTTTCCCCAAAAGATCAACTAAAATGCTATAAAAAGTATATATATATAGATTGTTGATCTGCCCTAACAAGCGAATTTCATCATAAGTCGCACAAATATTTAAAAACATTTTCTCTATACAAATTCTTGGGCCGCTGACTGTCGTTTGTCTGAGAGAAATGCAAGATAATTTATTTAATCATTTGAATTTGTTTTCATTTGAGAACAGAGAAGAGAAAAACAAAACAGCACGAAAGCAAATTTCATGTTGACTCTACAAAATGTTGGCCCATTATTTGTTATAGCAGCCTCAAAGACAACGTGGCGTATGCATAATAAAAAGCTGTCATTTTCATTTAGAGCTCATTTTCGTTGGCACGCTGCTCAGATTGTTGTGGGGCAGCAAAACAGGATGATTATGATGGGAACTACACCGGGAACTCTGAGCAGCAAGTGTTCCCAACGGAAAAGCGGACGAGGGGAAACAGATGTGTATAGCCCTGACCTTAAAGCAACCTGTGGCCCCGCATTGGCCCACACTTTAATTTTACAGCAACAGGTGTGTGTGCGGCGGCTGACATTTGGCCATGAAAATATACAAATGGCCACACAGATGATGTTCAAAGGGAAACCTTAAACAAACGCCTTCCACATCCAATGACAACGACATCTACTGACACATGAGCATCGCGCTGTTGATGGATATGGGGCAGAAGCATGTCCATGAACATGGGGACATGGTCAAGGACATGTTCAAAGGCAGCCGCTGGCACAGCAAACAAACTGAAAACATATTGAAGGCGGGGCCAGGGCCCCAGGCCAGATTTAAGGATCATGAGTCTGAAACGTTTCCGAGAAACCAATGCTTTAGCTGCCAGATAAGCAGAGCAAATGATTTTACTCTCAGAAAAAAGATTGAAATCCTTTAGAAGAACAATTACTTTACCAGAAAAATAAGAAGAGTTTGCCTCCGTCGGGTTCGTAAACGGCTTTAAGTGGACAGAAGATGAATCACTTTCACACCACTACACAAACATTTATCAGAACAATTGTTCTGATATTGATAAGGAGAACTAAAAACTTTAAGAAGCATACGAATTTCCATAGAGTCCATAGCCTCATAGGCTGAACTTTTTAGATCAGATATATTTTCGTTAATTTCTGTATTGAATGTTTTTGACAAGGGAAACAATAACAAAATCTACATATCAACTGCATATTTTGTTTGTTAAAAAATCTTGTATAAACATTGAACAGAAACAACATTGAATGGAAACCGAACTGAAGAGGGTGGGGGGAACCTCTATTTTCTGTCCATTTAAATCAATTCTGATTTCAGTTTCCACACTCAACGTCCTCTTCTCCTGTGCCCACCCAGTGCTTCATCTCTTTTTTTTTGCCATTCAGGTGACATTCAAGCATTGAATACTCTGCCCCTATATCCGTTCCCTCTCATGCGGGTTCCATTCAAAGACCATCAGGCCATACCGGCCGTACCTCGTACATGCGGTATCTGTTGACACTTTATCGAGTTTTTTTTTTTTTTGTGCATGTGGGGTGAGGTTTATTGGTAACCCATGGTCGGTAAACCATCGGGAACCCCTGGCAATCCAACGCACTTTAGGCCACATTTCTGCGATAGCTTAAGTTGCCTGTAACCAGGCACAGCTGTCCTCATCTGCGGACATGGACATGTACGAGCACATCCAATGGGTGGCCTGATTAACTGACTTTCCGACGCAAAACAAGAGCTGTGACAAAAATTCAAGCAAATACATTTGAGTTGGCGTCGAATTTATGTTAATAACTAGCAACAGGCGCGGCTCCAATGATAACGGGGTGGGAATTTTTGGGGAAAATGTGGGAAAACTTTACCATATACGAGTATGTATGAGGCCATAAAATGGAATGACCTCTGGTTGTCTCTGTACATATAGTACTTGTCCCATACAAATTCCAATGAACATTAATTGCAATGTCTAAAGACAACATGCCACTGGATTCCTACGCCTCTATTGATGTGTGCATATACGTCCTGTGGCCAATTAGGAGGGAACCTCAGGACAGCACACACACAAACGCACACAAGGATAGAAGGATCCGAGGATTGCTGCTGCTGTTGTTAGTAAAAGCCCTGCGGCATCAATTGAATGCAAACAAGGCGACGTAGGACAGGGCTCAGACCAGGCCACAAAGAGGTACTGCCACGGGGACCAGGACCACGACGACTTCATCGTCATGTGGCATGAAGTTTCATGCACGACTGGATGGGTCAGCAGTACCCTTTTTGCTTTTGGGATTTTTCTTTTCTGGTCTGCTTTGCTGTGTCTTGGTAATGCATCGCTTCACAAAACGGTGGCAAATCAAGCATGAAAGTTTGCCTTTTCCTTTTCCCAGGGATCCTTGGTTGCCTTTAAGCAGGTTAAAGTCAAAGTAGGGGACAAATTTCTGCCTAATCAGTCGTTTTCGGGGGTTGACTGGGAAAATTTCAAACTCGTACATTTAACTTGGGAAAAGCTCTCACGACCAAGTCGTTTCTGCCAGTGCAGCTCAAGCTGTCGTCGCATATGGGGCCACGTGAAACATTTTTTCAGTTTATGTATTTATTCTTCCTTCGTCCTTTTGCATTATTTACTTTCGAGGGGGACTTGGCCCAATTCCTTTGTTTCCTTTGGCCAGAAGAAGCGTCAACGCTTTCGTAACACTTTCGTATGAGAAATCCTCCCCCGGCTTCAAGGGTATCAACGGCTGTGCGAAAATAATGCGCGTTATTAATTATTTATACTTCAATCATTCACAAAAGTTAATTACGCTCCAGTGAGGGAGAGAAACTTAGAACGAGCGCTATTCCGCACCACTTAAGGGAACTGCAAGTTCTTCAAGTCATCGGCAGGCGACAGACCAAGGAAAATCGTTTTAAACTGCACCTAAGTGCCCACAGAGAGAGGGGGAGGGAACACAGGAGAGGCTTGATTAGATTATGCCACAGATGCCGCAGGGGCACACAGGAAGAGGGAGCAAATGATGCATGTCTAAGTAGCGCGCAGGACGACTAAATGGATTACAAATATGCTTTGATTGGCCCGATGCCCTGCCGTCCCATCAGATCCGTTCCACGCCACTCTACAGCAGCTTTCGTCTGACCCTAAGGCAAATTCAATTTCATTTTCCTTCTAAGCCATGGCTTAGGACCGCTAAGAAGTTTATTTGAATTCGCCTTCGCCTTGCTCATTCTACTGCTCTCATGCAAATGGAAATTTGTGTCAATTAGGGGCTGCAGTCTCTCCTGCGGAATGAAGTGAAGTGGAGCATCTTGTAGGAGCTCTCGTTCTCCAACCCGCCAAAAGATGCCAGCAGAAAGTTGCCACATTCCATTTCAGCATTCCAAATCGAAGTTTATTTACGTTTCGAATGGGGAAATCAAAACGAAGATGATGCAAGATCTAAATAAATGTATTTTTAGTTTATGAGAACTACGCGATTAACCACAACAGACACTTTAGAGATCAAGGGATACCGAAAGCAAGCAAAGGTGAAAAAGAGGTCGAAAGGCATCAGCTGATTGTGGATTATAAGAAAATGAATTCTAACAAAATTAATAACTCAATCGAAGCCCAAAATGAAAACACCCATCGTTATAGTACCCTCCCCATGTCACACATACATCACTGCCAGATTATCCCTTGCCCCCCTCCAATGCCAAATCTCACCAAACAAATCGAATTCCCAAGCGGTTGAACCCCTTTGATGGATTTTAGATTTGTTTGTGGCAATTTGTTGGGCACGGAACACGACGTCCACTGCAAAGGAGAGTTGTTGGATTTTGGTTGGATGGCTGACTGGCTGGCTGGCTGGCTGACTGGCTGCCTGGCTGACCCAGTTTTCATGAGACGAAAATAACACGGCTCGGGGTAGCAGAGAAATGCTACCTCATGTTTTAATGGCCAGTGCGGCCAGTGCTGGCGAAATGAAAAATCACATAGCAAATTATGCAGCATGTTGTTACAAATACTCGTACATAAATATTTCTGTAGTCAGTGCCACTTTTACTATTTTTTGCAGCTATGCGATTTTTTTCGGTTTCGATTTTTGGGTTATTTCTGTAAAAGCGCAACAACATTTGTCACGAGCGAGCGAGCGAGAAAACTATTTTAGATATTTGTAGATTTTGATTTGAAATTTTATTTAAATGTTTTGTTCATTCGTTTTGCGCTTTCCACCATTTATTTGCAGAGCACCAAACAAACAAATAAAACATTAATCACCACAAAAACACCATCCAAATCTCAGATTATGAGACATGCAACAGACAAAAGAAAAGAAAAGAACATCAAGAACATCAGAACATCAAGAACAACCAGAACCACAGCACGAACCACCACGAAATGCTTAAAGCACGAAAATAGAAAATTCTAGATTTGGCAAATTAGAATTTCATTTCACCAAGGCGAAAGGCAAAGCGACGCGAGGCGAGTCGAGCCAATAGCCTAACCACAGAATTTCCCCCGAGAAAAGCCAGAGTGCCGAGCCACAAACAATAGACAATATGGTGGACGACATCTCTCCCATGCACTATCGCATGCAGAAGAAGACACGCAGCGCCTCCATTTGCGCCACGGGGGCCAGCATTGAGACGGTCATCCATGGCCTGCCCACCGCCTCGGGCAGCGCCACGCCGGAGGGCGGCACGCCCGGCTACCGACGACGCCGGCCGGCCACACGCTCCCAAAGTGCTCGCATCACATCGGGTGCCAGATCGGTGAGTACACCAATAGTATAGATATATCTAGCCATACATACATACAGATATAGATATATATATATCCATTGAACACGTAAATTAAGCATTTGCTTCTGCCTGTCACTTGCTTCTGTTGCTTGCAGAATGTCTGCCCCGCGTACGCGTAGGACATGAATTGATTTTATATTTAAATGAATATTTAAGTAGCTGCACGTTTCTCACTTCACGCATTCATACCTACATATAAAGAGCATTGTCATGTAGTCCTCGAGTTGCGGAGCGCAACAGAGGAAAGATTTCTCATCTAATATTAGGAACATATTCACATTCGCATCCACAGCAGAATCTTTACCATCGGTTCCAAAAATTTTCTGGTTAATAAAAGCTTCAATGGAAACATTTTACAGCGAAGTTTATGCTGCCCTTTTCAGTCTCGGAGTCAAATGAAATGAGCTAAAAACTTAAGATACTCGTACAAGTAATTTAATGAAATCTAATTGAAAACCAGGCTGATCGCCTCCTGGCATTTTGTGGTCTTGGCAACGATAGAACAGATCGAGTGTAACGGAGGTGGAAAGATGTAACATTGTAAGGCTTATAGTTTGACTTTTGTAGCTTCTGCATACTATATGGAGCACAACCAGCAATGTGTCAATGAATTACGCAAAATCTGAGCTCGCATTTGTATCGGAATTGTTGGAGCAAAGATTATTAGGATTGACTGAGGGCCTTTTGCACTTGATGGACCAGCATGCGAGTGTGGCGCTCGCTCATTAACTGCTCCTCGAACTGCGAACTGAGGGGAATGGACAGCAGTTTGCCAGCCATATGTGGAACCACATCTGGGGGGGATACCTCAGCGACCTGGGACGGCACCGACACCGGCACAGGCTTTTCCTTGGAGCCTCTTATCTGAGAGGCCCTGGCCGTCATCCTGGACACTCGTTGGTTACAACGTGCACGCTTTGCTTGCTCCATGGCCTCCTTTTTCACGGCTGAATTGTCAATGTTGGTGTACACACGGGTCTCCGGACACTTGGGCGGCATGCGAAGACATTGGCAGTAGCTGAGATTGTACATGAAATATTCCTCGAAGTCCTCGTTGGTCTGCAGCAGCTTCTGGTAGTACTCCAGACTCTCCAGATCCATGGGATCCAGCTGCCCTGCGGCGCAGTCCAGCTTCAGATGCAAGCTGAAAAAGTAGTTGAACAGCTCGTCCACCAGATCCATGAAGAACGTAATGGGCTTGTGAAAGGCATCGCCCAGAATGAAGGGCGTCTCCTCCTCGAGATTCAGTTTGCTGCACTCGCGCCGGAAGGTCAGGACATACGACCGCATCGACTCAATGCCCCACCACTGGCTCTTGTTGGAGCTGATGATGACTTGGTAGTGAATGAAGTACTTTTGGATAATCTCCTCCTTCGGCTCCACGGCGTACAGCTGCGTGCACTTACAGTTCGCGTCCATCTCCATGGCGATCCTGTAGCGCTGTATGAGTCCCCACAGCGTCGAGGCCGCTATCCGCTGCAGTTCCATCTCCTTCTTAAAGGTCGCGAAAATGTAGCGATACTTCTTCTCCACCGAGAGCAAAACACTCAGCACTTTTGCCTCCACGCTTTCATCCATGGTGACCACCTTGTTCACGGCCCTATGGACACCGCTCTCGGTGGTTGTGAGCCGCGAATGGGTGCACGGAGTCACCGGAATGGTTATCACATGCGGAGCCCTAATATTTTTCTCCATTTTTGTTTGTTATATGGGGGTTTCTGTCTATCCAAATGATTGACATCCAAACAGTGTGAAGTTACATTCAATGCTATGGCTCCTTCCTGCTGATGACTCTATACAGCTTCATCCAGTCTCTCGGCGAGTGTCGACAGCTAGCAAGAGTGTGAATTGAATTATATCGTGGCCAAATTCAATTTCTGTAGCTGCCAGACAAAAGGCACCGCCACGTGGCATACGTTGCGTATGAGTGTCGTGGAGCAGGCGTCCGTCCCTTCCTGGCGCTGGATCCCGCCACTGGTTCCTCGCAGTATTGTTAGTAAGCAAACGAGGCAACAGAAAGCAACGCTTGTGCAATGTGTGCCACCATCGCATCAAAGTCCGTGCTAAAAATGTAGCTCCTGTCGCTTCTGATGCGCCCCAAGCTGGTAATTTATATAGAAAAAAGTTTACAAGTCAGCGACGCTGCCACACATGCTTCACGTTTTCAGCTTCAGCTTCTGCTCCCGCTCCTGCCTCTACAGCTTTCGCCCTCTGCGACTGATGATGCCACAACTTACGCGGCATGAAGGCGTTCCTGTGTTTACTGTGGGCGTGGCTGTAATGAGTTCGCAGCTAAAGAAAAAAAAGCAAAGACTGCGAACCAAAATGACTTTTGTTTATAAAGAAGGAATCACGCACACACACACACAGGACACAGAGAGAAAAATAAAAGCCATCCAACAGACGTAGTCGCGAAAAACTTTTGAGCAGCACTGTCGATGTCGATGCTGATAAGTTGGGACAGAACTCGCGTGGCATAGTACTCGCTTTTGATGCAGAGACGGACAAAGTGTAATGAGCTGATGAAGCGACAAAGACAGCGACAACTAAAACTCAAACAGAGAGCACGAATTGAAAAGGCTATTTTCGCTGCTCCGAGAATTTGCTATGAGCTTTGGAAAGTACAAGTACAAAGTATTTAAATAATAGTCGACGAAAATAACAGCCAGGCAGATGGCAGCCGCAGGAACGTAAACATTTTGCACTGAAAACAAACTTTTTGCTTACAAAAATTGCACCAAAAGATCGGTTCGAGTGTGTCCACATTTTGCACACATAACACACAACGTTTTTCATTTAATTTGAAGGGAAATGAGCTTCAGTGTGTCCCTGCTTTTTAAATATTCCGCTAGCTTATTGGTATTATTACCCAGCGGCAATTAAAAGAAGAAATTATCAGTTCTTTTCCGAAGAACTAATTGGGGATTAGGTTGGCACAAATTGAAGACAAGACAAGACACATAGCAGGGCGAAACGCTATGCAGGAAGCAATTAATTTCGCCGAACAACAGGGCGAGACTCCATCTGAGCGTGGACAAGCTGCATCCGGATGGATCAGCAGACACACCACCGACTACCGCATACAAATACATACATACGAGTATATAAATGTGTATACTGCTCTTCGTCCACGAACTGCTACGTGCTTATACTCGTATGTTTGCATGGCGGGGCAGTAATATTTGATTAAGACAAAAAAGTAGACCATGCAAAGGAAAGAAGAGCAATTACTGGTCACGAGAGACGACCCATGAAATGTAAGTAAAGTAAATGTATGGTGGCATGCAGTCCGCGCCATGACCATAAAAAGCGCAAAGAGCGGCCACTAAATAAACAAGAAACGTTTACACTGACAGCTCGCCTAATGGCCCAGACACCCACCCACCCTCTTGGCTGTTGGCTGTTGGCTGTGTGGATTTGGCGGCTTTTGCCAGCACCGGCTGACTAAACTCTCGACGTGCCCCAAATCCATGGCCACTTGACAGCCAGTGCCACGTAACAAACGCTTCCGGCATTTCATCGTAGGGAGGCCCGGAATGGGATTACATGATGTGTGGGCCAAGGAAACCGGAAGCCGGCAACAAAGTTGGACATTTTGCATGCGGTTATAAATATCCCCCCCACTTCCCCCGCATACTGGACCACAGAGAAACCGAGCCAAGAAGCTGGTCGGGGCTGTCGGACAGGTGCTGAAATTAGTTTTCGCTCACACCCCGAGAACTGACGCACACTTCTGGATGGGAGGACCCATCGTCAGCACGTTTCCGACCGCTGCCGTGGCAGTCAACGTGACAAGTACTTGGACGTTGCTTGAAGGATTTGGGATCCACCCCCCCCCAAGGCACATGCTGCGGCAGGAAAACTTTTAAGGCAAGCGAAACAAGTGCTCGGCTGATTGCAACTCGAGTGGGTGGAGGGGACTGTACCGGACCGCACTCATTCAGAGCGTTTAACCTTGACATTTGTGTGGAAGTCCCTTGAACGGCTTTGATCACAGACCACAGTCACAGTCGCCGCCAATGGTCGCTGCGAGGCTGCGCCATGTGGCAAGTCAGCCGATAAATTATGGCATTTGCCAGCAAAGTGTGGCGGTGGGGGGGAGGTAGGCAGCTCGCAGGACTTGGGGGAGACGATGTTGTCTACAAAGGACAAGCAAATGCAATTTGATTTGTGTTGGACAGACGAGAAGTGCAATTTAATTTCTCACTCACTGGCAAGGTCACATCCTGCTGCAGTCCATAAATCAAACCGATTGCCTTGGGGATCTGTGCGACAAATGTATAGACAGACGGAGTGATGGATGGGATATCATGGTTAAGTTGTTTAACAAAGTTCCCCTTTGCCTTTTGCAGGTTCGCCAGCGCACCAAGGCCCAGCAGCAGCAGCAACAGCAACAGCAGCACACGCTCCAGGAGGCGCGATCCTATTGCAACAGTGAGCCGCGTCTCAGCGAGACGGAGACGCCACCGCAGCGACGCAAGCTTTCGCAACGTCGGCCACAGCCACACGGTGAGAGGGGAACATATATATTTTTGGGGTAGTTGTAGTTGTAGTCCCTTTAATGGCAAAACAGAGCCATCAACAAGCTGCGCAACAAATTAGCCAAGTGCCGGGCTCTGATGTTTTATGCGGCATAAACTAAGCTCTCAGCCAAATTGCTCGCCGCACGACGCTGAAAAATTGACCATAAATGGTTTAGTGGCCAACAGCGGGTGAGCCAAAAGACTTTAAGTTCGTTTCAGAGATGCCAATTTTGGCCTATATCCACGTTTCAGGGACCAGTGACCAGTGACCAGTGCCCAGTGCTTTCCGCTTTTATGTATAGTGCTTGCCAATAACGGGAATTCAATTAGCGTGGCGGCCGCCTCTTGTCGTTCATTGAACCACCATTGTTGACCCAGTTTTTCCGAGCGGCAATTGAGCAACGTATCCTCCTGCCTTCTGCCACATAAGTGCACTCTGTTTGCTGTCAGGCTCTTCCCACGCGAAAGCTTTTCGAAACTGAAACCTGCCACTGAATTAATTAGCTGCAAATAGTTGATGCAATTTAATGTTGAAGCAAGTTTTGCTTAATTTAATATCCTGATTTGCGATTGCAGGACACAGAAAATCGAACGCCTTCCTGGACGTGCCCACCATGAATATGCATCACCTGCGCGTCAACGATGACGACGAGGATGTGGACAGACTGCGCACATTCAGCGCATCCAAAGGAGGTGAGTAGAACCGAGACTCCAGGACCCCACAGCTCGACAAAGGTCTCGGTGGACCATTTTATTAATTTTGAAATTGAAACTCAACAAAAGCCTTGGGGGACCCAGATGACTGGGATTACACATGATCCCAACAATGCGGACAGGACTGAGTCGCAGGCTCAAGGAACAGCGAACAGGATATGTGTATGCCAGAAGGCATAAAATTATAGTTTTGCTCCCAGACACGCAGCGTAGCAATCCTTATTGAAATCTTAAAAGGTTGTTACACAATGATGTTAAGGAGATATCAGTGACACTAAATGCCACTCCAAATAGAATATGAATACCCCAAGGCACCCACACACACACACACCCCATACATATGGAAACTCACTCATACAACCACGCTGAGACATGTGTAGTTTTCCCCATTATGGCCTGCCTGTCTGTGTGTGTGTGTGCCCTGTTTGTGCTTTTCCTTTTTTCGATGGCTTTTGTATTCTATATTTGTGTCACGTTATTATTACACATACGCACTGTGGGCTGCGTATTGTGCAAAGTTTGCCCTTAAAGGCAGGCGAATTTCTTCTAAGGAAACTTCAATTTGTTTGCCTGGAGATCTCTTGGCCATCTCGGGTCATCTTAAGTCCACCTTATAATAATAATTAGTTCAATTATTTAAAATAGCTCCACACAAAGCCTGAAAGAAGTTTTGGAAATGTAATCAATTACTGAATAAATATAGTTATGGATGCACTCACTCTCCAATGAATTAAATAATAGGATTAGAACTGATAACAAACAAGTTCTTTCCATCAAAGTTGTGGAAATTGCTGCACAAATCCAATTGGAGAAGTTCAGTTCAACATCAGTTTGGTCTGAGCTGAGCTCAGCTGAGCTTTCGGCTTCAGAATTGGTCGCTATGCAGCCCACTATCAAGAAGACATATAGTTTGCTTTGCACCCCACCCCCTCCCACTCCACCGACTGTTTGCATGCACAAAGTCATGGGGCAGACCTTAAGTACGTGTTTAAGCCCACCCAGACAGGCTCGGAACACGAACTGCCAGAAGCGAGCACGGAACACAGAGCACAGAGCTCAGAATAGGGAACTATGCAAGCACTTGAACAGACATGACAGCAAACAGAGGACATGTCCACGTTTTAGCTACAGAAGGTGTCATAACTTAGTCATGAGGCAGAGCAGATCCCTGGGAGTTTCACGAGAGAAGTGTACAAAATATGATAACTAAAGTCGAGCGGAGGAAAGTTCCCCATTTTGCATGCATGTCAAGAGAACGGCCATTGGCGGCCGGAGCATTGCCATCAAGGAGTATCAGAATTTCTCTCTACTGGGTTGGTTATTTCCCTTCAACTCCCAGCCAACTGTCATGGATGAGCAGGGACTGGAACTAGGACTGGCACTCGTACTGGCACTGGGAAATTCAAAAGGGCAAGGGAAACACTCTGAAACGCACTGCATATTAAAATTCAATGAAGTGTCTGTGTTTGCTCAACTAAATTGCTTTCAAATACAAGCCAAATGCCTTGTAAGGGAAGCTGTCTTGTGGTTGTGCCATACCCGAGTCATGTGCGCTCATTTAATTAATACGCTCATGATGATGGGCCAAAGGAGAGAGCCGCAATTGGTAGCTCTGGCCATCATCCGTCAATTATATTTACGGTTTGGACGAGTGGTAAATGCAAAGTGGAGAAGGCTCCCAGAGAGTGGAGAGTGTGTGATAAATTGAAACGCCCAAAACGAGTGTCAGTCACCGATGGCAGCCAATGAAGCACCATGAATGAAATTTTCATTTAAAAATCAACCAGCCACCAACAGACAATGGTCCTGAGTGTCCTTTGGTCCTGTGTGAGGGTTTGGTAGGGGCCTGTAAATCGAATCATAATTGAATGCTGCACCATCGCGTCGAATGGATTATAAGCCAAATGTGGCTGATGCCAATTGTCGAATGCTTTTGGCCAAATGCTCACCATTCGATTTGGTATTTATAGAAGTGAGAGTTTTTGTTTAGACAATTTATAACCTTGAAGGCGGTTAATCATACACATATTGTTTGTGCGAGTATATGTATATGTATCCCAGCAGCATATGCAACATCTCGTGCCACACTCGCCCCACTCTAAATCAATCGACAAATAAAATATTCAGTTTATTTGCTTAAATGGTTATTCTTTATTCAAACAAAGAGAGAATTTTCGAAGCAAACGAGGAGGTGCAGAAGACGTTGAACCAACATCAAAGAAAAAGGAGAGTACAACATTTCCATACACGTATGAGGGATGTTAGCAAAAATGGTGAGCTGAACTGAACATTAGTGCACACATTAGTCAGCTGGAACCATGGAAATATCTGGAATTGCTAACTAAATTACAGTCTACAAGCTAAAAATAAACATGAACATTGCACAAATATTTGAACAAAATGTAAACTAAATCGCAATTTTTATCGCTGCCCGTTTGCACCTTTTTCAAATGAATTATTTCCCACGCGCGTCCCGCCGCCTCCACCCACCCCCCAGCCAAAAAAAGACTGTATAATATTTGGCCACCCAAAACAGTTTTATGGCTTTCCAATGATGACGGCTCACCCAGACGGCAGAGCCATGTAGAAGCGAACGAGAAGTGGGCAGGGGGGGGAACGAATTGAAAATTTCGTACGTAGTATGTAAATGTTTAGAATCGTTTTGGCAATTAATTCAATTTGCAACATTAACGACCGCAGATGAGCAACGAGTGAACGCCAGCGAATAGTGAAAGATCTCTGATGAAGATCTATGTATCGTATATGCAATATATACTGACATGTATCGGTTCGTGGCACGGCTGAATGCAATAAGGCAGGCCATAATCTATTTATGACATTTCAAATGTACAATACACAGCACACCATGTACGTACAGACACTCGTACATACACATACACGTACATATGTTGGCAAACAAAAACAGCACAGATCCAATACGAACAGATCCGAAAATGGTGCCAGACCACGGCATACCCGTACATTATTTATGCACATACACATGTAGATTGATACAGATTGATACAGACACATGTATCTGCCTGTGGGGGAATACAATTGACAATGACCGCTGGTTTTTGACTTTTGTCAGTCGTTGGGTAATACCTTGCCATAGGCATTGTCTGTGATGGAACGATAATCATATGGCTTAATGTTGATATTAACGGGAATTTATTTGTCTTAACTGGGGTTCATCAACCCCACGTACCCTTTAACATTACACTTTTTGCGTACCATATTTCAATCCGGTTACAGTGCCGTGAAGACTAATTTAACTAAGACTGCGACGAACCCGAATGATCATTATTTCCTTGAAACTCTCCGTCCACGGGTTAATATAGCCATCAAGCCTTGGCCCAATTGTATATGTAAATTGAAATGTCTTTTTAATTACTTTATTATATGGGAAATACAATTTTCGCCCGACATTTCCGATAAATATTCTTTTTATTTTCTTGTGTAAATATTCGAAAAGGCCAATATTTATGTTCAACAATTTTGCTGCAGGAAACATGGGCTTTAATTTTAAATTTTCAATGAAAAATAAAATCCCTAACTGGCGGTAGTCGGGGGCAGACAAAAAGGGGAGAGGTGGAGTGGGTTAACATGGGATTGCAAAAGCCACAGATGCGAGACACAAAAGACAGATTAACTATTGTGGCAGGAAACTGTAATTTCTGCCTGAGCTACGTGGCGTATGCGTAACGTGGTATGGGGCCTTGCACAAGTTGCACATACGCCCTAACGTGCGCGACGCCGGCAGGCAGGTGGACGAACAATGGCGGAATATGCATTTGGAATACGAAATGGGTGACGTTTTCCCGTTTATTTTGGCACATTTTCCTCTCGTTTTTCATTCTGATGTGCGACTCTCTCACTCTCTCGCTTTCTCTTTGTCCTCTCGCCCGCATCAGGCATCATTAATCGCGGCGACTCGTTCCGACGTCGACGGTCGCGCAGCAACAGCCTGGCTCCATCCAGCCCCATGCACGCCCGCAACGGTGGCGGCGGTCTGGGTGGCAACGCGGGCGGTGGCAGCAGCCAGGGCCTGGGCTCCGGCTACAATGGCGGCAGCAGCAGCAACGGATTTGGACACGGACAGAATGCCCAGGAAAATCACCAGCCGGTGGAGTTCTATCGCGTGGAGATGCTGGGATCGGCGGGCGTGGGCAAGCAGGCCCTGGTCTCACAGTTCCGCACCTCGGACTGCATCAATGCCTACGATGGCCCAGGTCAGTAGTTGGACGATTACTCAATTGAAATCCAAGCTAAGTGTACATTATCCCTTGCAGACTGCGATGAGGCCGAGCAGAACATCTCCATCATCTTGAATGGCACCGAGTCGGAGCTCAAGTTCCTCACTGGCAACCCGGAGAGCAAGGTGAATAGTCATTTGTCAAACGGACAGAACACACACCCTCCCTCCCACACGCACACAAAGCCAACAAACAGCTTTAGTCGTTTGTGTTTTGTAATTGTCGTTGAATATTTCACCATTAACTCGGCTCCGACCGCAAACCGAGTAGGGATGAGCCTGTGGCTAAGGCTGTCACTGCCGACGGCAAGACAAATGAGTCCAGTCCGTCCAGACAGCTGAGATTTGCCCCAGACTCCGAGTGCGATTTGCCAACTAGATGAGCATAAACTGCACAAAGTGAATTAATTTCAAATGCAAAATGAGTTCGTGAAATGCGTGGACGAGGAGCAGCTTACCCTTACCTGCCCCCAAGCACCACGCGAAACTGCAAGAGGAAATTGTTAAACAAGTTAAAATGCTAAATTCCACTGTGAACTATTAAGTACCCCCTACTACATCTCTACTACTCCATTCAGCTGCACAAACACATCATACCCCTGTATACCTAGTAGAAACCAAAACGTTGAGAGAAAACTATGCAGTGCAGGACTCCGGAGGCAGAAAGGAGCCGTGTCTGAACTGCGGCTAATTACGGACAAGTGCCGGGAATGCTGTTGGATGGTTATTTCGTTGAAATCATTTAAGGAATTCGTTGAAAATCCTGCCGGGCAGCAACAGCAAATTTCTGAGCAATTTCCAGCAGCAAGAAAAAGGAGAAAAGAGTCGAAAGAGAACGCGGAATAGCACGCGGAATAGCAGAAAAAAAACGAAAGAAATAATATAAATACAATATGAGTGCGCAACTGTGCAATCGAAATGCCAAATTGCTGGACAAATGCCAAATGCTGCCTCTGTCTGCGCTGCCGGGTGGCGGCTAACAATATAAATGAACGCGTTGATGATAATTATAATCGCTGATGACGATTGCCATGATGGTGATGATGATTGCAATGTCGAGTCGTTGACAAAACAAAAGGAAACGGACACAATTTATCCATTCTGGAATGCGAGAGAACAGAGCCGCCAGCGAATTAAAGGCGCCCCAGCATGGCTGCCAAAAGTTGGGTAAAAAACAAATAACAAATTGCTTAAGGTTTGACCTTAGACCCCACTCTCCACCGAAACATACTTCAAACGTGTACGAACCGCGGCAGCCGCCAGCGGCGAGGTGCAAAATGAACAAAGGTCGGATGTGCCTGGCGTGGTTTTATGAGCCACAAACGGATGCCAGTACGTAAGGCACCAAGGCACCAGAGCGCCAAAAAGAAAGGAAACTTGCCAACGTCATCAGGCCACAAAATGTGGGGAGTTCCAGCAAGAAGGCATGAAGAAATAGAGTCCTATAGAAGAGAATGAGAAGCAGAGCCATATTTCATTCCGTATTTTTCTGCTGATTAAAAAGAGAGAGAAAGAGACTCAAACATGTTGTCATTTTTTGTGAAAAAAACATAATCGTTTTGAGGACACTTCTAGCTACGGGTGCCACTACAAAAAGTATCAAATACTTCAATGCTTCGATGATTGAACATTGCAGAGTATTCCACTCGAACTTCGATGCTGAGTGCTACCTCCTACCTTTAGAGAGGTATATGAAAGTACGAACAGCTAGATCCCAAGAGCAACGTCAAGGGCCTTATAAAATAAACATAAGTAAAACATTTTTTTGCATTTAAATAAATAGAAACTTCAGACATTTGTAAAATACTTTTGATACTGCTCATTAGATACGTTAATGTAGGGGTCCGGGCCTGATAAAAGTAACATCATTAAAAGTCTGGCCAAGTCTGGGCGGCTTCTTTTTTGTCCTCACCTTGTTACGGCCATGCCAAGTGGCCATAATTTTAATTTTTACGAGCAAACAAAAGCGAACAAGGAGTAAAAGGAGCAGTTGGAAAAGAAGGACTCCCCCACACACTGCTGCTCTCGCTCTGAGGCGGCTGCCTGCACTTGACGGGGCGCAGTTGAGAACTTTTAATTTCACTCCGGCTAACTGCAATAAAACATGGCACGGCATTAAATATTTTCAGCAGACACGAACCGAATGGCCGCCCCAGGGCCCTTAGAATGTTGTAAACTTGTTGAGTTTTGTGTTTTAATTTGGATTCTCTTTCGTCTTCATCCGTTTTGCAGGACGAACTGGAAGAGGCGGATGCATTTCTGGTGGTCTACTCTTGCATTGACAAGGAGTCCTTCACGAGGGCCAAGCAGATACTATCGCGACTGCAAGACATGGACTTGCACCGCCATCGCCCCATCATTCTCGTGGCCAACAAAATTGATTTGGCCCGCTCACGCGCCGTCTCTGCCCAGGGTAAGTAGCAATTAGCCCCAGTAAGGGGCACAACCCACAGCCCACGGACTACGCCAATTGCATTCATTTGCATCGTCAATTAAGTGGCGTGACCGGGCATCATGGTTATGCATGGAGTGCCTCCTTCATGTCCTAGTCCTCGTCCACGTCCTTATCCGCATCCTTGATTTGTGTTCCGCAGATGGAAAATGTCTAGCCTGTGCGTTCGGAGCCAAGTTTATCGAGGTCTCGGTGGGCATCAATCACAATTGCGACGAGCTGCTGGCTGGAACCCTCACCCAGATACGCCTCAAGAAGGACCAGAATATGTTGCAGGTATGTATGGAAGGAGACTCAATGTTTAGTCCCCCCCCACCACCTACCGCCCCGAAAACCACACCCCTTTGATGGATAGAACTAGCTATAGATCCAGTATCGGTTGCAGTAAAAGTTAGCTGGTTGGTTGTTCATCTGCTCCATCTACTACTTCTCTTCTCAACCATCCCCAACTGCCCACTCTGAAAGTTTGTTCCATGTGTAATACTTTGTATCTATCTGTATGTAATCTATGTCCAGCTGAATCCGAAAAAAGCAAAAGATAAATATAAAATTAAAGATAACAAGAACGTAGAGACTGTAGAAACTGATCAATTTCTGACTGATCTTAAGGCCGACGATGGGGTAAGTAGAACAGAAGCTCCTCTCCGATCAGTTTACCCCCGTTTCAAGTTTAACTTCAACGTCCCGACCAAATGCAATCAATGTACTCCAACCCAACTCCAACTCCAAATCTTTCCCCACATTCAAGTAAAGCATGATATATTAGTATCTAGGTTAAAAACTTCTTGTGTCTATGTTTGTTTGTACCCATATACATATATATATATATAGTATATGCATATCCTGTCCTGTCCTTGCCAATAGCCACAAAACAGCACAAAATTTTTGTAAATTTGGCAACAAGGAAATGTGTCAAGTGTAAAACCAACGAGTGTATTTCTAGACAACTGCCAAACTGTTGTGCTCTTGTGTTTGTTTGTTTGTTTCGTTGTTTGTAATATATTATCTAGTGCCCTGAGCCAGCCCCAGAATCCACATAAAGCACATGAAAAATGGAAAATCCAATTGGCGCCTGCAAAGGAATAACTCTATAATGGATGCGAACCAACACAAAAACATTTCAATCGAGTGGCAAGAAAATGTAAAATAATGTCCAGAAAGAATCCCCTTTTTGCTTGCCACTCTCCTGCCTTTCATAAAGTTGCAATTGTATGGCTAACATTTAATTGACTTACAGGGCCATCGGGACGGCAGCTCTCCGGCACATTGGTACAAGAGCCGCAGCGTTATGTTGGCCAGCATGAAGGCCCGACAGATGCTCACCTGGATACTGGGCAAGGAGGACTCCAAGTTCAAGCACTGCGAGAATCTGCAAGTGCTATAAGCCCGAGGCAAAACAAAACAAAAATTAATGTAAGCCTACATAGGTATGTGTGTGAACTGTATTGATATGTGAATATGTGTATAACCCAAACCCCAAAGCAGATGGCTTTATCCCGCCCAATATGTAAACAGGTTTCGATAGTTCGAAGCAGGCAAATCACCCTCTCTGTCCCGCCCCCCAGCCACTGTCCAGATGTAAGCCACAATTCGCGTTAACAATTTACAATTTCTGATGTGTAACCTAAGCCTGATAATCAAACAACAACAATTAAATCAAATTTAATGCTAATCAAAATCAATCGATCGGCGATTGAGATAGAATATTAAGCAGAGCAACTTAATGGAACCAAGCGAAGCAGCAACAAAGAACAACAAAATATTTACTATACTACTTACCATGTACTTAACTAGCAACTTAAATAACTTTTCTAAGCTATGAGCATGTTAGAGGGGATATTTTTCAATAGCTGACTAGCAGAAATGGAATGTACGTACTATTTACAAGGAATACGGAGAATACGATGTAGGAAAAGTGTTCCCCATACCAAATATTGGTTATAAATGTTAAGCCAATGCTTTCTATAAGATTTATATGTGTATGAATATATATGTGTATCTATCTAATCATATAGCTCAGTATCCGTTGCATTATCTTGAGTTTCTAATACATAAGGGGAGTCTTACAGGGTCTTGAATCAAAAGATAGTTGTCTTCATTGCGCTTGAAATGATTTGAAACACAACAAATAATAATAATAATAACCATTTATGGGTGTCCATCTTATATGCATAGATATAGAATTCAATATTCTTTGTGTCTTCCCTAGTCCAATATGTATGTGTGTGTAAGTGTATCTATATGTTAGGGATTCATAGATGTATGTATATCCTCCTTAAAAATGCATTGCAATGTATGGAATTGGAATGTCATCCACTGAGACGGACACGAACAGAAAATTTGTAAATGTGCTCGATGTGGAAACTTGGGGGAAAAAGCCACAATAATTATATATTGGAAAGTAAATAGATTTGTGTGTGTATATATGCATATTGGCATAGGTTCCGTGTATGTACCATGTATGTATGAAGTATAAAGTATAATAAATAAATATTTAAATGTTTAACAATATAAATTACTTAACTATTTTATTTCTCATGCTCGATGTGTAAAAAAATGGAATGAAAATGCGAAATATTATTGGGAAATGAGGCTAAATGTATCTTATAAACTAGCTTGCAAGGTTTATCCAAACTGCTGCTGAGGATTACCGACTTGCTTGGCCACCTGCGAACGATAGCGGAAGAGTGGGCGGAACACATTAATCTCCGCCAGCTCCATGTCATCGTCCGCCTCCTCGTAGGCAAGCTCATCCAGTGCTCTTCTAAGACGGCTTAATGTCCGCTCATATCTGTACAGATTGTCGAGGGCTTCGCTGGAGATGATTGGTTGTGCTTCCGCTTCTGTGGCAGCACTCAGTCTTTGCATCTGTTGCGTGGGTGTTAGGCGGTCTTGGGGATAGGCACACACCATATTGAAGGCGGCAAAGCAGGCAATAAACCGAAAGATCTGCTATTGGTGGGGTTAAGCTCCATTAAATGGATGTGACTTTGAGGTTTACTCTGCTCCACTAACCTTATTTGACAGCATTTTGTAAGGGTTTTCTGTTCAGGGTTTGTATTACCTGGTTCTAGCCCGACTGTTGGTTAAGTGTGGCTTCAGTTGTTTTGGCATCGCCATTTATACAATTGGCAAACTATTTTTCCCAGTTCAGCTTGCGGTGATTATCACCTCGAGTAGTTCTAATTTATCGCCTTGATTTTCACATGTAAGGCTTGCTGCAGTGTGTGCCTGGGCTGGGACCAATTAGCGTGTTGGCGCTGAAAATAAGAGCATTTTCCGCCCTGAATCGAAACTGGAGGAAGTCGGATCATGTGCACACGGGCAAATGTGTTTTCCTAAGCTGCGTTAATGTCAACAAAATCGCCACTGACTAATACTTATTTTCCCATCTGGTCGCGTGTCTCATCACATTATGAACTCATGATCTCAGGAACAGTAATTCCCGGTAGCCAAGCTCGGCATCTAATTGAAATAGTAAATCCAATGGCGAGTGGTGGTATCCAAATATTAAAGATTGTGGCACTTGCATTCAAAATCAATATTATGGCGTTTTTAAGTAAATATATTTCAAATTCAAATAAGTAACTGAAAGTTAGACAATCGCATATCGATAGCTTCATACCTGCACGTTTTCTGGGTGAATGGCAATGTGACAAATAGTGCTGCCCTTTTTTGTTTAAACCATATTCTATAAGCAATCAAATAAGTGGAAGTATTTAATGTTAATCAATCTTGTAGAAAATTATATGGTCTATCGGATAAAGTTATATGTTTAGTGCTGAGAGAATTAGCTAGCTTATAACATTAAATCGAATATCAAAATTGAGGAATATGATTTTCAGCAGTGTATTTACGGTATACTTTGAAAATGAGAATTCGGTATATTTCTGGGGTATTTTTGCGCTCATATTTTAAACGCAAAAACGAGATTCATTGTTGCGTCATTCCATACGCGTTCCCGTATGATACATTTGATTTGTATGGGAAAAATTTCAGCAACATGGGGAAATGAAGTAGCAGCATTGTTGTGCAACTTTGGCACGGAATGAGCAACAATCTGCATACCTTGGGAAAATGGATATTATGGACTTGAGATATTGTTTGAATTTTCAGGCTCCAATTAATGCAAAAACTACTCAGTCTCTGTTCTAAAGATTTTAACAAAGTTTTGCAGCTCACGACTACCAATAATAGGTATCAGAACCGGGATAAATGTATTTATAACACACAAACATGTGCATTAATATGTAAAAAACATGTCAATCTAGGATAAAATCATAAATAATGTTTCAATGGAGCTTGGAACGAAACATTTAACACCAATTAAAAGAAATAAGGTATACAAAAGTACATACGCATAGAAGATACTTTGTTGACCAGCAACACTGACGTAACATTTAGTCAATATTTAAGTTTTATGCTTTGGCCGTTTTTGTTTGAACCTTAATATGTAAACAATCCAATGAAAAAGAGTTCTAAAAACTAACCAATCCTGAACAAAAGTTATGTATCTATCGGATAAAATTATTTGTTTACGGCTGACAGTGCCAAATAGCTAGTAATATTAAACGGAATATTAAAATCGAGTAATATCAACGTTGAATGTTTTGAAAAAAACAATCGATACTATCGTAATAGTATCGGGCTCAAATAATTTTTAAAAAACCATTGAAACCTTTTAGGAACTTTTCCATTGTAAAAATTAAATGCCACCTGTCGATTTTTTTACAAATTTGTCTTCGTATTTTATAGCAGCCAATCGAAACATATCAAAAGCGCAACGACTGTAGCTCGATACTATCATGATAGTTGAGAAACTGTCGATAGTAGAGGCATCAGTAAAATATCGATACTATCGATAGTGCCCTCGATGGTTTGACACCTCTAATTTGTTTAGTTAAGAAGTTTGAATAGTTTAATGTTTGTTCAACGGTAAATATTAACGACAATCTTAGTTGTTAAACGTGGCTTTGTCAATCCAAACCAATCTGTCAAAAATCAGTCCAGGGGCTGTCAACAAACCCAATCGAAATAACAGCAGCAGGTCGACGTCGACCCACGGATACCCTTAAATTGTGTGACAGATAACAACAACTATTGTTGCGCTAGTATAAAAACTTCCATTGTGCAAGATAAATCTATGCAGTTACCAAGCGTACAGCAAGATGATAATGCTGAGGAATATAATAAACTTGTAGTTTGCGGTGTCTGTTATCTGTTAGAAACACAATAGACCCGACCGACTCCCGAACTCTAGCTAACTGCGTTTCTGAAATTCGCCAACTCAGCAAAATTTGAGTACCGAGCGGAAGCACATTTACAATTGCGATACTGGAGACATTTAGAATGACTTGGGCTGTCATTGTTTGAGCGATTGTTGGTGGGTCGGCCAAACGACGACGCAAACAAGACACACTATACATACATACATATGTGGCTCCGTTTGCGATAAAAGAAATATAAAACTCGCTCTTCACCCGAAACTCTATGGCCTCCGGAAAAAACCACAAAAGGCCAACCCACTCTACCTGCCGACAGCTGCCCGTTGAGTCACCCAACTACCTGTTGATCCCAGCTTGCGATTGTTCGCACTCTCTGTTTTTGTAGGTAGCTTTTAGAACGAAGACATCACGTCGCCCTGTTCGCTGGACGTGTGCAGCTGCTTTTCCACACAACGGCTGTGCCAGTCGATGCGACTAACACTGGGAGGCGGACGAACGCGCAAAATGAGCAACAACTACAACGACATACCCTTCGGCATACGGATAGTGCAGAAATTGTCGCGACAATGCTGCCCCCGCCTGCACGCCCGCCGAGATCTACTGTAAGTATTCCGCGCTGTCCGAAGAGGTGAAAAGATTTAAAAGGATTCTATTTTCCAGCTACAAGGTGTCCATTTTTGTGCTGACTTTCCTTGCCTATGCCTGCTATCACATGTGCCGGAAGCCGATTTCGGTGGTCAAATCGGTGCTCCAGGGTAACTGTTCATCTGCACAGGCTGCCCAGCTGCACGAAGGCCAGGACTGTGGCTATGCTCCTTTTGGTAGGTTTGTTGCATTGATTTTATGCCCGAATAACACCCCCTTGTATCAACCACAGATGGCCCCGATGCCAACAAACTGTTCAGCATGCTGGACTCGGCGTTTCTCTTCATGTACGCCATTGCCATGTTCGCGTCTGGATTTGTGGCGGAGCGCGTTTCTCTGCGCTACTTCCTGTCGATGGGCATGATCCTCACTGGCGTGTTTACGTACATGTTTGGCATTGCCCGCACCTCCAACATACACAGTCTCTGGTACTTCATCCTCGTCCAGATCTTTGCAGGCATATTCCAGACCACGGGCTGGCCAGGCGTGGTCACGCTGGTGGGTCGCTGGTTTGGCAAATCGAAGCGCGGCCTCATCTTCGGCATTTGGAACAGTCACACATCCATTGGCAACATATTGGGCACCTTGATAGCTGCGCATTATCTGGAAAGCGATTGGGCCATGTCCTTTGTCGTGCCTGGCATAATCATTGGCGCCGTTGGCTTTCTGCTCTTCCTGTTCCTGGTGGATCAGCCCGAGATTGTGGGCTGCTCTGCGGCAAGCGTGAGCGAGCGTCACGTTACCAACGACTCGGACGAGGAGAACGACGACGAGGAACAGGTGCGCCACAACGCTGCCGTAAGTATTCGCTTTCGGCAATGATGGCTAATCCAAGCGAGAACAAATGGGCCTCGGATTGTCCCTATTTTTTGGTGAATTTAATTTCTTAAGTGTATCCATGTTCGCGTGTTTGCTCGGCTGTAGTTGGTGGTCAGGTCTGGGTATGGCATTCCAGAAACCGTAAGTGCATGGATTCAATGTTTGCTTTCCCTATTGACTGCTTCGCTTCTGTAATTTTTGCATGCTTTGCCCCACGAATCTCCACGAATCAATCGAAAGTGTAATCTCTCTTACTTTTGCAGGAAATCAGCTACAGATCGACGCCAACGGAGCGCACACCAATCCTGGCTCGTTCTCAGTCGCAGAGCCATCAGAGGGAGCACGGAGCCGGTCGTCCCATCAGTCTCATCGATGCTCTATATATACCCGGCGTTGTGGAGTTCTCGTTGTGTTTGTTCTTCACCAAGCTGGTCAGCTACACCTTCATGTACTGGCTGCCCTTGTACATACAGTCTTCCAGTGAGTATAAAGACTTCCTCTGGGCAATTGAAAAGTTAATTAATAAACTTATATATTATGGCAGGCACATTGAGTCCCACGCTGTCCGCTGATCTGTCCACGCTCTTCGATGTGGGTGGCATTTTCGGGGCCATAGCTGCGGGCTACATATCCGATCTCACTGGAATGTCGGCCACCATCTGCACGGGCATGCTCTTCATAGCCTCCCCCATTGTAAGTCTCTGCATGAACAGGCCCATTCAGTATTGTGTAATGACGAGTAATTTCCATTTCCCTTCAGCTTCTGTTGTATCAACAGTACGGCGCATTGTCGGTGTCGATCAGCGTGCTGCTGCTCATTGTGGTCGGCATCTTTGTGAACGGGCCGTATGCATTGATCACGACATCGGTGAGCGCAGAACTGGGCCAGCACAGCTCCTTGGAGGGTAATGCAAATGCTCTGGCCACTGTGACGGCCATCATCGATGGCACTGGTTCGATTGGTGCAGCTGTGGGGCCACTGCTGGCGGGGCTGATCTCAACCACAGGCTGGCAGAATGTCTTTCATATGCTGATCATAGCCGACATCATTGCCATGCTGCTGCTGGGTCGACTAGTCGTTAAGGAGTTTGCCTCGCTGCGCAGATCCCCGACGCGCATTCGCATCGAATAACAGGAGGCGGACCTCGAGTCTGATGTTGATTTGTCTGACCATATTTATTACATATTTTGATAACCACCGTTCTGTGTACATAGTGCATTGTATAGCATTCATAAAGAAGAAGCGTTCCGTTTCCATTCGAGAGCGTGCGAGTATCAGAGCCGATCTGATTTTAGTTTTATCCTACCCATTATAGTACATGTCGTCGTATCACTAATGTTATTTTAAATGTATGTATTCGTTTAACCAGCCGGAATGTTAACCATTATCCTAAGCTATCTTTCAAGTTTACACTTTTGATATATTGCGTACAAATACTATACATATATACTATACGATATACGATATATACTATATATATATTTTGTAATCTTGTGTGTGTGCGTATGTGCCAGAGTCTCTTCGTTTTAGGTGCCGAACTATCATTAGTTATAGCGTAATTCTACTGCTATGTAAATACAGTTTATCCGTACACTTTTCGTACATCAATAAAAACGGAAGGACCGTCCGCCCCCACGGCTGGCAGTCCACTTTCTGAACTTAATGTCTTTTTCTGGTCACTGCCGGACGGACTCGCTGTTTGCTTGAGTTCCTCTTTCGCCTGGCATCACCCATGCTCATTCGACCAATCTTTCATCGACTTCTGTGAGTGTACCATCTTTGTTCCTGCGGACGTAGCTTTCGGCGGCAATCCTCTTCAGATACTTCACGGTGGCTGCATCATTTTGACTGACGAGCTTGAGCAGAGCACCCCCGGGACGCTGCAGCAGCTTGTGCGGTGCCCCGAACTCAACAATCTGGCCAGCATCCATTACCAGGACGCTGTCGTTGTCCATCACCGTATGCAGTCTATGAGCAATCGTTAGGACTGTGCAGCGGGCAAACTTTGTCTGAATTGTCTCTTGGATCAGGCCATCCGTCCTACAGGAAGAGCGAAAAGGAATAAAAGTTAATCAGGGAACCAAGGACATTTGAAAAGAAGCTGCTTACTCGGTGTCCACATTGGCCGTTGCCTCATCCATAACGAGAACCCGATTCTGTCGGAGTATGGCACGAGCCAGGCACACCAGCTGCCTCTGGCCCATGCTGAAATTGGAGCCACCATCCTGCATGCGACAGGCCAGACCTCCCTCCAGACTGGACACATATTTCTTCAGCTTCACGTCATCCAAGGCACTCCACATCGCCTCGTCGCTCTTCTCGCCAAACGGATCGAGGTTGAAGCGCAGTGTGCCCGAGAACAGAACGGGATCCTGGGGTATAATCGATATGCGACTTCGCAGATCGTGCAGACCCAACTGGGCAATGTCCTGGCCATCGATCTCGATGGTGCCCTCATTGACAGCCAGTCGAAACAGGGCCTGAATGATGGAGGACTTTCCCGCTCCCGTGCGTCCCACAATGCCGATCTTCTCCATGGGCTGCGATTCAAAGTTCAGGCCTCGAAGTATGTCCTCGTCTTCGGGGGAGTAACGCATGCGCAGCTCCCGGAAACGAAGATGACCCGCCTGTGGCCATTCCGGCGAAAGTTTCACACTCGCAGGCGTCTCCAGTGGTGGCTCCGACGGCATCTGTGCGTACTCCAGCACCCGCTCCACACTGGTCATATTGTTCTCCATCTCCGCCGTCTGCCGCATGCCCCACTGGCACATAATCACCAGAGTCATTGACTGTGTGATGGCCAGGCCCACATCGCCACTGTAGAACGTCTGGTTAATCACCAGGAAACTGAAGGTGACGGCCAGGATGTAGACCACACAGATGAGATCCGTCCAGAAGGAGAAGGCCCGATTGGCGCTCACGTAGAGGAACAGGGCCGAGGAGTTTGTGTTCTGGTGTCCATAAAAGGTCTGCTCCAGCTGCGGCATGGCGTCCATCGATCGTATGGTGGTATGGCCATGGAACGTTTGATTCGTATGGGAGTAGATGGGACTCCGAGCTGGATTGGCAGGGGGAAAAGAAACGTGAGCTAGGGGCGCTGCATTCGGAATAGAATATCGAACTTACTCATGCTCTCGATGCGCTTCAGGCTGCGACTGGCTCCCATGTAGAGGGACCGGCAGAGGTACAGGAGCAGCGCCATTACGGCAGCTGGGATGAGCAGCCAATAGTTGGCAATGGCCACAATCACCACAACGGCCACCACATCCACCAGGAACTGGAGGCAATCCATCATGGCCTGCGGCAGGGACACATCCACATTCTGTATGTCGCTGGAGAAGCGGTTGAGCACGCGACCCGAGGGATTCACATTGAAGAAGTGCATCCAGGCACGTATGATGCCCTGGTAGAGCTGATCGTGCAGCCGCAGGGAGATGCGCAGACACATGAAGAAGAAGCCAAAGGTGCGCAGCAGGTACAGGGCGAGGGTGCACAGCAGCAGGACAGTGTACCAGGTGACCATCTTGGTACGCGTGGCCTCGTACTCGTTCACGGAGTCGTAGCTGCGATCCTCCTCCCAGGTGGCCCAGCGCGAGATGAAGATATCCATGGCCGCCTGGCAGCCGCGGGCGAGTATGAACATGGCCAGCACCAGGCACACGAGGAACGGAGCACCCAGGGCCCGGAAGTAGGACTTGTATGTTTCGTAGCTCACGGCTCCCTGAAGCTGACGCTCGGCGTGTGCATCCTCATCCTGTTCGGTGCTGTTCGCGTCAGCTTCGTTGCTTTTGGTCGACAGCTTGGAGGTCCTGTCCACCTGGCTGAGCACTCGCTTCACCTGCTGCTTGTCCGACTCGATGGCTTCCAGATCGAGGGCCGCATGGTGGCTGATCACATCCTTCAGCTGGTCGTAGCTGCCCTGCTGCGTGAGGCAGCCCGATTCCAGCAGCAGCAGGTGGTCCACATGCTTCAGCAGCTGCACATGGTGGGTGACCAGGATGCGCATCTTTCCACTGAGCAGCCTATTGAAGCACTTGTCCATCAGCAGCTTGCCCACCTGGGCATCCACTGCCGCCAGGGGATCGTCGAACAGGTAGATGTCCGCCTGTCGATAGACAGCCCTTGCCAGGGCAATCCTGGCCTTCTGTCCTCCACTCAGGCTGATGCCTCGCTCCCCCACAACGGTGGCATCGCCACGTGGCAGCAGCTCCAGGTCCCGCTCCAGCTGGCATGCATGGATCACCGAACGGTAGCGCTGCTCGTCGTAGGGCTCCACAAAGAGTATGTTCTCGCGGATGCTGCCCTGGAAAACCCACGGCTGCTGGGCGGCATAGCTGATCCGTCCGTGAATCTCCACCCGTCCCTCCATCAGCTCGATTTCGCCCAGAATGGCGTGGAGGAGCGTGCTCTTGCCGGATCCCACGTTGCCAACGATGCCCACAAACTGATCCGACTTGGCATCGAAGGAGATGCCGTGGATGTGCGTCCTCCGGCGTTGCTTCGTGCTGGGCTTCTCCCAACTGGCGCTGACATTCTTGAAGCTAAGGGATTTCACCTCGCTCTTCACGCAGTGCAGGCGGCCTCTCTTCATGGGTTTCTCCTTCTCCGACTGCGTCTCCAGCTGCAGTCCGGGATTGTCCTGGCAGCAGCCCTCCTCTGTGGGCTTTTCAGTCTGCTGCAGGAAGTCGACGACGCGGCCAGCACTCACCAGAGTCTGGGCCCAGGTGGTAATGGCCATGGGCCAGTAGTGGAGCAGGGAATCGTTCAGGAGACTGTAGTAGGAGGAGAGTATGAACACCTTCTTGGCGGTGACGACATCGCCCACATAGACATAGGCGATGAGGCTGAGGAAGAGCGATATCTTCGAGATCATGTTGGTGCACTGCAGCGCCGCGTAGATACTCATTGATCCCCGGATAGCCTTAACCTCCAGCTGCCTCACGGCGGCAATCAGTCGCCCAAAGGTCTTCTCCCAGGCATACATCTTGATCACCTGAATGGCGCTGATGATCTCATTCATCAGCTTGACGCGCTCATCGCGATGTTTGGCCGACTGCGATCGGAAGTGGGCGGCTGCCTTGGCCGCCCATGCCTGTAGGGGTATCAGGACCACAATGAAGGCAATGCCAATGAGGGATGTCCAGCCAATCTGGCGGTACATGATGTACCCAAAGATGCAGGCCTCCACGGGCCCCTTCCACAGATCGTGAAAGAAGTAGAAGGTAAGATCGAACTGCGACAGATCGATGGACATCACGGAGATGGCCTGGGCGCCCAGACCCTCACCACTGCTGGCCGAGGCGCGCAGACACTTCCTGTAGACGAGACCGGCGCAGGCCAGGCGTATCCGTGTGCCCACCGCAAACACGTAGAACATGAATGGGTGAAATACCAAGGAGGTGATGAGCGAGCACAGCACGATGCCCGTGGCATACAAATAGGCGCTCTCCTTGCTGATGGTCGTCTGTCCCTGGGCAAAGTACGAGATAAGGCCGCCCAGCAGCAAAGGCTGAAAGGAACTGCAACGAGATATCCATTGCAAAAGCATTCTTTGTGGTTTAATTTGCATTGCTCACTGTATGGCTATCTCCAGCGCTGAGTAGAGCACACAAATGGGCACAAACTGCCAGCCATAGACCCGGAAGATCAGGCACATAAGGCTGGGGCTTTTCTTTCGCGACTCCTGCTCCCAGTGGGGCTGCAGATGCCTGGTCAGTGATTCACTGTCGAAGCTCGGCAGATGCTCGTACAGCTCGTTGGCATCCAACTGCTCGCGTCTTCCCTTGGCGAACACATTGCCCATCCACCTGGCAGAAAGGAGTAGGTAGGAGAAAACCAAACTGATAAGTCATATGCTACGGGAATATCTAATCAATTTATCATCGATGGGGGACTTAAGGATGACAGGCACCATGAGCCCTAGCATTACTACGTGCCTATCAACAGGAATGATGATACATATAGGCGATATTTGTACTACATATTCTTGAATTATTTAAGATCGGTAAACCAATTTGAGGCACACTTTCGGGGGCACTGATTTATTTACTCGTATAATTCACTTGATTGGTTATTATGGATCCTGCCACAGGGCCGAGGCCGAATATCTTAACTATTCAGGCACTATACCACTTGAGAGCTTATCACAAACACTCACAACTTGTATCACAACAAGCAAATCAAACGATCCACGCGCTCACTGGTTGACCATGGCCATGTCTATGACTGTCAGATATAATAGCTTCCGGCTAGGGATTTACACTTGTCCACAGAACACAAAACAACAAAGGAGAGCGGCGAGCGGAGAACTAAAGGTAACTCACAGGAATAACCACTTGGATATAATATTTGCTTTTAGGAAGGGATTTGTCGCCCGTTTAGGGTTCGTCTGCTTGGATGCATCCATTGTTCGACGGTTGACGGAGTACAAGTGAACCACTTCTGGCCATGACAGCTCTTTTAAATGCTCCCCAGACTGTGTCGGGAGCTGTGACGTCTGCCTGCTGATTGCTGTGGCCGGTGGAGCCACCATCTTATAAGCTTTTGCACTAGGCACAACGTGCGACAAGCGATAAAGTGGGCAACCCACTTGGCTAGTTCTCTGGCTGCCGGCTAGCTCTTTGATAGTCGTAGAGTGATAGTGACTAAGACGTAATCGATGGCCAGGTTGGTCTGCAATTATGATGTCCGCCATTGCAGCAGAGTGCAGCAGTTTTTGGGCTTTCTCTATAAATCTTCAGGGGATTCTGTGTGAGATCTGGATAAAGGCCTTTTTTATTGGCCATTGTTTTGGCACACGGTGTGATAATTCCAGAACGCACAGCCATAGCCCCAAATGTGGCCTTTATGATGGATCTCATTACCGGCGGGAGACACACACACAAAATTATTCTTATCTTATCGAGCACAATTATTATGCTACTACTATTAGTTTTGGGCCAGACACGAAACTAGATGTTTGGCCAGCAGTTCAATAGACCCAGATAACACCAGTTTGGTAGTTCATTCATGACTAAACCTTTATGATCTTCAACTACAAGTACAGGAGGTATAAAAGCAATGATACACGATACACAGAACGTGCCACAGGCCACAGGGGATAAGGCACATTAATGGCTAATACGGATTTGGCTTTTTGCTTAATGCTAAAATGCACAAACATGAATTAGGCTACAACGAACACTTGTAATTTACGATATATATGTATATACAGAAAATTTGGATAAACTTTAAGGCAAATTGTGGAGATCGTGCAACGTGTAGAGCTGTTCCGTGCGGTCGTAGACCTTCCGGGTGTTCCCAAGCATTTCCGGCAGCAACGCAATGGCACTGGGCACATCCTGGCAGACGCGAGTGAGCAGATCTCCACGTGATGGCATCGCATACATGGCCAGGCGGGCGCCCTTTCTTATTAAAAATGCATGATGCTTACCAAGTGTGTCGTCATAGGCCGCTCTGCACACGCCCGAAGTTTTCTCCTCGTTCTGCAGATCTTGCAGGCGCTTCAGAAACTCGTAGAAAAACTCTAGATAAGAGAACAAAGACAATCAGCAAATGTGGCAAAAGTTTAGAGCAACAAAAGCTAGCCAACCAACCAAGGCCACGATGGAGACGCAGCAGAGTGCGGCTACCCGACACATAGCCTTTTGAGGACAGCAGATTAGCGTCCCTCTCATAAACCAGCATTGCATTAAAGGTCTCGAAATACTTTTGCTCCTCGGTATCAGTCTTTCGTAGCTCGTACAGAATATCTATTTTTTCGCGAACATCGCTGCTCACGAAGCCAAAGATGCTGCCCATAAGCTGGAAGAACCTGCAATCGACACAACAAAGGTAAGAGTTGATGTTCCAAGGCGTTCCCTCCAGGCTATTCTTACTTCATAATTTCTTCGTAGGCCGCCAGGTAGGCGTCCAAGAGGACGTCATCTTCTCCGAGGAGACTGCTGGCGAACAGCTCGGCCACTTTTTCAATATCGAAGCACTCTGAATTTGCATTGACAGTCTCTATCGAACCATTTACAGACATTTTCCAGTTTCTTATTGGACTTTATTGATGAGAATTTGAACCGATATCTGATAACAGTCAAAACAGCTGATGGTCACGTCACAAGAATTTTGAGTGCTATTCACAGTCCTATCGATAATTTCGTGACTGTGAACTGGTCAAAATATGCGGAAATTCGAATTACAGAAACATTAAATTTAAATTAATATTTATTTATATAGTTATGAATTATTGACATCTATGCCGATGAGAGATTACCACTGCCGCTGCTGGCGCCTTTCTTTGTGGGCCGATAAGCAATGACATAGCGCTGGGCTACGGGCAGGGGCTCTGCATAGCCATTCATATAGGAAGAGTCCTCGAAGAGCACATCATACTCTTCTGTGGCAGTGGCAGGCAGGCGGTGTACAATGGCCTTGTAGAAACAGGTCGTTTGTGGATACAAAGCCATCACTACAGTGTCCTTGGGAAACAGAGCGTGACCATCGGTCTCCGGATTGGCACGCATCAGGGGCAGCGGAATAACTTTCCTTTTGCTGAGAACATGCCGGTCCTTTTGCTCTTCATCAATATCAATCACATCGTACTTATTTTGTCGTTGCAAAAACTGAACCACCTCCGCCAGTATCCAGTTCTCCTCTTCATCGATGCCTTTTGCCAAAGCAGCTACGTTGTCGCCCACCTTTCGGGAGAGAGCAGACAATATCCTTGTAAGTCATTCCCATCTCAACAAAAGACTGGCACTCACCTTGGCCACATAGTTTCCCTCAGCTGGAATAGCTCCGCACAAGGCTGGAGCCCGTTCGCCTGGCTTGCTCACAAAAAGAGGCAAAGTTTGGGCAGATAGTTGCACCATTTTCATGAGGGCTCCTCGACGAATGGCTTCTTTGTTGCCAGCATTGCGAGCTGTGTGAAAGGATAAGACAAAAGCAGGATATTTTATCAAGAGCGCAGTTTCACCTTAGCTTCAACTCACCCTGAATGCGACGTTCGTTGCGAATGCTCCGAATTTCGTGGATTTTGGCGAGAGCGGCTCGGATGGTGGCCTCCTCCTGCGAGGTCTCCAACATGCTGGCCTTAAGCAGGGGTTTCACCTTTGCATTGTTTGTCTGAAGCGACCGCACCAGAGTGGAGATGGAGTTCTCTGCCCGGCGGCGCTCCTCATCAACAATGTGAATCTGCTGCTGAATATCTTTCAAGCGATCCTACGGGACAAGCACAAAGTAAATGTAACTACTCCCTGTCATTCATCATCATCTTGGCTTACCTGAATCTGTTGAGCTGCACTCTCTGCAGTTAGCGGCATTTTTTGTTGTTTAAAATTTTGCAAATTTTTGGAAGCAATCGAAAATAATGAAATTATCAATGAAATAATGAAACGAGTTATCGGTATCAATGAAACTATCAATGAAAAAATGAGTGACTATCGCATACCACACATCGATCAAAAGACTATCGATAGTTTATTTTCATTGTTGTTGACAGCAAAATCCTCTTCTTCCTCTTCTTTTCCGCTGAAGTGTCAAAAACGTAGGTCGCAAAGGAAATTATTTTCAATAAAAAATCCGGCAAATTGTTGATTTTCGCAACAAATCGACGAAATCTAGAAGTGTTAATGTGTTACCCGTGCTTTAAACTATTTGTAATGTGGAATATTTTCTGTTTTCATGCTACGCCCACCCTTGGATGTTCGGATATTCGCTATGCAAAAATAGTTTGAGATGGCCAAGTCAAAGAATCACACAAACCACAACCAGAACAAGAAGGCCCATCGCAATGGCATCAAGCGCCCCATGCGTAAGCGCCACGAGTCCACCATGGGCGTAAGTAGACAGAATTAATATACTCTATATGAGTGCACATATGCTAACCCGGCTTCTCTTTGTGAACAGATGGATGTCAAGTTCCTGATCAACCAGCGGTACGCCCGCAAGGGTAATCTGTCGCGCGAGGAGTCCGTGAAGAAGTTCAACGAACGCATCGCCGCACAGCAGGGCAAGCCCAAGCCCATTACTTTGTAGATTCCAGACAGCATCCGATCTTGGTTAGAAGAGAGCTCGTTGTTTAATTAAAGGAAATCAATTTAACGTATCCGCCAAAATGTTTATTCGTGGTCAAGCTTATGGTTAATAGTAAATGCTCAAGACCTTGTGGAATGGGATATGTTCCAAGTCTGCCTGGTACTGGCGTCTGTAGTCCCAGAGATACTGGTCAATGACAACAGAATTGACGCATGGCGAGATCTCTGAATGGTCTTGCTTCAGGGCTTTCATCACTTCATCCCTGACCTGCTCGATTATGTATATCGAAGCGCCGCGTATCTCCACCTCCATGGGATCGCCGTTCTCCAGAATTGTATCTGCTTTGAGCACCTCTAGCAATTCTGGCGTGTACTCCAAGCTGCCGAAGTGCACCAGCACCTGTGGAATGCGGTAGTCGGCAAACATGGTGATCTGATCAATGTCGTGGAAGAAGCCTAGGCCTTTGCCTCTGTAGCAGGACCAGATATCGCCGACAAGTATCTGAGCCCGTTTCAGGATGGAAACGCGCTTTCCCGCAAAGTCTGCCTGGTCCCGGAAACAGGGGAACTCCTCCACAATCAGCTCCAGCAGACGCACCGCCGACTTGTCGGCTGCCTTGATCACATTTTCAAATCGGCCATCGTACTTCTTTAGCAGACAGTTGCCCACTTCGTGAAGACAGTCGATACGTTTCTGGATGAGCGGAATCTTGGTCTCGCCATCGTCAGACCGGAATATGTGCTCCACCGTCTTCATGTCGATCTGAGAGTAGAACTTGGCACTCGTCACATTTACGCCTTCACCGATAGCTCTTTTAATGGCGGCACAGAGGGCAAAGTATCCGGTGTAGCCATTGACCTTGTATTTCGTATAGTTATCTATGAAAAGATCGGTTAGATTGCTTAGAGATCAGTTCATGTGACTCACTCGGTGTCCAGAAGCAAAAGTTCAGGGTATCAAGGACGAAAACCCAGTCGGCGGCACCTGTATAAGCTTCAGGCTTGCTGTCTTCCGGATTTGGATGCAGCTCATGCTGCGAAAAATTATCCACGCATATGCGTTTACTGTGGAGGCCCTCTAGAATTTCCTTGGAAAGCTTTTCGATGCCTTCAGGCACCACTCGCAGGTGCTTGGCATGCTTTACGATGTGATCTCCAGACTCTCGTGGACTTAGGCTCTTGCTTATCATCTTGGTAATCCTAATAAACCTTGAAAGTATAGTGACCGCGTTATTTTTATTATATTTATTTGTAATTTATCGATATAGCGATATCATTAGTGATGAACGAACTTAACCCTCATTACGCCCTCCCAACCATGTAATACAGGCACACACAATGACAAAACTGGAAGTTAAACCACGCGGAAAATAGAGTACAAAATTTGTTTGTGAATTCATTGCATTAGCTAGCTCTATTCCAAATATAATTGTATTCTATTGGCTAATGTTAAGAAATTTATTTTATTGGATTGCTTTTAAAATACGGTTTAAGCATAAAAGACAATTTCATTGACATGATTGCTACATATCAGCAACATATTTATACAGTTTGGAAATTTTGTATTTGCTATGTTTCTTAATTTGATTAAAGATTAATCTTCAGCTTGATTTTGAATTTAAAAAATAGAGCGAAATGACCGATAAATTTACAATCGATAGCAGCGAATCTGTGATTTCCATCGCTGTACAGCACTACCATTTAATTTTTTTTTAAAAAAAAAAACAAGCCAGCAGCAGCTGACGTCGGTGTCGCGATATAATGTCCCAAAATACTAATTAAATGGCTTAAGCTGGTTCTAGAACCAAAGAAAGCATCCTGTGAGATTGTGTAATACTCCCTGTCCATGTATTTGTCTAGTATTTACTAACCCAAGAGTGCAAATTCGTTATCAAAACACACACAAAAGTCGTGCCGTGAAGGAGTCGTTTTTTTAATCAAATTATTAGTTATTCGTGATATCTTGTTTAACCTAATATAAGTTTGTGAATGCATTGAAAAAGTATATGAAGATATCACTCGCAAACGTACTATTTAAGCGCCCAAAAAGTTCTTTGTGCTGTGAGCAAATATTTTATCGACGTTTCAGTTTGGCAGCCACCAACACACACATACAGACACTTCTCTGCACTACACACACACATATGTAAGTGCGCTGAAGATACAGATACACGTGCGCTCAGCTGTGCCCCCCACCAAATGTCGACTGTTTTCATTCAAGTCTGATCCTGCACAAAACACGACTCTTTAAGACTGAGACAACGACACACTGCAACGAGATTCATTCAACAGGTGAGCCCGCTTGCTTAGCGTGGACTGAGCATAAGTAAGAATTCATCCCGTAAAGATCTCCAGTACTCGCCGTAATGGTTATTATGCTTAAATAATATTTCGTATATTTCGTTTGTTTGTAGACACGAACACTCTGGTAATTATTATAGACAGATTTGCAGTAGTGTGTTGTCGCCCAAAGTGCTAATTAATATGTACACTCAACCACTTAGATCTGTAGAATCATTCAGTCAGACTCTTGATTAGTTCGATAGAATACATACATATGTATATCCACCCATATTGTTCTTGAATTCCACATATGTACATATATTTGAATATGTCTGTGTGTATATTAAGTAGTTTTACATAAATATATTTAGAGACCTAGAACTTGCAGCATCATCTACCGTACACCCACACAGGCACGTATTTATTTTTATAATATTCTCGGGACTATTCCAATTTGTGGCTTCTACTAGATTTTGTCATTATTTGCCAATTAAATGGGTTCTCTATATATTTTATACAGGAAATAGGAAATAGGTGTTTCCCTCCGTCGACTATAACAATAGCCTTCTTACTTGCTTCATTTGTAATCTGTCATAATTGAAGTGTATATTAATATCGTAATGCACAGCGGTATCTGCAGCAAGAAATTCTTTATCTTTCCCGTTATCGTCCACTTCACCCAAAAGGCTGGCAGTAAGCTTGACACTCGACTCCAAGCAATCGAAATATAATATCTTTCATTGCATTCCCTTCTCGATCATCATTAAGTTGAATGCTCATCAGCTGTCATCAGGTGTTAATTTGTGCTGATTATATTCACATCTATAATTTTCCATGTCAAGCAATGGAATCTAAATCACTAAAGGTAATTGAAATCTTCTTAATTCACTGTATCGCAAATCTATGCTAATTTGCCTGATAAACGATGTCAAATCAGACGCTGGCCCATGGTTGAACACCTTTGCTTGGGTCTCAGTTTGTTTTCATATCGGGTCGACACTTGACGCATAATCTTCTCCAGAACAATCCCATCAGCATAAGGTAAAAAATTACATTGTAAAGTGCTTGCAACATGGTGGAGAGAGTTCCGGTGTACTCCATTTCGCATTTTATGGAAAAGCGTTCGAGTGGCTCATCAAATGGCGAGGGCCACCTATCTAATGAACAAGTGAGTCGAATGAAACCAAAGGAGTACTTCGATTTCAAAGGTGTACGATCGAACTAATCGAAGATTTCCACGCGGGCATACAATTGATCTTTAACTCGTTCAAGGGAGCATGCATATTGATTGGAATCAAAAAATGTTTATCCTCTCAAAAGAGCGTCATTTGAGAGATCATAATCCCACTAAATGTAATTAACTTCGCATAAGATATGAGGGTACTTAGTTACCTCTCTCCATTATCTGTGATTAGATTCCATTTGTGCATATTTCACCAGAAAGGGTATGAAACACTCCGGCATGCCCAAGCTCAATCAGGTCTTAGCTTTTGTTTTCATTTTTATATTACTTACCCCACATTCCCATATCACGTGTCCCACACATACTCATATGTTCCCACGAACACACACACATCCAAATTGTTTGATAAACGCCGTTATTTTTTTTGGGTTGCAATTTCTCATTTTTATCAAAAAACAAAATAAAACAAAAAGTGAAGGAGAGTTGAGCCCCGCAGAGTGCGAGAGAGGGTGTGTGAGTGTGTGCGAAAGTTGTTGCTTTTTCTCTCTTTCTGCGCCATCGGTTACAGTTAGTTTTCCAGCAGAGTGCGCCGCGTGCGCTCCACTCACCGACTAATCGCCGCTTTTATATTTGAAATAGATTATAGTCGGGCAATTTGCATTTTTCGAAAGCTAAACAATATACTACATGTTTACCTATACACATACCCGTAAGCCGTAATCACCGACGAGTCAGAATTGTTCCGGGGAGATGCTCCTCAGTGCTGTGGTGTCTCTATCTCCGTCTGGGCCCCAAAACGGAAAACGATAGGCGCGAGTAAATATTTGGCCCGGGGCTTAAGTCCAGTGACACGCTGTAAACTGATAATAAAAGTGTACTAAAACAGTTACACATTCGCCTGAAATTGGAGGTGGTTCGAGGTTACCAATAGAGAGAGGGAGAGAGAGAGAGACCAGTATGAAGCGCACACCCAAATTGCACGAGGTAGGGCGGGCCTACTCGGAGATGTCGCCCCTCAATCCGGACTCTCCACCTGCAGCAGCGGTGGCCAGTACCAGCGGCTACGGCAGCATTTTCCCCTTCGGCCTGCTGCGTGGCTCCTTTGGTCGCGGCGGCAATGCTGCTGTTCAGGTGGGTGAAAAAGTAAAGCTTAATCGTCTGTTCTATATGGTATATGGGGGGGAGACTGCCTTATCGGCATTCCCACTACAGACCAGACAGATGTATGTACTGTACATACATATGTATGTATGCCTGAAATGAGATTGTTTTACCGATAAGTAAGCAGACGGCGGGGCATATGTTATGGTATGGTTTTGCTAATTTTTTTTTATCGTGTCGACTAGCTTAGTCGCCTCGAATCGTACATACCCTTCAACAAACATACGTCATAGCTCTACATGACACGTATGTACTTACCATAGCTTTATGGCCTGCAGCCTTAAAGTATGCTGCAATAAAAAGGTTTATACTTTTTATTACCGACCAAAATGGCGGCAATATTCAAAAACAGCAGAAAATCCGAAAGGTAAATGTTAATTGATCAATGCTAAAGGGTGAGGTTTCCTTTAGACTAAGTTAGATATTATCGGAAACTATTTCCTTATTGGATTACTCCTAGGCAATATCTAAATATATATTCCTATTGAATACGAAAATTATATTCCCATTCCGATTCTGGGCATCCTTTCCGGTTTCAGTCCGATTCTATTTGACTTTTTGGGGTGAAGGAAATAAAAAGAAAAGGTAATTAGCCGTACAGTGAATTTTTCCATTGTCTTTTGTTTATTAGGAAGCAGCTACAGCAATATCTTTGTGGGTGGTGTTCCTTTTAGTATCCGCAGCTTATCAAAATAGGTTTTATCGGTGCTGTTTGCTCAATTAATGAAAACTAAATAGAATATGGCGGATCGGATCGTTTGGGGGCATCATTTATATGATGCTCCACCATTCTGTGCGCAGGCAGTTCATTGAAGGCGCCTTTGCCAAGCAGTCGATGCGCAGCTTCGGGAATTAATAAACTGAATAACATACAAACATACATATTCGCGTATATACATATATATATATACATATATAAATATATATATTTATCTATTCAATCGATATCGAAATCGGCCTTCAAAACGGAACTGAACGGCGAAAGTTTGGCGAAAATGTTCAAGGCCCGCTTAAAGACGAGTCCCAGCGGCGGGGGTGAGGTGTGTGTTCCATCATCTAACCATCTATCTATATATCTATCTATCTATTTATCTGTTGTATGACAATTAAGAAAGCAAGTAAGAACTTTATAGGCCTGCTGGCGCCCTATCTAACACGACAGCCGACAGCTGATGACAGCCCCCTGACATGTGACAGAGAAAGCCCCCAAGAAAATTATAGAAACAATCTTTTAGCAATGTTATCTATTCGCCCCTTTTTTGTGTTGTAGGAAATATGTATGCATAGATCGATACAGAATGTTATAAAGCGTGTTCCAGTGGAAAAAAACTAGAAAATAACGGAATCTATAGGATAGATATACATATATGTAGGAATCTTGCATCAGTCAATCAATTTGGATTCATTAAGAGGGAATGACTCTCAATGTGGTTGTTACCCCAATCAATATTTCAGACGTTCTTCGATCAAAATCAATTGGAAGCTAAACTGCTATATAACGCAAAGCTTTCAACACGTAAATAATGATCTACTTAACCTTCGTAGATGCATACACACCCATCCTAGGATACAGCCACCCCATGAGATAAGCACCCACCCACCCCCATTTATTTCAACATCTTCCGAGTGTGATAGAGCGTAAACCACCGCGTCATGGAGAAAGATGGGAGAGCACATAAGCCTCCAAAGAAGAAGGTCGCTTCGATATTGAGTGGAATCGAAGAAATACCAGATCCAGATCCAGACCCCAATACAAAACCAACGACAACCAGTGAAGGGACAAGGGGCACAAGTCCGCGTCCCCAGGCGAGTGGCGGAACCATTGCGGCTCTGGTGAGCGGTTTGCACCACACGGGGGCACGTGACATCCAGTCGCTGCATCAGCCACTGCTCGAGTGCGAGGAGCGGGCGCTGGCCATCAAGAATCACCTCAGGGTGCATCGCCAGGGCCATGGCACTGAGGCATCGCCCCACGATTCCATGTCGCGATTTATAGTCGATATCGAGGAGGAGCCATCGGATTCGTCGCAGAGTACCGGAGTGCAGGAACACCAGGAGCATGAGCATACCGGTGGTGGTGGTGGTGGTGCTGGCGGTGGCGGTGGCGGACCGAGTTCCTTGCGTCGCTTCAGCCACTTCAATCTGGCACTGCGTCGTTTCTCCCACATCCCACATGTCCATGTAAATGTAAATGCACACCGATCCTTGCATTCTTCTTGTTCCCCTTGTTCTTGTAACGTTTGTTTGCTGCTCTTCTGCTTTTGACCCTAACCCCGACTCCGTGTACATAATGCAAATACTTATACCCATGCAATCCCCCCCACATAATAAGCAGAATAAGCACAGAGAGAGAGAGAGATGTTCGTTCCCCCTGGAAAACCAGTATATATCGGATCTAAAAATAAACTTCTTGCTGCTTGCTGCAGCTTATGGCCTTACTAAAAAGAATGAAGAGCCCACTCACTAATGCTGCAAGAATGGTCTGTTCTTCTGTCTGTTTCTTCTGCCTTTGCTTTGTTCTGTTTGCTTTCCTTTCCTCGGAAGTCAGTGGCTCATGAGGCTGATTACTGCGTGCTCAACGAGGCTGCCTCTCGACTTGAGGGCCCCCATTAAGTGACACGCGATTCGATTGGATTCTATTAATGCTCGTCGGTCGAGTCCAAAATAAACTAACTCAATCGCTCATTAAGTGTCTCCGTGATATCAAAAAACTGTCCATCTCTGTCGCGGTTCTCAAGTGTCGCCAAAGGAGTGTTCCGTGCGGGCGGGGAGGAGGAGTGTGTTCAATAACCTAATGGAAGCCATAAACTGTAAAGAACATTGATGTAATTAGTTGGAAGTACATTTCACTCGAATGCGGATGGCTGGTCGGTCATCGGTTGGCCTTCTGAGCATAAATTAAAGTGAAACTTTTTATGCAAGGCAGTGTAAAGAGTAAACAGCATTGGCACTCCAGCAGTCGCAGTCCGAGACTCTTTGAGACTTAGACCACAAAAAAAAAAACAAAAAAACCTGCCACTGACCACTGACAGTCGCTGCCTGGTCAATCAGTTGTGGTGCAACGCTCGTGGCAGCTGCAGCAGCAGCAGCGGGTCAACAAATAATAATACCAAAATTGGCAAACACGTTCCCCTGAATGTGCGAGTGCGAGTGGTTTTTCTGGCCAATTACATATATTCGACACGAAACGGCATTACCATAGAGCGTAGCGCACGCAGCGCACCTTCCCTGACTGCCACCCCATGGGCTGATTACAGTGGGACTACTGGCAGATGACTACTTTTTTGCGTGCGAAACCCATTTTAACAGCAGAGGAAGAAGCAGCAAAGCAGCAACAGCAGCAGCAGCAGCAGTAGATGATAAGCGTCCCCCCCCACACACGACACGCGTCAGACGAGACCCGACCAGGGAGCTACTAAGGCGGCAGCAAATTGCTCTGGCACTGACACTGGCACTGGCACCGCCTGCATTCGATACGCTTCGCATTCTCCAAGAAACGCTCAAGAAAACCTAAACGCTCGCTCCGCACAGAATTACAGATGCACGGAATCACAGGAATTAATTAATTGCCAATTCAATTAATGAAGCGGCAAAAAGAGAAAGAAAATTCGCAAATATTATGCACATACTAGTATCTAGCAGTATCCAGTAACTGGTTGCACTTGATTAAAGATCTCGCGAGTGATAAATAATATTGCAGTACTTTGTTTTTTTCTTCTCAATTGTGATTTGTGTGATATTGTGACAAATGAAGAGAAGAATTTCCATGTTTGTGCAGTCGCTGGTTTTATCAGCTTGACGCAGCACGTACCGTACCGTACTCTCCGCTCGTACATCGCGACCAAACAGAGCAAATTAATAATTAAATAAACTAAACCAAATAAATCAGTTGAAATCAGACAAAAGCAATCATGAAACTATCCAAAAGCTTCGATGAACTGATTTTGAGTGCCTCGCGGTTGAGCCTGAATAATCTGCGATCGCCAGGCAAGAAGAAATCTAAAAATGTAAAGTATACTCGTACCTAAAACAGTAAATAATACCCATAGATAATAGAGCATATTGGTTGAAGCTAATTGCAAATTTGAAAACAAAAAACAAAATTCCCTAGCAATAAAATAATTGAAAGTGCTACAAAATATTAACATAATAATTCAACAATCCATAATAAAAGCAGAATGGATTCTGTGTGCATTCCTGATAATACGATACCTGATTAAGACATTCTTAACATATCTTTGAGAGTACCAAAGAATATCTAAACTGCCACCATTAATACACTTTCAAGCTATTGAATCCGAGATTTTCCATCAATCATGAGCAAATAATTGGATCAATATTAATGGGTACCTAGTGATATATTTACCCAATCGGCTGTTGTCTGTCTAAACATTGCTATGCCTGAATGCATTCTAACACCTTCTCGACTGAGACCAAAATCAAGGCAAATCTCAAGCTAAAAATGAAACCTCACTTGATGTTAAATGATACAGACTCTGCAGATCTACAGAACAGTTTACACATATTTGTTTAATCGAACATTTCAGCACTCATTAAAATTGAAAAGATGTTGACAAATATGAGGAATGAAATGAAATAAATAAATGCGAAGCCACTGCAGTGCGTGAGTGGTGGTAAATGGCATTTGTTCAAATAACAAATACGACAATCTGTGACATTATCACAACTACCTGTCTAGATCTACATACCCCCAGATGGGGGTATCTATTTGCTGCGAGGCTTATGGGGATCAAATGATGGCTAGGGACTTACGTATGGCACGTATGGCACCGGATAACGGGAAGGGCGGTGTGTGTGTGTGTGTGTGTTGTTGGGTTAGCGAAAAAGGGTTTACCCAAAAGTTATTTATAAATGCATATTACCCGTGGAAAGAAATCTTTTACACAGCCCCACGGCACCCAATCGTTTATAAACTTTCATTGGAATACTGATTTCTTGGAGAACTGTAAATTTCACACTGGATTCTTTTTATAACCATCACTTATTTATGACCTCAAAAGTATCAACGAGTGAATCATCGCCTTTTGTGGATAACTTTTAACCAATCAACAACATTATTTATGCGGCAATGGGAATTTGCTTGGCTCCCATTACTGATGCTCTCCCCGAGACGAGAGCCGCACTAGCGTATGATGCAAAATAAAATCCCCGACAATCGAGTTTAGCTGATTAGCTGGTTCTTTCTCTGTCGTTGTTCGCCAAATGTACCCCCAAAATCTCTCCCAAAATCGTAACTCTGTTTAAGCATGCAAAATGTTGTAAAATTCTGAATTAATACCGAGGATTACTAAGAATTCGCCCCCTACCCTACTGATTGCTGTGTTTTATTACCACACCAATTACAAATTATAGTTGGTTTCCCTTCCCCGAAAACAATTTAATAATACAAATAGCCCAACAAAATTCGAGTTTTTGCATGATGTTCGTTTTGTTTCAGTTCTGTTCTAATTGATATCCTAATATAGAACCCAATCGAACCGGTAGTAACACTTTATATCCTTCATATGCAGAACATAAATCGCTACGGAGAATCCATGGGTTCGCTGGGACATCGCGCCTTGCTGCAGTACATCGATAATAATGATCTATCCGGTCTGCGCGCCATCCTTGACAGCCGGCACCTGAACATCGATGATCGGGATGAGGTGAGAGAGAGAGAGAGAGAGTCCCTCGAAAACCACAGAGTATTTATTAATTATTCCCTTGCAGAATGCCACCACCGTGCTGATGGTTGTGGCCGGACGGGGTCTCACAGCATTCGTTCGGGAATTTCTGGCACGCGGCGCCGATTTCCAGGCCGAGGATCTGGACAACTGGACAGCTCTGCTGTGTGCCTCCCGCAATGGACACTTTGATGTCGTCCAACTCCTACTGGATCATGGCGCTGAGGTCGAGCATCGCGATATGGTAAGAAATCAGCCTTCACCCTTCGGTCACCAGAGCCAGCTAATCCTCAAATGCTTTCCACGCAGGGTGGCTGGACGAGTCTGATGTGGGCCGCCTATCGGGGGCACACGGAACTGGTGCGGCTGCTGCTGGAAAAGGGGGCCGATGGCAATGCGCATGGCAATTACCACTTGGGCGCCCTGCTCTGGGCAGCGGGACGGGGCTTCAAGGACATTGTGGAGCTGCTGGTGCAGCGCGGGGCCAAGGTGAATGTCGGCGACAAGTACGGAACGACGGCCCTCGTCTGGGCCTGTCGAAGGGGCAACGTGGAGATCGTGGACACTCTGCTGAAGGCCGGTGCCAATGTGGACACCGCGGGCATGTATTCGTGGACCCCACTGCTGGTGGCAGCCGCCGGCGGACACACGGACTGCGTGAGTTCCATTCTGGAGAAGAAGCCGAATGTGAATGCTCTGGATAAGGATGGAATGACGGCCCTGTGCATCGCCAGTCGTGAGGGATTCCAGGATATTGCTGCCTCCCTCATAGCAGCCGGCGCCTACATAAATATACAGGATCGCGGTGCGGACACGCCCCTCATTCATGCCGTAAAGGCCGGCCATCGCACCGTTGCTGAGGCACTGCTGAAGAAGCACGCGGATGTGGATATCCAGGGCAAGGACCGCAAGACGGCCATCTACACGGCCGTGGAAAAGGGCCACATTCAGATCGTTAAGCTGCTGCTCTCCACAAACCCCGACCTGGAGTCGTCCACCAAAGACGGCGACACACCGCTCATGCGGGCGGTGCGCAATCGCAATCTGGAGATCGTCCACATGCTGCTCGACCGCAAGGCCAAGGTGACGGCCGCCGATAAGCGGGGCGACACCTGCCTGCACATAGCCATGCGGGCGCGCAGCAAGGCGATTGTAGAGGCGCTGCTGCGCAACCCCAAGCACAGCCAGCTCCTGTATCGGGCGAACAAGGCGGGCGAGACGCCCTACAACATCGACACCCTGCACCAGAAGACGATACTCGGCCAGGTGTTTGGCGCCAGGCGTCTCAACACCAACGAGGACTCCGAGGGCATGCTGGGATACGAGCTGTACTCCTCGGCCCTGGCGGATGTGCTCAGCGAGCCCACGCTAACGACGCCCATCACCGTCGGCCTCTACGCCAAGTGGGGCAGCGGCAAGAGTTTCCTGCTCAACAAATTGCGCGATGAGATGAACAACTTTGCCAAACAGTGGGCCGAGCCGCCCGCCAAGACCAGCGGCCTTCTGTTCATCGTGTCGCTGCACCTGGCGCTGCTCATTGGCATCATTGTGGGTCTGAGCACCTGGTCCACTGTCTGGGGCGTGTCAATCGCCGCGGGCTTCATGCTGATGGCATACCTCATGCTGGCGGCTGTGAAGTATTGCAACTACCAGATGGACATGCTGTGGGCCTACTCTGTGCAGCATGGCCTGGAGAAGAGGATGACGCGGCTGCGCCTCATCCTGCAGGTGGCATTCTGCCACCCGCCTGGCCCCCAATCCGACTCCCAGGCCAAGCCGGTGCGCTTCCACTTTGCGGAGGCGAACAGCGCATCGCCGACAGGCGATGGCGCGGTGGCCCATATGCTGGCGGCCCTCCTGGGGGCCATGGAGTCGCACTACGGGTGGCTGGCCACCCGCCTGTATCGCGCCTTCCGTCCCAAGTGCCTCAAGTTGGACGTGGGCTGGCGCTGGCGGCGCATGTGCTGCATTCCCATCGTCCTGATCTTCGAGCTGGCGCTGATCACCCTGGTGACGGGAATCGCCCTTATGGTGGCCTACTTCACGTACGCCAATGAAAAGGAGCGGGAGCAGATCCAGGTGGTGCTCTATGTGGTGGCCGCCATTCTGGGCACGCTCATCTGCACGCACCTGCACGTCCTGGCCAAGGTATGCGTTGCCCTATTCACCTCCCACATCCGGCTGCTGAAGCGAGCGGTGCACGCCAGCGAAACGGCACCCCTGACGATGCTCGGGGCCGAGGTGTCGGTGATGACGGACATGGTCAAGTGCCTGGATTCGTTCACAAATCAGCAGAGCCGCCTGGTGGGCGTCATTGATGCCCTCGACTCGTGCGACACGGAGCGCATCCTCACCCTGCTGAACGCCGTCCAGACGCTGCTCTCCTCGCCGAACCGTCCCTTTGTGCTGCTCATCTCGGTGGATCCCCATGTGATTGCCAAGGCGGCGGAGGCCAACAGCCGACGCCTGTTCACCGAAGGTGGCATCGGGGGCCACGACTTCCTGCGGAATCTCGTACACCTGCCCGTCTACCTGCAGAACTCTGGACTGCGGAAGGTGCAGCGGGCCCAGATGACGGCGCTTCTATTCAAGCGGAGCGGCGGTGGCAGCGAATACCAGAACGACGATGGACCCACACTGGGGCACTCTGTGTCCGCGCGACGTCTGTCCAATGCCTCGGAGATAATTTCCAGCCAGGAGAAGCTGCGTGGCCCGGCAAGGGCTGGCGGGGGCAAGAAGCTGCGTCTCTCCGAGTCGGTGGCCAGCTCGACGGGCTCCAATCTGCATCGCCTGGGTCAGAATCCCCAGGGTGTGCTCGATCTGTCGCGAATTGTGCTCACAGATGACTACTTCAGTGATGTGAATCCGCGCAGCATCCGGCGTCTGATGAACGTCATCTACATCACGGTGCGGCTGCTGAAGGCCTTCCAGATTGACTTTAGCTGGTACCGCCTCAGCTCGTGGATCAACCTGACGGAACAGTGGCCCCTGAGGGCCAGCATGATAGTGCTCCATCACGACCAGTTCATGGACACCAATGCGGATGAGAATGTCTCCCTGCAGAGCGTATACGAGAAGTGAGTGCTACTCTATGAATCCTTCCTCCTTATTTTTGTTATCTGTTCCCCATCCCGGTAGACTGCGTCCCAAGCTTGCGTATTTGCGAGAGGCTGCTCCGCTTCTGGAGCTGGATAGGGATGAGCGGAAGCTGGATGCCTTTCTGCAGCTCCACAAATCGGATTTACTTGTGGCGGATCTGCGCATCTTTCTGCCCTTCACCATAAATCTGGATCCTTACTTAAGGAAGGTTCTCAAGGGTAAGTGGCACACTCAATGATTGGTATCGCTGAACTGAATCTGAACTAAATCTCTCCTCCCACAGAGGATCAGCAAACGATTGAGGATGAGGGCTCGCTTGTAATCCAAACCAGACCGAGCGTATACAATCAAATGCGCCAACAGCCGGTGCCCACCACATATGTGCCTTCGCCACAGCCACAGCCACATGCCTATCCGCCCTATCAAATGTTCCAAAACGATTTTGTGCCCAACGAGATGCGATCGAGGAACCTCAGCTCCAGCACGGAGCCCGTATCGCCGCTGATTGCCTCGCCCAGCGATTCCTTTGGCGTGAGTGGGGGCAGCGGGCTGAGACCGGCGAATGGGAATAACGTTTCAATTCCATTACAGGAGGACATATTGCAGACGAGGCTCTCGGATCTGACAGTGGAGGGTGTCGTCAGCCTGCTGGAGCGCATTGATGACATGAAGCCAGCCATGCTCAAGCTGGCGCCGGTGCTCCGTGATAATGCCATCAATGGACGCGTGCTGAAGCACTGCGATATGCCAGATCTCAAATCGGTAGACAGAGCCCCTTCCAAGTGGCGGTTCTTCGATCCTGTTTCATGGCTGATTTCTTGCAGGTTTTGGGCCTAAGCTTTGGCCACTGGGAGCTGTTTCGCCTGCTGATCACAACGCTGAGGGATTGCGAGCGACAGCCGAGGAAGCAGCATCGCCCGCAGCCACAGGTACCCGCTGTGGAGGCGCCGCCAGTGAGTGTGCCCATGATCAAGGACGTGACCGATGCCCTGATGCCGCCCCGCGAGTCTTTGTCGCGCAAGAACTCTGCCAGTCATATGGAGAAGCAGGTAAGAGGAGGGAGGGCCAACTGCAGAACTGCAGAACTTTGGGGACATCTGTGCTAGACCATAGATGTGCCGCGATTCGCTCTAACTCATGTGCTTTGATCTATTCTTATTCCGACCATTCTCTAATTAACCAAAACGAAATGCAGTCGAAAGTGCACGACTACGAGTATCTCCAGGTAAAGCAGACACAACGACACCACAACAGACTGATTCAAAATTCCAACCATTGCTTGCCTCCATGACACTCCCCTACTCCAACTCCAACTCCAGCTGCTGCTGTATCTACTCCATTAAAGTCACTCTCTCTCTCTCTGCTTGTTCACACAGGTCACACTGGAGGAGCAAATGATTTGCGGCACTTTGCAAACGCTCAACGAGGAGGCGTACGAGGACGTGGCCAGCAGTGAGCGACCCAGTCCCACAGGTGAGATGTTAGCTACAGCCTCACAACTGCAATTGGCACCCATACGCGAGTCCTCCGAGTTCGGCTCACCTTCCGACGAGCTTATGCTGACCACCATCCTGCAGCACCATGCCAAGAGTCAGAACAACAACAACAACAACACGAACGCGGTGCCGGGCTCATATTTGCATGCTGATTACAATCGTAGTGCCAGTGCCAATTCCCTCCAGAGTCTTGGGGCGATTGTGGGCCCCTCCCTGTCCGCTGGTGATGGCGGCCGCGGCAGCTGCGGCAATGGGAACGGTAACGACTATTGCGGTAGCACGTTCGATCTTGTGCAAGTAGAATCTGGCGGTGGTGGTATCTATGATATGCATCGTGCTGCGGCACGACAAATTTCGATCAGCAGCGAGCGGCTAACGCTTAACGAGCCCAGCTCTCTGCCCCTGGTGGTGGTCATACCCAATGGCTCCTCGGGGGAGCAGCACTACGACGATACAAAGCTGTGAGAGGTCCAGCCATTCCCATCGTCTGCAAACTGAAACTATGTAAAATGCATGCGAAATAATACGGGAGATTGCGGGGCCCTTAACTTAACTAATAGTCTGACAATGGAAAAAAAACCATTTTAAAATTGGACCAAATGTCAATTGTCAATCCAGTACGAGACCAAAGCAGAACAGACCAAAATCATATATCATCTAGATATCATTCTTTAAAGCCCTGTTTGATTTACTTTTAATTTTGGCTTGGCTTCGATCTGGACAGTATTATCGTATTATCTACATATATCTATAAACATATCTATCTAAAGGACTAAAATTTGAGTTGTGCGACGATTACTAATTCATTCCAATTGTTATATACCAACACGATTAGTTTAGTTTGATTAATTATTGGCCACAAGAAATTTAAAATTGTGAACAACCAGCCAACCCACACACACCCACACTCCCCCACACACACACACACACAACCCACTAATAACTAACCCGAATTAAGCGAAAGCCAAGCCTTCACCCCGCCCGGAGACACCCACCAGCGAAAATATCAAATAAATGATAATCTTATGAACAACTCTCTACCACTTGCATTTTATTCAGCTTTCCCCATATCTGTGTGTGTGTTTATTTACCGCCTCTTAACCTCTTTGTTCCATTCTATGTTCGATGTTCCAAATATTTACTTCTTATAATGGTGGTGCTATAATGTGGTACTGCAGCTGCCACAGCGTGTGGCAGTGGATCGATCATCCCTGATATCCCCTGATAAACCACCTTACCTTACCCTATCCGTATCCGTATATGATCTTTTAGAGCATGACACACCCACTGGTTGTGGGCCTGCAATGACGACAGCATTGCTAACCTCAGCCTCGGCCATGTACACGCATCATCAGCAGCAACAGCAGCAGCAGCAGGCGCAGCCATCGGTTCGCGATTCCATACTGAAGCAGCAGGGCAGTGTCAAGGGTGACAAGCGCGTATCGATTCAACAAACATCAAGCAATAACAACAATAACAACAACGTCAAGGCTGCAACGAATGTTGAATATGTATCCGAGGGAGCAGGAAGCAAAGTGCGACTAGCCACAAAGCCGCCAGCAGGTAAATATCGGTCGATAAAATAGAATCTGCCAAATAACAATCCAATTATCGTTGCATTTAAGGACCGCGACCCGCCTCGCTGATTATCACCAGGAACGATTCCAACTCACAGTTCCAGCTGCTACGCTCCTCCTCAGTGGACTATGACGATGTGGAGGCGCAAGAGCACAGGACTACCATACGGACAACACTGCTGGAGCAACAGGAGGAGGATGAGGCGGCACCGTTCGTGTTTACAGCGCGCAAATGATACAATCTGATAATAGCAGCCTGATGGCAAGCCAATTTAGGTTTAGGGCCAGTCTTAAATAAGCTAACTAACTAGCTAATTACTACTAAATGGAGTTGGCTGGAACTCGAGAGTTGTGGCTAACCCAAAATAGATTTACAACTTCTAGCAAAAGACAATTGTTTGCATTACTTCTTGTTATATTTGTGTGTTTATTTATGTGTATTGTATTTATTAATTGTAAATCGATGGGAAAGTAGGAGAAAATAGTGAGAGAATCTGCATATGGAATACATACAGAACAACAAACAGTACTTCAATGTTATATATATTTTTTGGTTTCTCTATGTACGAATTACGAATTATACAAAGAATGAAATGAGAATCAATGCACAATTTTGTCATTTGCGTGAATAAACATCGCGATGGACATCCAGAGCAGGTTGCAGCGCCTTGTAGAGTCTGTTGGCCATTTCGGGTGTTGGCGTGTTGCGGATGAGCTCTTGCAGTGCAAACATCACATTCGTTTGGGCCGTCGTCAAAAAGGTCATGTCAAAGTCGGGATTTTGCCAGAAGGCCCCTCTTAGCTGGCCCTGCAGCTGGGCCTGAGTGCCAACGCTTTGCGTGTGAAGTCTGAGGTCCGTTTGGGTCGAGGAATTTATGTAGAGGGCCGCAGAGTCGGATTCCTCCGGTTCGGATGGTGCATTGAAGAGCTGTTCCTGCTTCAGTTTGAGTATGCGCTGGCTGGGCTGTGTCTTAAGCCGAGCCTGCTTCAGATGATCCACATCGTAAGACAGCAGCCGGAGCAAATCCCTGGTACTATTGGGCACCGTTTCTAGCCCCCATTTAGCCAAATCAATCCTGGTTCCCGGCGCCGAATTGAACTCATAAACCACATTGTAGTTGTTGCATATCGGCGAGGGATTCTCGAAGACTTCTTGACTCATGAAGGAGCTGCTTTTGGGCACTTTGTGTATGGTATTCACCATAAGGAACTCTTCTTCCTGGGCGTTTGTTCTCTTCTGCTCAAACAGCTCGAGCACCTTCATGGCCCGATTCACGGCCAAGTTGCACTTCTCCCGTTTTGTCAGCTTTTCTGGTGCAGGCTTCGCCGCCACAGGAACGGCCTCGCTCTGTTCCTGCTGGAACAACTTCTCGTGATTCACAACCTTGATCTGCCTCTCGTCGTCTCGAACATAGATCCACTCCTCGTCAAAATCTGCACCCACAGCGGGCATCGGCTCCGGTTTGATTGTGGCAACGCGCGGCAGGCCATAAGAGGCCGTTACTCTTATCGTGGGATCACGACTACCTCTGACTTCACTGTGATTATCCTCGCGTGGGCGTCTATTGTCCATTTGATAATCCTCGCGGGGGCGTTTATTATCCCTGTAATGATCGTCGCGGTGGCGTTTACTGTCTCTTTGTTTATCCTCATGATCGCGTCTATTGTCGCTTTGTTTAGTCTCATGATCGCGTCTATTGTCGCCTTGATTATTGTCGCGTGGGCGCTTCTCCCTTTGATTGTCCTCGTGTTGACGTCTACTGTCCATTAGATTGTCTTCACGATGGCGTCTATTGTCCCTTGTACTGTCCTCGTGCTGGCGTCTATTGTCCCTTTGATGCTCTTCGCTTGTTCGTCTACTTTCCCGTGAGGTGCGCTTATTTTCCTTTTGATTTTCATCGATCGAACTGTTGCTTCCAGATTTACCCCTCTTGCGCTTGTGCTTTCGCTTTCTCTTCTTATGCTTATCCTTCAGCTCTTGCATGTCGTCCAACTCTTGCAACTCCTTCTGACGCGCTAGGCGGGTCGCTTCAAGTTCTTCTATGCTATCAGTACAGTCTGGCTCTTCCACCTTCGGAGCTGGCGCTTGGGGCGGTTCCAAGTCCATGTCGTTCATTTCCTCCCTTTTGCAAAAAACACTTGGAATACCATCCATAGCTGGGTTGCTGGCGGTGCCTCCAAGTTCGTATTCCTCCAATTTTGGAATGTCCCGCAATATATCGTCCAGGGATTCAGCATTTTCTGGTTCTGCCTTGACAACTGGAGCCTCCGGCTCTGCGTTGGCAGCATTGGTTGGACTATTTGGCATTGTAAGGTCACTTCGTGGAGTACGTGGAATGGAGGGGACCTCGACATCGTCGTTGTCGCTTTCCCATCCATGCCCACTGCCACCGGCCCCGAAGACGCGGTGGTCTGGGGAAGCAATCACATCAGTGCGAAGCGGCGTATCGTCGTTCTCGCCGAGTTGTCGTAGCGGCGTGCTCGCGTTGTCGTCCAGATGACTCCCATCTTCACTTTTTATTTCAACTTCAAGCTCAGGTCCTTCCATTTTTTATAGAATACTAAAAATAAAATTTTTCATCGCAGCAGGTCTCGTCTATTCCGAACTTAACCCACTTAACCCCCCTCTATTTAAACAGGAAAATAAATTCTCCTTCTTCTTGTATAATTTCCTTTTATTCACAAAAACAAATTACGATATCTTCAACCTGAACTGCGTATTTATTTTTCAAGTTTCATAGTTTTCTCAGGAATATTTAAACACATATTTCGAAAAAGGGTAAACGTTTTTTTTTTTTCGAAAATCGATTCTGATTTTCGGGAACCCACCCGCACAGAAAGCAGCACAGTGAGAACAAAATATTATGTAATATCAAGGTTTTTTTTTTGGGAAAATATCATTTACTTGATAAAACTACGAATAAATTCATTTTTAATTTTGAATATATATAACAACCCTAAAAACGATAAGCGATAAGCGATACCGACAAAAATACCGACAATCTCTGGCATGCTGGGTGGGAAGAAAAGGTGCACTTTGCTAGTGTATCGATGCTATCGGTATAAATTTTAGTTAATTTAGTATAATTAACATGAAATGTATTTTGAAACACTAATCGCTTCATGACACCGATTAGCCAGTTCGTATTGATGCGCAATACGTGTATAAACATCGCATGTTTTGATAAGAAGATGCACTCCCAATCCCACCCACACACATACGTACATGCGCATAGCTGTAAACATTTACCAGCTGTTTTTTGTTTATCATTCTATCTCGTTCCATCTTTCTCCCATAAGGGTCACCTTGAGCTTAATAAAATCGAATCAGAGCGAGCAAATTGCTGAAGACTTTTTGCTGGTAATGTAAAAGTTCTGTCCGTAGTTTCGTTACAACGCACGCACAAAAGTAACAAAATTTTTCAAATTAAAATTCTGTGATAAATATAATTCAAGCGGGGAATATAACAATACATCTGCATTGTATAGATAAAGAAATTGCCCAATTGTGAATGCTTATTATAATAGTGTCAGATTAATAGTTCAGCAGAGACAGTGCTATGCTGTTTGACTCGTACTTTGTTTAATCTCCATGATTAAAGATACAAGAAATAGAATAATGCCATCTACCGGCAAACAAGTGCACTTGAATTCCTTGACCCACATACGAACCTGCATATGCACACACATATGCATGCACTCATACACATATGTGTGTATATGCATGTTGAGTTAAAAATAATATTATTCCCTGACCTCCTAATAAAATTTCAATGTTGATAAGGCTGCTCTTTAATTGAGCTCTAGCAACACCCAAACACGTTGGCGCCACATGTCAATAATGCAATGCATCCAATCACCCTTGCACCCATGGGCGTAGGGTTTGCATTTGGATTCGCTCAGCTCCACTTGAGTACCCCCTGCCGCAGACGCCCCACCCCACAGTGTCGTATACTAGAAATGCAGATCATGATTATGAAATGTTTTCTTCATGCTTGATTCGAGATTACACATCGGTGGCGTTGCTAACATTCCTTGACGCTTCAGTAGCGCAGACGGCAGCCGGCGTCAAAGACGAGTAACAAAAAAATATTCAATTTGCAGCAGCAACTGGTGCAATGGTGATAGAAGGGTTCTACAGGAGCGTCCTTCGCTACGTGTACGCACTGCTCCAGATCTTGATGCGTTATCAGGTCTTTCGCTGGCTCATCGAGTTGGTGGATGTGCAAGCGGTTGATAAGGTACATCGCAAAAATGCTCTGTTACAACAAAGAGGAGGAGGAGGAGAAGAAGAAGAACAGGCCGGAGAACAAAAAGAAGAAGAGAAAGTACAGCAAAAGCAGCAGCTGCAGCAGCAGCAGCCGAATGAAGCAACAGTTGTCGCCGGCAAAACAACGAAACCAAAACCAGAATCAGTCGTCGCGATTAGTGCAATGGGAAATGCAGGCAGTGCTACTATTCGTGAGCACGTATCAAATCGAACCACCCGCCACAGTGAGGTATTATCGCTAATGCGGATTGTAATTGGCTGCTGCACTCACCCACTACCCCGTGTACATCCCATAACTACATATGTGTGTTCTATCTAATCTGGAAGCTAGCATAGACCAAATCTAAGGTCTCAGATCCCAGGTCCAGTTGCCAATATAAGGCACGACATGCTCCCGTCGATGCTGCAGTCTGTGCCGTGTGCTCCTTGTGTGTTAGTTACAGTTACTAAAAGTGTCTCGACTAATCAAACAGAATTCTACTGCAAAAATTCTACTTGCACTGTGGTGGTGTTTTAACAAATTGCCTTTGTGTGTGCGTCACCGATTACAATTTACATACATACATACATACATATGTATAATAGATGTGATAAGCCTGGTAGATTATATAATCGAAGTTGAATTCCTGATTCCCGCAGATGAGTACCATGGGCAAAGATACGGAAACGCACAGCATACCCATAAGTGAAGGACAGGACGCGGAGCATGTGCTGTACCGCCTGAAGCGTGGCTCCCAGCTGGCCGTGCACCCGGACGCCTCGTTGCTGGGAAAGAAGATCGTCCTGTACACCAACTATCCCGCCGAGGGGCAGAAGTTCGTGCGCACCGACTACCGTGTGCTGGGATGGCAGCTGCAGAATGGCAAACAGATCACGACTGTCATGCATCCGGAGGCTCATGTGGTGGACACGGATATCAACAGTCAGCTGCAGCTGAAAATGTCCGGGACATTTCACTTCTACTTCCGCTATGCTGAGCGGTAAGCCAGTTGACTATCCATCACCCATCTATCCATCCAGTATTCATTTGAAACTGTTTCTGATTACAGCGCAGACACCGGAAGTGCAGGTGCGGATGGCGCTCTCTATGTGCAGGTGGAGCCCACCCTCCATGTGGGACCGCCGGGGGCACAGAAGACAATACCCTTGGACTCGGTGCGCTGCCAGACGGTGCTGACCAAGCTGTTGGGACCGCTCAGCAGCTGGGAGCCAAAGTTGCGCGTGGCCAAGGAGGCCGGCTACAATTTAATTCACTTTACGCCCATCCAGGAGCTGGGTGGCTCGCGCTCCGCCTACTCGCTGCGCGATCAGCTGAAGGTCAACTCAAGCTTCGCCAACAAGAAGGGCGACAGGGTAACCTTCGAGGACGTGGAGAAGGTCATCAAGAAGTGTCGCCAGGAGTGGGGCGTAAGCAAATGCAGCATCCTTAAATGTGACTTTCCTCCATCTCAGTCTGGGCTCTTGTTCGTTTCAGTTGGCCTCCATCTGCGACATTGTGCTGAATCACACGGCGAACGAGTCTGAATGGCTGCTTCAGCATCCCGATGCCACCTACTCGTGCGCCTCGTGTCCGTATCTGCGGCCAGCCTTCCTGCTGGACGCCGCCCTGGCACAGTGCGGAGCCGACATCGCTGCCGGCAGCCTGGAGCATGTGGGCGTGCCTCTGATCATCGATCAGGAGTGCCATTTGGAAGCTTTAAAGTACCAGGTGCATAACGCCTACCTATCCAAGGTCAATATACACGAGCTGTATCAGTGCGATGTGATGCAGTATGTGAACAGCTTCATGGCTCAGGTGCGCACTCGCGAGCCGCCGAAGAACGTGGCCAACGAGTCCCGCTTCCAGGAGATCCAGCTGATACAGGACCCAGCGTATCGACGCTTGGGTAGCACCATCAATTTCGAGCTGGCGCTGGAGATCTTTAATGCTTTCCATGGCGACTGTTTCGATGAGGAGTCACGCTTCCGCAAGTGCGCCGAGACCCTGCGCCACCACCTGGACGGTCTCAACGATCGCGTGCGTGACGAGATCCAAGGATATCTGAACTACGCCATCGACAACTGCCTGGCCGCCATACGTTACGAGCGCGTGCAGGGCGACGGGCCCAGAGTGCGAGAAATATCCGAGAAGTACTCTGTCTTCATGACGTACTTCACGCACACGGGCACCCTGGGCAAGACGCTGCTTGAGATCGAGGCCGATATGTACACCAAGGCTGGGGACTTCTTAATGGCCCACAACGGCTGGGTCATGGGCTCCAGCGATCCGTTGCGTGACTTTGCCGAGGAGCAGCCGGGACGTGCCAATGTCTACCTCAAGCGAGAGCTCATTGCCTGGGGCGACAGCGTGAAGCTGCGCTTTGGCAAGCGGCCGGAGGACAGTCCCTACCTGTGGCGGCACATGACCGAGTACGTGGAGATGACGGCCCGCATCTTTGACGGAGTCCGGCTGGACAACTGCCATTCGACCCCGCTGCACGTGGCCGAGTACCTGCTGGATGCGGCGCGTAAGATCAATCCCGAGCTGTATGTGGTGGCCGAGCTGTTCACCAACTCCGATGCCACCGACAATGTGTTTGTCAATCGCCTGGGCATCACCTCGCTGATTCGCGAGGCTCTCTCGGCCTGGGACTCGCACGAACAGGGGCGCCTGGTCTTTCGGTATGGCGGCGGAGCTGTCGGTGGCTTCTACCCGAATCCCACGCGCCACGAGGCGTCCAGCGTTGCGCACGCCCTGTTCATGGACCTCACGCACGACAATCCATCGGCCGTGGAGAAGCGCTCCGTATACGATCTGATACCCTCGTCTGCTCTAGTCTCCATGGCCTGCTGTGCCACCGGCAGCAATCGTGGCTACGACGAACTGGTGCCGCATCATGTGAGTCCAAATCATGGAATGAGTGGAGTGAACCATAGAAATTAATCATATTTTTCGCAGATCCATGTCGTTGACGAGCAGCGTTTATACCAGGAATGGGGCAAGGGCGTCGACTCCAAGTCGGGCATTATGGGAGCCAAGCGAGCGTTGAATCTGCTGCACGGACAGCTGGCCGAGGAGGGATTCACCCAGGTGTATGTGGACCAAATGAACCCCGATGTGGTGGCCGTTACCCGGCATTCACCAATCACCCATCAGTCGGTCATTCTGGTGGCTCACACGGCCTTCGGGTATCCGAATCCGAATGCCGGACCCACTGGCCTCCAGCCGTTGCGCTTTGACGGCGTCCTGGACGAGATAATCGTGGAAGCAAGCCTGACCATGAAGAGCGACAAGCCCTTCGATCGTCCGGCTCCCTTTAAGAAGGATCCGAATGTGTTGAACGGCTTAACCCAGTTCGAATTGAGCCTGCAGGAGCACATACCGCTCAGCAAGTCGACAGTCTTTCAGACCCATGCCAATGTGGATGGCAACAACACGGAGCTGAAATTTGTCAACCTTCGGCCTGGCACAGTGGTGGCCATTCGGGTATCCATGCATCCCGGACCCCGCACCAGCTTCGTCAAGCTGCAGAAGCTGACAAATGCCCTGCGCCTGGGATCGGGCGATGAATGGTCACAGCTGCAGGCCATCGTAACCAAACTGGATCTGGTGGCGCTCAGCGCCGCGCTCTTCCAATGTGACGACGAGGAACGGGACCAGGGCATGGGTGGCTCCGCCTACGATATACCCAACTTTGGGCGCATTGTCTACTGCGGCCTCCAGGGCTTTGTTTCCCTGCTGACGGAAATATCGCCACACAATGATCTGGGCCACCCACTGTGTGGTAATTTACGCGACGGCAACTGGATGATGGGTAACTACTATACGGGCCAACGAATACGCTTCGCTTTGATTAATATGTGGTTTCCCCTTGTAGATTACATTGCCGATCGCCTGACCAATTTCGAGGACTTGAAGCCGCTCTCCGTGTGGCTGAAGGCCGCCTTCGAGCCTCTGAAGAATATACCACGCTACCTCATACCCTGCTACTTTGATGCCATTGTCAGCGGGGTCTACAACGTGCTGCTCAATCAGGTCAACGAACTGATGCCAGAGTATGTCTGACCATCGATTTATGTATGCCTCTTGTACTGCTATTTCCTATATTCTATCCACAGTTTCATAAAGAATGGCCACAGTTTCACACAGTCCCTGGCCCTCTCCACATTGCAGTTCCTTTCCGTCTGCAAGTCTGCAAATCTGCCCGGCTTCAGTCATGCCATCAATCCACCAAAACCACCAAAGCAATGCGTTACCCTCTCTGCCGGCCTGCCGCATTTCTCCACGGGTAAGACTTGTGACCGCGTGTGTACTCGTATGTGCCCATGCAACTGACATCCTCTGCATACTTTCCGCAGGTTACATGCGCTGCTGGGGCCGTGACACCTTCATTGCCCTGCGTGGATCGATGTTGCTAACTGGGCGCTTCAACGAAGCTCGCTACATTATTATTGGATTCGCCCAGACTCTGAGACATGGTCTCATACCCAATCTATTGGACAGCGGCAGCAATCCGCGCTACAACTGCCGCGATGCAGTCTGGTGGTGGATGTACTGCATCAGGCAGTACGTGGAGGAGGATCCCAAGGGTAGCGAGATACTCAAGGACAAGGTGTCGCGCCTCTTTCCCTACGACGATGCCGCTGCACATGCCCCAGGGGCATTCGATCAGTTGCTGTTAGATGTGATGCAGGAGGCGTTGCAGGTGCACTTCCAGGGCCTGCAGTATCGCGAACGTAACGCTGGCCATGAGATAGATGAGCACATGGTGGACCAGGGATTCAACAATCACATTGGAGTGCATCCAGAAACTGGCTTTGTGTTTGGCGGCAACAACTGTAACGCCGGCACGTGGATGGACAAGATGGGCTCGTCCCAGAAGGCCGGCAACAAGGGGCGGCCGAGCACCCCCCGCGATGGATCCGCTGTGGAGCTGGTTGGCCTCCAATATTCCGTGCTGCGCTTCATGCAGGGCCTGGCCGAAAAGGAGGCCATCCCGTATACGGGTGTGGAGCGCAAGGGGCCGTCGGGCGAGGTGACAAAGTGGAGCTACAAGGAGTGGGCAGATCGCATCAAGGAAAACTTCGATCGCCATTTCTTTGTCCCGGAGTCGGAGACATGTTCCTTGGCCAACAAGAGGTTCATCTATAAGGACAGCTACGGCGCCACCCAGAGCTGGACCGACTATCAGCTGCGTTGTAACTTCCCCATCACCCTGACCATCGCCCCGGAGCTGTGCAATCCGCAGAACGCCTGGCGGGCCCTGGAGCTGGCCAAGCAGTACCTGCTTGGACCCCTGGGCATGAAGACACTGGATCCAGAGGACTGGAACTACAGGGCCAACTATGATAACTCCAACGATTCGACGGACTGCACCGTGGCCCATGGCGCCAACTACCACCAAGGACCCGAATGGATATGGCCCATTGGCTTCTACCTGCGGGCGCGTCTCATCTTTGCCAAAAAGTGCGGCCACCTGGACGAGACCATTGCCGAGACCTGGGCCATTCTGCGGGCCCATCTACGAGAGATACAGACCTCCCATTGGCGTGGCCTGCCCGAGCTAACCAACGACAATGGCTCCTATTGCGGCGACTCGTGCCGCACCCAGGCCTGGAGCGTGGCCGCCATTCTCGAGGTTCTCAACGATCTGCACTCCCTAGGAGCGGACGTGGCTTAGAGCTCTCTTCACGCTAAACCTCGCTACCTGCAAGCACATATACATACTCATACTCAAGCTGTTAGTTGCTACCAAAACTGTTATTAGTGTTACATTTGATAATTATGCGCGAGAATTCAGAATGTCGCGAGATGCGTTGCCAGATCCCGAGCACTGTGGATCGTCCTTTCTTTATCTCCATTCTATTAAAGTTGCAATTGTTTTTAATCTATGGCAGGCCTTGTATTTCACTTGCTTTGCGGCTTAGGAGAAGTAGCTGTCGCGGCACACGCGCATGCACGACATCTGTGGCGGATCGATCAGGCCGCTGTTGTTACGCGGAATGTCGCGTTCATCATTGAACTGCCAGATAATCTCTGACTGGCTCCCTGTCTTTGCCATATCTGCCATGTTGGGTTGCGCAAAATGCTCTCTTCCAGGAGGCTCTGGCACTTGGCCTTCCCTATTTGGCGTCATGGGCTTCGCAGGAGGCTCTGGCCGTGGGCTTTTGATTGGGATTCCATTTGAACTTGTCGTCCGCTTACAAGTATCTTCATCAAGCTGAAAATGCGCTTTTCTCGCATCAATGCAATCCGTTTAAGGATGTCTGCTAGCTACTCACCTTGATGCATTTTCCAAGCACGCGGTATGCAGCACACTGGGTCAATTCATAGGCTTTTTGGAGCACAAGTCGCTGGACAACATCCAAGAATAAAGACATTTTGGACGGACAAATTTTGGGCTATTTCTGTGAAGAAAGTTTTTGGCAGCAACTGACTGATTAATTTGGCAAGGCCCTCTGACATTTCTATTTGAATTTAATATTAGTTTAAGGCTTCTTTCTGCTGGCTCTACACTTTTCCCTTACAAACTAAATAAATATGTTAAAAGTTTATGTACATAAAGCTTTCCATAACTTGTACGAATACACGCTAAGTGTGCTGCGGGGTTTGGGTTCTGTTGGGACTGAGTTCGTAGGATTCGTTCACAACAGTTGTGCTGGTGGTGTTGGTCTCTTCATCTTCATCTTTGATGGACTTGAGATCACGTCCTATGCTCTCCAATTGCAAATGTAAGCCTGCGGCGGCCAGATTGCTGCTCAACTCGTTTAGCTTGGGCTGGCGGAGACAGTTCTCGTTGTCGGCCACCTCCCGTTTGATCCTGGCCAGAGGCTGATCTGTCGGCTCGCTGGGCGTCCTCAGGTTCAGCAGCTCGCGGCGTATCGCCTCCACGTTATCATCGATGTTGGTCTTGTGTAGCGCAGAGTCGTTGGCTGAGTTATTGTTTGCCTTTGGCTGCGTCGTATTCAGCAGCAGGGCGGCCAGTGGAATTGGCAATCGTTTAATCAGGGCTGCTGTGTCTATACTGGTGTTCTTGAGCAGTTCCCCTGTTTTGTAGGAGAGCGGCTCGAAGACACCAGCATGGGCCTCCTTCTCGTCGCGCAGATGAGTATTTTCCGTGAGAATTTCGATTAACGAAGCCTTGGGCTTGGGTTCCTTGGCAATAATTTCATCCTTCTTTGATTCCTTAGTTGTCTTGCCGTCATCCGGCAATTCCTGCACATCAGGGGATGGCTGGCCAAGAGGCTTCTGCTTGGCCAGCTCCTCATTCAGCTCATCTACGGTTCGTTCCAGCAGTTTCTTAGTCTCTTTCAGTTCATTCTGCGTCTTGAGCAGTTCGTCGGCATTGGCTTTGCTTTCCTTTTGCTCCTCCGCCGCAACATCCTCCTCCTTCTTGATGGCGGCTCCGTCTATCGTATTACTCGCTGATAGCTTTGTCGGCTCGTCTTTGGTCGCTGCCGACGGCTCTGCAACGGCAATGAAACGATTTTGCTTGGGCTTGACAGCTGTCAAATTATTGGGAATACTATTTTCCGGCCTTGGGTCGGGTGGGTTCAATACTTCTGCTTCCGGAATCTTTTTGGCCTCAGTCAACACTTCTTCATTTTCGTGAACTACATGAGCCTCATCAATGGGCAGTGGGGGCATCGGTGGGTTGTCTGACGAAGAGCTAAGGACAGCCTTTGGCTTCTCGAGTATCTTCCCTCCAATGATGTCCATACTTGGATCCGGTTTCTGAGTCTCCAGTTTTTCCAACAGCAAACTCTTCTCATTCTCGGTGGGATTTTTGGCCAAGTGCTTTGGCAACTCGCCAACAGCTAGCGGCGATAGGGGCGTCACCATTTGAACGACATTCAGCTCGGGGCCAGAGCTTTTCTCATCAATGGCATTCAAATTGGCATAGGTGCCCAATATCATCAGGAGGAAGCCGCTTACAAAGATAAACTGTGCCAGTGTGCGTTCCATCGACTCCTTTTTGATGATTTTGCGGAAACTGGAAGCAGGAAACATAATGCAAATGGCCACGCCAATGGTGGAGCCCACCAAGCCAATGATCAGCTCAACGGACGGTATAACCAGCGCCACGCAGAGCGAGAAGACAACGATAAAGATCGTAATGAGGCGAAATCGTTGCTCCGGTATGTAACTGCTGCTCTCCGTGTGACCCTGCAAGCAGAATATTGATAAATGATTGATCTGCCGAACCAAATATAGCCTTACGAATTTACTTTTCGATAGAGCAACGAGTAGATGCTGGCCCTGCACGGAAATATAACCAATGGAAAGCTGAAGGCAATCGACAGCACGAAGCCAATTTTGATAATGTCACTGCCAAAGGAGGTGGACAAGTTCATCAAGATGTTACCTGGAAATGGAGCGAGAAATAAGTCGAGATATTTACTCAAGAGTCTTTATCTGTATGCTTTACCCGAAAAGGTGTGGGTGCAAAACGCCACATAGCCAAAGAAGCCGACGGCAATGTAAACAAGCGTACAGATCCAAGTGGCGTTGCGAACGACCCCGTTTAACTTGTCAAGACTCTGGTTATTGATACTCTCGAATACCTCAAACAGCTGCCTTCAGATTGAATAAATATTTAACGATATTCATACGCAAATATTGAACAATTTACGTACATTTGGCAGGATAGCGCCATGCTGAAGATGGGCAGGCATTGGAGAACGCCCGCTGGCTCCCAGTAGACAACCTTCTCCGTCCAGTCATTCGCCGATATGTGGTTCTGCGCTTCGAGCACGATCTTCAGCATGAGGCAGACGTAGAAGCCAATGGAAGCGGTGCACACGGCCGATAAGCTATCCACGTTCCGCAGCATGCCCAGTGGCACAATACAGACCACGGTCACCACTATCATCACCAGGGATCGCAGGTGCATGTGTTCCGCCACATTCAGAGTGAAGAGTTTGGCAATTATCTGGGGGCCGAGATCTCCGACCACTACGAAATAAGTGATGCACGTACCAATTAGATACCCGATGATGCACAGCTCGACCAGCAGTTTGCCGGAAGCGCCGAAAGCGTGAAGGCCGAGCAGCTCGAAACTCTTGCGACGTGTCAGCAGTGAGGTTTTTATCAAGTAGTGGCAGCACACACGGGTTATGACATTGCTCAGCAACAGGAGAATGATGGAGAGCACGATGCCGCACTTCTGGAAACAGAAGGGCATCGCCAAGATTCCAACACCAATGATGCTGTTGGCCAGCGTCATGACATGAGCCGAGTGTGCTAACATTTTATGGAGCCGTTAGGTTCAGCCGGGGGCGCGTCACTTTCCCCTTGATGATGAGGCAACCGAGCCAAGTTGTGTGTTGGCCTATTTCTAGAACTGGTTTTGCGGGCGGCTTGACTTCGCGGCTTTGACTGCGTATGCAAAAAAACCAAAAGCAATTGTCAGATAGTTAGATACACCCACACAACGCGTGGACGCAGGTGGGTTGTATTGATAACAACCTACCGTGTAACAATCAGATAAGAGTTGTGGCGTCGTACCCAGTAGTAGATATAAGGAAGTTAAGTGCACTTGTGTAAGCAACAACAAGCAAAATAATACCGCGGCAAAGTCGCGACGGCGGCGGCGACGATGGTACAGGCGTAGGTGCTTACATTGAGCCAGTGCGTGTTGTTTAGCAAACATTGGTTATTAATACACAGGCGGTCATAGTAGCGAAAGCCAGGTCGCGGTCTTGAGCATTTTTACGGCCGCTCGAGAGTTTTAAAACATATTTTTGGTAACGTCATCATTGTTTTTGTTTTTAGTGATGGGCGATACTTAATAAGCACCATATATACTTATAAGCGCAAATTGTGAATCATCGCTGCATACAGATTTTTTTGTGCGATAACATCAATCAAAGGTATCGGGAACACAAAAAATATGCATGAATAGGTAAAAACAATGTCATATTAGCTTGGAACAAAAAATTTAACATTAATTAAAGGAAAGAAGGTATAAAAATTCGCTGGAACCCTGGTTACCCTGATCGAATATCAAAATTGATGAATATGATTTTCCTGAGAGATGGTATATTTTGGTATATTTCTGCGGCACAGACGGTATATTTGATCTTTAAGTCCGCGGTCACACTCTTTCTTCGGTATATTTTAAAAATAAGATGGTATGTTTTGGTATATTTATGAGGGTCAGACGGTATATTTTATTGATAAGTCCGCGGTCACACTCTTTCTTCCCCCTTTCCGGTTCCGAAAAACCTCAACGTCAAGATGGCCGATGTAAATTTTTAATAGAAATCCAAATAAATATTAGCCATCCGTGCATGAAATGAATTACATTATGTGTTATACGTTCCGAGGAATATTCCGTGCATGGATGCTAATATTATTTTGGCATTTTTCGGTTGAACTTAGCCAAAGAACTGAGCCAAACTAACTTCTGTGTTTATTCTCTCGTTCATTCCACCAAACAGCAAGTCGATGACACTCTTAAGAAGAAGCGTACCTTCAAGAAGTTCACCTACCGCGGTGTGGACTTGGACCAACTGTTGGACATGCCCAAGTGAGTATTCCCCGCCTGCAAATGGATTTGCGGTCACTAATGTTCACTTTCGTTTCGTGTGCAGCAACCAGCTGGTCGAGCTGATGCACAGCCGTGCCCGCAGGCGTTTCTCCCGCGGCCTGAAGCGTAAGCCAATGGCTCTGATCAAGAAGCTGCGCAAGGCCAAGAAGGAGGCGCCCCCAAATGAGAAGCCCGAGATTGTCAAGACCCACTTGAGGAACATGATCATTGTACCCGAGATGACCGGCTCCATCATTGGCGTGTACAACGGCAAGGACTTCGGCCAGGTAAGCCAGTGTCAACCGAACAATTATTTCCAGAGGTACTACAATGAAAATGTGTTTTATGTTCGCAGGTTGAGGTTAAGCCTGAGATGATCGGCCACTATTTGGGCGAATTCGCGCTGACCTACAAGCCCGTCAAGCACGGTAGACCCGGTATTGGTGCCACCCACAGCTCCCGTTTTATTCCTCTGAAGTAAGCGTTGCCCGTGTTGGGTTGGCTGCTTTCTTTTGGATTTTCATGCGAAATAAAGGAAACGTAGTTTCATAAGAACTCGTGTCGCGTTTCTATGCAGCCGGATCCGGTTAATCCAGAAAGTAAATCTTGAGAACAAGAAACCTTAAGAAATGTACATTATCTATTTATTGGAACTTGTTAATCAGTTGCTATATGTATGCATGGAGTCATATCCCGTCACCACTAGGCCGGATCACTGCTATCTGCGCAGGCGCCGGGCGATGTTGTTGCTGCTGCTGCTGGTGACCGCTGCGCGATCGTACGCCGTGTCTTTCATGTGGGAGTCTTCCAAGCGCTGGTGCTGAGGATTCCTAGGGCTCTTCCTGCTCATCTCACTCACGTCGGCCGATCCGTAGGCACTGTCTTTAACTTGAGAAGCATATGGAACATTAGAAAACTTGGATGGACGGACACCGCATAGTTGTGAAAGTTCGGCAAGGATGATTGGAGGCGATTAGTATGGCGGCCAGCGGGAGTCATCGCCTAAAGAAGGAACTGTCATTGGGGGCATAGGCGGTGGTCTGGAAATGCTGGGTCAGCTGCTGCAGGCTACTGCTCTGGTTATTGCTGCCGAAAGCGGGATAAGCAGCGGTGGCGATGGAGGACTTTAGAATGCTCCTGGTCGAGCTGCGAGTGCCAACGGCGATGGAGTTCTTGGCAGCGGGGGATGGACGGTTGTTATTCGCTGGACTGGCCGCAGACGCGTTCACATCGAATGTGGTTAGCAGGAGGCCGCTGCTCTGCGTGCGATTTAGAAAGCCATCGCTGCGCTGTATTCTCGGATCAGCCTCACCTAGTCGATTCAGCTCCGTCTCCATGGAGGTGTACATGGTCAGGTTGCTAGCAAGCAGATCCTGCCTGGAGCCCAGTGTCAGCAGGCTGTCTGCATTGTTCAGAGTGGAGGCTGTGCTGTAGTTGGAGGGACTGGCGGACTTGGAATATTGCATGGGCACTTGGCCCATTTCGCTGGGACCCTGTTGCAGGGCCCCCGTCCGTGGATCGAAGTGCTTCTGTGTGGCGTCTTTCAAGGTGCTCTTGACCTCCTTGGGGCTCTGTTCCAGCGGTTTGCGCAGCGAGGAGATGTGGCCGGGCAGCGGCTCTCGGGAAACTGATGATGAGGGCGATGCCGAGTTTGTCTCCTCGTTCTCCTCCTGGAACGCGAGAGATCAGAAGAGATTATACACTGCCTGGTAAATATTTTGAGAACATATTTTGACTCCCTTACCTCATCTTCCTCTGTGATGATGGACGACTCTATCCAGTCTTTGATGCGATTCTTCTTCTGCTGGCGATCGACATTCGTCTCGATCCCGCAGTCGGCCAATGTGTAGAGCAGTCGGTTCTTCTCATCGGGGCTGCTGTGAAAGGAGTACATGGATGGGCACAGCTCGTCCGTCTCGTACTCGGCCATATCCTTCTGAGCCGTCTTGGCCAGCCAGCGATCGTCGAGGAACTTTGTTACATCCGCCAGACTCTTGGGACGGTTCGACATTCGCGCGAAGAACCGCTTAAACATGCGCTGGGCATTGGAGGTGAGCAGCTTGAAGAGTCGAGGCGTGCGCCGCAGTGGCATCATCATGAGACCCCCCTGCCAGGCCGAGTATCGCACATAGCGGGGATCATCCGAGGCTGCCTTCTGCCAAGGCAGACAGCCGGTCAGGCAGACAAAGATCACAATGCCGAACTGCCAAACATCATGGCTAGGATCGGCTCTGAAAGGGAGACGATTCTCAGCTATGACGGAGTGCATCTTGGACCAGACTTACTTGTAGCTGCCCTCGGGCTTGATTTCTAATACTTCTGGGGGGCTGTAGGGCAGCCACTCGTTCCGCCGCTCCACGCTGGCGCCCGTCGGGAAGGACTCGCCGAAATCACACAATTTGATGCGTTGAAAGTCCGCTCGGTAGATGAGCACATTATCCAACTTGATGTCCCGATGCACTATGTCTCTGCGGGGGGGAAAGTAAACTCAGCCAGATGAGCCAGCACATCGCCGGAATAGAGAGGGTGACACTCACTTTGAATGCATGTAGTCTATGGCGGAAGCCAGCTGCTTGGCCACGCGCTTGCTGTACACCTCGCCCACGCCCGTATCCGTCACATTCGATGTGAGATCCCCTAAAAGCAGAGCATATGCATATAGGAACCACGTCTGGATCATTAATTGGCTCATACCTAGCGGCGCATATTCCTGGGTGAATACATAGAAACCGGCCGTCTCGAATGCCACATCATACGTGGTCACAATATGCCGATGCACGCCCAAATGGAGTCCGTAGTGAAACTCCCGATAGAAGTCGCGCAGCGTCACATACGGTTTGGGTACCGCCTTGAGTACCATTTCTGTCTGGGATCCGCGGTGCTCCACCAGAAGTATCTTGCCGAACCATCCTTCACCCACAATTTGTATTATATCAAATTCGTCCACAAGCTGGATCTATACATAGAAATCAAATTAAAATAGCTATAGTTTGTACATTTATTATACTCAGAGCATAGTTATGTGGATACAAAGAGAAGGAACTTTTGCTAGATGTTGTCTAAATTCTTCTAGGAATTACCAGAGGAATATGGCTTTCATCTATAATGGATTCTCCAGAAGTGCAACTGAGTCACAACGGTAAACATCTCTATGTAAATTCTCAGTTTAGACCAGCCGCAACCTCAGCCTATTTAAAAGAGCATGTGCCATGTGCCTAGACCCATTAAACATTACTACTGTATTCGCGAGCGAGACGATTCGATGCGCTGCCTATTGCTGTTTGTGTTTAATGATCAGAAATTTAATCGTTAACATGGCATTTTGCCTGTTGTGTTGTAGACGATTTCCCGGGGAAGAGATTGTTGGCAATTGGCCAATCATAACGATCAACCGTACCGAACCAGCCGAACTGGGCCAAGTCGAACTCATAATACCTTTCTATATCTATTTGTTTATTTGGGAAAATATCATAATATAAAATTGGCTAATAAGATGTGCGGCAATCGCATAGATAAACATTAAATAGATATTTGATAAAGCAATTGCTAGAATTTAACATAATTTATGGATACTTCCGCTTACGTCCGCTTACCTTCTCCAACTCGAATTCCCGGATCTTGTGAATGTTTCCGCGTGGTTTCTTTGACATTTTGCCTGTTTACATAGGACCTTTTGGGTTGAAAATATTTGTCTCGAACCAAAGTATCTCACTTCACATCACTTGCGCTGCTTAGATTCAATCCCTGATTCAATTTGAAATCTAGCGATTCGGTTCGAAGCTTTAACCACAAAAAGACAATAAAAGCGGCCCGTGCACGCATATATATTTATGCACATACGCTTATGTGTATCTACAGGGGTATGTGCTCGCGTGTATATAGATACATATTTACATTTTGTAAATATTTATAGCGACAGCAGCAGAAACAGCGCCGAAGGAAAACATTTCTATATCTGTTGGTTGGATTCCTCCTTTATACGCGGCGCTAGTAGTACTCGTATCCGTATTTATGTGCGTTGTCCGTTGTCCGTTGTCCGCTGTTTCTGGCTACAGCCAAAGTAAATTACGAGATGAATTGTTCAGTTTGCTGCGTTTTACTTCCTGGTAGATCTGATAGGGCCGCGGACGCTCGAGCACTTTGTAAACGTTCCGTGAATGGACTTTCGCTAAGGGGACGAAGGGGACTGCTGCTGCAGTTGTGTTAGTGGAAATTCACCAAACAATAATCTCCGACACACTGTGTATGTATGTAGATATATGTATGTATGTATCTTTCTAGATATGTATCCACACGCAATACGGAATTTTGAGATCTCTCGCCCCGACCAGATTTTAGAACCAGGCCGCCTTCTGTTCTCCTCACAGCGACCGATCTATACACTCGATCGCTCACTCACTCTCCCGGCTTCGGTGTTCCGTTTTGATGTTTGCTTTCTCTTTGATTTTCCGCTTTATGCATAATATCAACAGCTAAATTAAAAATAATGCTCGCCTCTCCCTCTTATATAAAAACCTTTGCAAAATTATATGGATTTTCAGCCCAAAAAAATTCGGCTCAAATGTAACCAACAGCGCGAACTCTACCGACTCGCGAATCTACACAGAATGCCACTTGGAGGCGCCTGAAAAGCGTTAACTTTGGAGTCCATATGCACACAGATATGACCATACATATGTGTGTATATATGTATATTTAATGTTGCACTGTTGTTCCCGCGTATGATTCTGCATCCGACATAGACGATAGTCCGTTGCCAACTGCTCTCTGAATTAAATTTAAAATAAGATATTCTGAGCACTCTGTACACGAGCGTTTTCGAAACACATATGTAGAAAGCAAAATGTTTTCGAAATACATATGTTTGAGAGGAGGCAGACACGAGACACGACACGGAGAGAACCAGAGAATGTGGGAGAGCCGCACAAGAAGAAAGTTTTAACAGTGGCAGGCGCTGTTCAAAGTAACAGTAATTTCATCTATCTAAATAAATCATGCTTAATATATAGATATTTCTTGTAATTTAAGGTGTTACAACAATTGATGCTATATAGTGCGAAATTATTTCTCCCACTCCATGGCACCAGCCACGCTTAACATGGCACTGTTAAGAGCTTCACTTCCGTGAAGCAGCATCCTCGCTGTACAGAAACAAAAGGCACGACACCAACTCACGCTTCCACACACAGAACGCAGGCACTACATACATAAGTATGTAAGTATGTACACACGCATATGTATATCTATGGAATCCCGTGCACACAGTCATAGGTCGCAGTGGTATATGTAAGGCAACTCTAATTGGTCACTTCCGTTCCGGTGCCGACAACGTTTCCTTGGCGCATGCGACATTCGTTCGCTTTTCAACTTCGACATCGCTGTTGCTGCGCTTGACACACACACACACACACCATCAAAGCTATGCCACTGCTGTGTCCATGTGTGTGTGTGTGTGTTTGGGAAGAGGGCACAGAGAATGCAGCAGCAGCAGCACCACCACCATCAGCCAACGGTTAACCACTTGTCGCGCGGGCCCTATAAAAGGCGCTGCTGGCCAGCAGCCTCTTGCATACATTCGAATGTCACCGAAAGCGCCACAACTGCGGACAATTTCTGGTCGCGACTCGCTTTGAATTTTCCAACAGCCCTCAATAGCACCCGTTCGATGGTCATCTAAGAAGAATTCCCAGCCACAATTGTCCCAGCAAATGAATGTGAAGTGAATTTTGAGTTTGAGCTTGTGTGGCATTATCTGTGGAGCTTCTTGAACAGTATTTCCGATATTTTTTAAAGAACTCACGGATTCCTCTACCATGGATTGGTGCAGCTGTACGATTTGAGTGTGATAAATATAAGGTAAGTTGTGCACAAAAGTGTTTAAAATTGTGCATATTATTATTCCAAAATATATATCCGACATATCAGAAGTTTCGCAAGTGCAATCATCATTATAAAAAGTGATCTAGCTCTTAAAGTCAGAGAAATTACCTTACCGTACACGCATTAACACTACAATATGAATTGAAATCGTAATAAGTTGAGCGTTGAGCGTGGAGCAGTTGAATAACTAGAATAACTGGAAATGATCTGAATAAATTAATGTAACGCTATCCGATTGTGGGATTACATACCCCAGCTAATACTCTCGTTAGAAAATGCTTCAGATGTGCGATAACTCTTTCTGAAACTGTAACAGAGGCCTCAACGAAACCTAGGAATCAGAGCTAATTGTGGTTTCCTTTTAATAAAGCAAAGATCTCCAGCTGTGGCCACTGAGTACGCATTCTGCATTCCGTTTAATTTGATCAAAAGTCTGACCAATTAAAGTCGGTGGGTGGGGGAGGAAAGGAAAGGAAACAAGTGCATCGGCTTAATTGTGTGTGGTTTTATTACATCTGATGCCAGCTGATGCCAAGAGTGTGACCCGCACAGGCACAAGCGCTCTCTGTGCGAGATTTGCGGCTGGTCAAGTGTTTGTTTGGGCATGCCACCTGTCGTATACGTAACACGAGCACGAGTATGAGTATGAGTAGGCCAACGAGTTTGAGCTCTTCAAGGGCTAGGTGAGAGCACATGTCGTTGGCAAACAGGTTTCGAGTGGTATGGACACCCACTCAGGCGGACACTCAACCAAATATCCAAACCATGCATTCCCGAAGAGCAGATGAGAGCGAGGGAGTTGAACTTATGTAAAGTTCAAGGAGTAATACGTACTTTTTGGGGATATAATTTGCAGGATTCGCAGTGCGGCGGCGGGAACTATAGCGTCGTCGACATCGAGACGTTTTGGGCAAAGGACACGACGGGATATATAGTCGCAGATGTCACCAACGGGACATGCAGCAAAGACGCCAACGCCACACGATAACGATAACACTAGCATCAGCGAAGAGCGCGAGGAATGGAGCGGAAAGGTGGATTTTTTATTATCGGTTATTGGATTCGCCGTCGATTTAGCAAACGTCTGGAGATTTCCCTATTTGTGCTACAAAAATGGAGGTGGTAAGTACCTAACTATCTATCTATCTATCTATCTTTAAAGCCTTCTCAGCCTTCCCATAGCTATAGCCCTTCTGCCCTTCTGGCTGTGGCCAATTAGAGGAATAAAGACATTGGCGTGAATTGCTCATGCTGAGTGAAAATAATTTATATGGCTTTACACATCATTGAGCGCCCCACGGAACCCAACACTTTCCGCTGCCGCTGCCACTCCCACTCCCACTCCCACTTCCATTCCCCTTTATGTCCCCCTCCGGCCTTGTTAACACTTTGTCAAAGTGGTGCGAAGTGCTGTCAGAGTGGGCTCTGGCATGTGGGTAGAGGAGGGAAGTGGTAGCGTATAAGAGCGCACTTCCTTTGTCAAATTGCAGGAGGGGGGATAATGTGGTAAAGGACTCAAACATATACGAGTACACATTCAGGTTCTCTTTTCCTGATCCTCGTCGTCAACGCCATCATTCAAAACAATTCCAAAAGTTAAGTGCTTTTGTATGACAACTAAATCTGGCAGTCATAATCGCATTTGGCCTTCTTACCCTCTCTCATATGTATGTACATACCTTTCCGCACTGCCCTCTCCGCTCTGCGCTCCATATCCAGGCAATATGTCAGTCGTCCCCGCCCTCATATGTATGTGGAGTGCTATGCTCTCTAGGCTTTTGTTGTCGGGGCACTCACACGCACCGCATTGTGGGAAATTCATGTGCGAAACATGTCTCCATCTCCATCTCCATTTTCATTTTCCCATGCTCTGATTGCGGCACTTTCCCGTTGATGCGATAAGAATGGATGGGCTTTCCTTTCCCTTGACTTTTCTATAGTTATTACTATTTTATGATTTTCTTTTCCGGGCTCCCCCCCCCCACACCCATCGTGCTGCCTTTAAAATCATAATAATAAATTGTTATATTTATACGCTTCATTGCGTTCAATCAGTGGCAGCTTTCGTTTAAGTCCCGTTTAATGTCCCTTGCCCCATGGACGTTGCCACAGCCACAGCCACCATCGCGCTCAGGTTGCGATTATTACCACAGCTTAGTGAGTATTATTTATTCTCTTGCCATTCTCTTACTTGCAATCCCAATGAAGCTGCAGCAACAGTGGCAGCAACAGGCTGTGGCAGCTGACATGGGGAGGCCAAGAGGCCAGCAGTGGTTTAAGTATGTTCAGCCTTTTGAAACTGTGCAAGAAAACTCGAACCATTTCGTTTAAAAGTTTAATGTTGTGGATCTAGGGAAGTCAGCAATATTCAACAAATTTCCTAAGTCCTTTTCTTAAAATATTCTTGGGGATACTGGGATATTTTAATTCTACTTGCAAAAATGTATTTCATACGATCCATAAAAATCTGATAGTTAAGATAAAGAAAATATCATTTTAGAAATTTGTGGTAAATATAAGTAAAAGGGATTGATTATGCATTTAAATATTGAAGTTTGTATTCTGAAATGTTCTGTCTGGTCTTTTTCTGAGCCATGAACATGGTAAAACTCTTCAAATATTGTAGCCCGACAAGCTTGATAAATCCTAAATGATAATCAAACCATGGCCAGCAGGCACAGACCCACATAAATCTATTCAGTTCCAATCAGGATATGGAAACGGAAACGAATTAGGGACGGCTACGAGTACGTATATTTTAGCCAGTGTCCTTGTCGAGCTGTTGGAAACGGCGGAAATGCACTTGAAGCGGCGGAAATTATGGCTTCAACAACAGAGATGCCTTGCTTTTATTTTAGAACTTTTTTTTGTTTTACATAGTTGACAGGATGGAAGGAAAATTCGATGCTGGCAGCGTTCCTTTGTAGAGCAACCCTACCACACACTCATACATATAGGATGTATATGTATATTCGACTATGTATATCACCATTGATATATATGTGTATGTATGTATGTAGATATATAATAACCGTAGACGACGTTGTCGGCCACTTTGCCTGCTAATAGACATAATCAAATCATAAAGACATCATCCCCTGTCACTCGACAAAGTATCGATGGCACTCTACCAATTGTCAGAGCCCTGCCTGCGATGGTGGGTCTGGGTCTGGGGGTTGGGTGGATAGGTCGATGGGGTCGATGGGGGCGATGGTGCGAGTCAATGGGGTGGTGGTGTTGCCGGAGGTGACGGAGATGGCTGCACGAGACAGCCAAGCCGTGCAACATTCTCCTACCCCTGTCCCGGACGCTGTTAATGTTTTTAAAATGTCCTTAGAGTGGCACTTGTAAAACAATTTGATTTTGTGTACGAACGAACACCCATAATAGCATGGGTCCATGGCAATATACATACCTACATATGTATGTGTTTAATGCCCAGCAGAAGGGCGAACAATGTAGAGGCTGTGACACGGGTCAGTCTCTGCTCATACATACATACGTGCGGCTTATGCAATCATTATCATATTAAAATACAAAAAAAAACGTTGTGACATTAAAGTTGCTGGTGCCAGAGAGGGGGGGCAAGTGTTTCCCCCCTTTAGGTTAGCTATCGATGCTGGGACCCCCCCAACTGTCAGTCGAACGTATTTTGATAGCTCATAAAGCTCACTTTCTGGTATGCTTAGAGCAGCGATGACTTTGACTTTGACTTTTTGCATTTCCCATTCATATGTTAATGGCTCGAACGAACTCTTTTCAGGCGCTTTTCTTGTGCCCTATGGCATCATGTTGGTGGTCGGAGGCATACCGCTGTTCTACATGGAACTGGCACTCGGCCAGCACATCCGTAAGGGGGCCATCACCTGCTGGGGTCGCGTAGTGCCGCTCTTCAAAGGTAAGTACAGGGCCTGACCCCTGGATAACTCTATGGAATCATCCCATATTTATGTATATACAGGCATCGGCTATGCGGTGGTGCTGATAGCGTTCTATGTGGACTTCTACTACAATGTGATCATTGCCTGGTCGTTGCGTTTCTTTTTTGCATCCTTCACCAGCACATTGCCTTGGACGTCGTGCAATAACGTTTGGAATACTCCAAACTGCAGGCCGGTAAGAATAGCCATAGAATTCTTTTACAAAGATCCTTCCTTGGGTATAAACATGTCAATGTCCCGCCTCTCTATTAGTTTGAGAGCCAAAATGCTTCACGCGTCCCGCTGATAGGAAATGTGAGTGACTTTTATACCCTGAACAATCAGAGCCTGCTCTACGGCAACGAGTCCTATGCCAATGGTTCGTTCACGAGTCTGGAGACAGTGCCGGTGCCAGTTGGCCATCAGGACGGCTTTCAGTCAGCCGCCTCCGAGTACTTCAAGTGAGTAGTAGTACTGGGGACCCAGTTGCATGATATATCAATTTACAATCTCCCCTCAGCCGCTACATTCTGGAGCTGAATCAGAGCGAGGGCATCCACGACCTGGGCGCCATTAAGTGGGACATGGCACTGTGCCTGTTGATTGTCTATCTGATCTGCTACTTCTCTCTGTGGAAGGGCATCAGCACGTCGGGCAAGGTTGTGTGGTTCACGGCACTGTTCCCCTACGCGGTGCTGCTCATCCTTTTGATCAGGGGACTCACGCTCCCCGGTTCGTTTCTGGGCATCCAGTACTATCTCACGCCCAACTTCAGTGCCATCTACAAGGCTGAGGTGTGGGTCGATGCCGCCACTCAGGTGTTCTTCTCCTTGGGCCCTGGTTTTGGGGTGCTATTAGCCTATGCCTCGTACAACAAGTACCACAACAATGTGTACAAGTAAGTGGAAATTCGAAGGGGGGTCGGAATCGGGATATGCATTAACCTTACCCTATGCTTTATTCTTCCACAGAGATGCTCTGCTAACTAGCTTCATCAACTCGGCCACCAGTTTCATTGCCGGGTTTGTGATATTCTCCGTTTTGGGTTACATGGCCCATACGCTGGGCGTACGGATCGAGGATGTGGCCACTGAGGGTCCCGGCCTGGTGTTTGTCGTCTATCCGGCGGCCATTGCCACCATGCCGGCCAGCACTTTTTGGGCTCTGATATTCTTCATGATGCTGCTCACGCTGGGACTCGATAGTTCGGTAAGAGGATTACCCCTTAATATAGACTCAAATAGTGCTCATGGCTCATCCATTCGTTTACAGTTTGGCGGATCGGAGGCCATTATCACCGCGCTGAGCGATGAATTCCCCAAGATACGCAAGAACCGTGAGCTGTTCGTGGCCGCGCTGTTCTCGCTGTACTTTGTGGTGGGTCTGGCCAGCTGCACCCAGGGCGGCTTCTACTTCTTCCATCTGCTGGACCGCTATGCCGCCGGCTACTCCATTTTGGTGGCCGTGTTCTTCGAGGCGATCGCAGTGTCGTGGATCTATGGGACCAACCGTTTCAGCGAGGACATACGCGACATGATTGGCTTCCCTCCGGGCCTCTACTGGCAGGTTTGCTGGCGCTTTGTGGCGCCCATCTTTCTGCTGTTCATCACGGTGTACGGACTGATGGGCTACGAGCCGCTGACCTATGGCGACTATGTCTATCCGAGCTGGGCCAATGCGCTGGGCTGGTGCATAGCCGGATCCTCGGTGGTCATGATTCCGGCGGTGGCCATTTTCAAGCTGCTTACCACGCCGGGCAGCCTGCGACAGCGCCTGACCATACTAACCACGCCGTGGCGCGACCAGCAGTCGATGGCAATGGTGCTGAATGGGGTCACCACCGAGGTGACCCTGGTGCGACTCACCGACACGGACACTGCCAAGGAACCGGTCGACGTCTGAGTTAGGCCCATGGCTCGTTTTCAAGTTTACTACGTCTAGACTTGGGAATTTACCAACAACTCCTGTTCACGTACTTTGTTGCATTGAGATAAAAAAGGAGAGAGACCCACAACCACACAGTTAGGATTTGTTTCATCGTTAGCCAATCGGTCGGTCCTAGAGGCATAGCTCTGGGCCTGCCACTTGCAAATTTCGCATACAACGTACTTAGGTTTCGGCACAAAAAAAAACCAAAAGAGCAATGCAACAGCAAAAGCAATAACAGAAGCTGCTCCAAACCATAAGTCTTATGTTAAGAGTAGATTGTAGTTTGTCTGGTTAATGCCAGCTACATACACATACACATATATATGCACATATATATATATATATATACAATGCTGTGTAGATAATACCAATAACAATACGAGAAGCACGCCTAATTGTCGTCTCATCCAATCCCCAATAGTTCGAGTATTCGAAAACCTGCAGCAATGCCAAGGGAATTCAGGACACGATCCCTGCTCAGCTCTCAGCAGATTGGGCACAAGATCTGTACATACACAAAACAGTAGATGATGTAAAAGCTTTAAACACATTAGAGAACGGATATCTCATCGAACTGAAGCAATCGCTGCCACAGTGGAAACGCAAAATCCCTTCAAACAGCCATGATGGGATTTTGTGTTGATTGATTTCCAGTAGTACCGTCCCCCACCCCCACCATTGAATGCCCCCCCCCCAACAACTACAATTGATCGTTTAAAGCAGCCATTTTAAACGATCAATTGAATGTTAGTACGAGTACCATTACCATTTCAATGTTCAGTTCTGTATATATAGATTTATGATATGTTATTGGTTTGATTTGAAAGATTCGTCACACTGAAGCAGAACTGCCAGCCATTGGTTTTGCTTCAATTTGTTGAAATAAATTATTAAACTTTCAGTTACTGAAATTACCGAAAAGTGTGTTCAATTCTGGGTGTTTGGGGAGTGTGCAACAAAAGTCTTTAATTTAATACTCCGCACATTAAGACATTCAAGGACCGTTTCTAGTTTAGATATTTTGGGGCTTTTATTTCAATTTGAATGCATTTCATTTTTGTTGTACAATTAATTTAGCTTAGTAACGCGTGAATGTAAAGAGGTAACCGTAACAGAACCAACTCAAATGGTGGCTTTATGGATGACATTCAATCAAGCAGCGCAGTTCTTGCTAAACAAACAAAAAATCCAACTCTTTCTCTGAGAATTGAGGCAATTGGGTAAATATTATCGTTTATATATGTATGTATGTATGTATGTATGTATGTATGAATGATGGGTATTCCGTACAGCATTATGTAAGCCTTGGCATTAAAAATATACCTACATATGCATGTATGTATGTGTACGATTAGTTTTTGGGTTAAGGTAGATCTGGATCTGGTCTGCCCAGTACGAGTATTTGATATTGACGGTATTTTGCGGTGTAATGCGGATTACGAATGTAATGTTGGTCGGGTTTGGTTTGATTTAAGTTTAGGTTTAATGTGCATCTATTTCGATATTGTTTGATTTTGCTGTTCTTTACGTAGATACTTCGGTTATGGCATAGTTTTTTGTGTAGGATATAGATTCGGATTCTAACCCAATTGGAGCTAAGCAGCATACATATGTACAATAAATACTTTTGATTCTGATTATTCAGACGCGACTGTGGTCTGGATCGGCATATACATATACATATATATATATATATATTTGTGGTGTACATATAATAGATATACTCGTATATATTAATGCGGCTATATGTTTGGGCATTGTTGAGTGTGTCTGTCTGTGAGTGTTTTGTGCTTGTCGATGATTCGCTAACTAATTCGTAAATATATCGTATCTGTTGTGCAATAACGCTTAAAATCATTAAATATGTATATATGGTATGGATATGCCATAAGCAACATACATACGTATGTGGTTCCATTACAATCTTCTCGCTGAAAGACACTTTCTGAATTGACAAATGCGCTAAGTGAGTGTCGGATGGATTATTCACTTAGCTGGCTTTTGAATAGATCTACTCGTAATCGTATTCTCGTATTCGTATAACAGTTATAAAATCTACATAATTCGTATTACTGTCTGTGCATTGAGATTTGTTCGGTGGATGTTATATACTGTATATATTATATATTGTATACATATATATTATGATATCTGCTATTACTTATTGTTTTATTTTGTTTCTATGTTTTATTTTGTAGAAAATAACATTCAATCAATTGTTAAAGCATTCGTTTGTTTTTTCGAAAATTAAATTTTCATTTAGAGCGCACATAAAAATTGAATTTTCTTCGATTTCGATTCGATTTGTTTAGAATTTTTGAAAAAGTATTTCTAGAGATAAAGCCTTTGAGGCTCCATTGGAGAACCTTCTTTGAAGAAAGAAAGATGACGCAAGGATATCCGAATTATGCATTTTACTGCAAAAAAGATTCCCATCTATCAGAGCAGAATTACATATCTAAGAACCTGCGCCAACTTCAACTCCATTAGTTGGTGTCTGTCTTGCCTACATCTCTACAAGGTTCTGACAAAACTCTGCGTGACTTATTAGGTAATTAATTCAACTATAAAGGCTAGATATGGAAAATAAAATCAACTTCTATTCAATTGTCAAGTATGAAGTCTACGCAATAGGAAAAATGCCTAAAGTAATTGCCTTATGTTTGCTTAAAAGTTACTGTAATGCACCAAGAGATTTCACTTTCAGTTTTATCAGCGCCATAAGTATATCCATATTCATATTCATATTCAATATCCAATTACAATCATTCCAATCAACACATTTACGGGTACTTGTTTATAAGAAGTACATTCCCACATTCCGACCTTCCGACATTCGGACATTGTGTATATGATACTTAGTCCAACACTCATATTCGAATCATTTGCTATGCACTTTACGAATATATATATCCATGTGAATTATCTTTTGTTCCGCGATCGAGCGCTTAGGTCTGCTGAATTGAGCTCAAGAATGCGGGATCCACTGAGGCCACTTTGGCTGTGAGGAACGCATGCATGCAGAAGAGCAGACTCTGCAGCACTTGGCACTCCAACTCCTGTTGATGATCAGGAGGATCAGATGTATTCGATTGTGATGGGAAGACAAGTGGTGACTCACCTTGGTTTCGATTGCCCGACTATCGTGATCCTGAAAGTGAAGCTTCAACTTGGACTTGCCATCGTCACTGGAGCCCCTCAGTTGGGAGAACTTGTAGTGCCAGACCACAGCAGACTCGGCGCCCTCGGTGAGTGAGAATCCGGCCTGCCAGTCCAGGGTGAGTCCGCCGCTCTTTCCATGATGCGACACAGCAAAGGTCTTGCGCTGAAGCACAGATTAAAGATAAAGTAAATGGAAACAAATAAATTCTGTGGATGTACTTACACCCAGTTTGATAACACTGGTCACGATGGCCGCATTCCAGCTGTTCTCGATGCGCAGCAACTCCTGGCGAGTCTCCACGCTCAGATAGCGAGGCTCGTGACCCGAACTCTGCAGCAGAAAGCAGTGCTGGCGACTGTCCACAGTCTCCGATTCCTTGACAATTCGAAACATGGTCTGATACACCTTGTAGACCACCAAAGCCTTACTGATTCCAGCCACATTCAACTGGAATTCGCGGTGTACAAATGTTAAGGTGTTAAAGTACATTATAATACGTATAAGGTGCAGTGGGGCACTCACTGGTGGGGTTTCGAACAGCATCACTTCGGTGCCTTTGAGCAATAGAAATCTGGGCTTGTAGCTCTGCCAGGATATATTGTTGTTGATGACTCCCTCGTTCACCCAGCCCATGTACTCGATGCGCTCGCCCACCGCAAAGTTTCGATTGTAGAGCTTCATCTGTAGATTAGAGGCAAAGATTTGGAGGCAGGTTTCCTTTAGGGTGGTTTCCTTTAGGGGCCACTCACCTGTAGATGCGTCAGTCCTACCACATTGTCGGTGATCAGCTTGAGCCATTGACTGAGTATGGCCAATTCATCGCAGTGAATGACGCCCGTGGTGACGCCGTTCAGGCCGCGCACCTCAAAGGCATTGGGTCGCAGCTTGTCGGTTCCGTAAATGTATCTCGTCACGTAGGCCATCATCAGGGGCACTGCCACCACATCAGTCCAGCGCTTTTCCGGCTCGGAGCAAATGGACATGGGACGACTGCAGCTGCGGCTGATCGTTCCACTATTAACGGATGATTTGTAGCCCTCGTCAGCCTTCAGTTCGGCACAGGTGGCATCGTTGTCCGAGTCAGGTGTATCTTTGGTTACTACATAAAGAGGGAGGGATATGGTACATCAAGTATACGTCTTAATTGATCGACTTACATTGCTTCTGCAGAAAAGGCGTGGCAGCCCGATAGTGCTTCACTGTGAGGACGACAATATCCCCGGCGTTCCTCAATATATTGACCGCATCGTCATGGGGACAGGCCGTGATATATTCGCCATTCACCTTGATGATGGCATCGCCCACAAATAACTGACCCGTGATGTCCGCCGCCTGCTCTTTGTAGATCCGCGATATTAATATGGGCAGCTTATGCTCGGCTCCACCTTTTATGCTCAGTCCCAGGCCACTCTGCTTCTGGCGCGTGATCTGCACCATTCGTTCCTGTATGCATGTAATCGAATATGTTTAACTGCTATCATCTGCTATCATCAGCTCACCTTTGATTCCATGGGCGGTCCATTCGGATGGCAGCTGCTTGGCGTTACGATTTCTAACTTTTGCAGCGAAAGCAGCTCCATTGTGAGGTTGAGTCGCAGTGGTTCCGGTCTGCTTTTGCCATCGCTGACATGGACCATACCAGTGCGTACCTATGAGGAATATACATATACATATATATAAGTGAGCTAAGTGATTTTAACAGGTAATTGTGTTTGGCATACCTTGAGGTTTTGATCGAGCTTTTCTTCTATTGGCGTAGCCATTGTGTCAGAGAGCTTCATATTTTCTAAAGTATATCAAAGCAGAGAAAATGTCATATTCATATTTGTCGAATGAGTTTTGACAGGCGAAACGAAAGCCCAGACAAAGGCAACAGCCATGGGTCAATAAATTGGCAAGGCTGGCATCGAAACGTTGTCTGGATAGCGATGTGCTGGTTATTATTAGATATGATAGCCCACAACAGACGGGCCAATCAACATGCCCCATGCCCCAGTAAGCAGACTGGGATTCTTGTTGTTGGAGTGGCCATGGCAATGGGCGTTGCAAGAAGTGTAATCAAATTGTTGGCCCTTTATCGATTGGACAACCCACCACATGCAGCCGAAGCATTTCCATGCCTATTAACTTACACTGCGCCGTTCTCTCCAGTGTATAGTGGACAGCAGTAGATAGTTCAAGGTGAACTATGCAATTGCGTTAATTAAATTACACTTGCAATTAGAATCAATTAGGCGCACTCAGACACCAGCCGTACTTGGATATCTCGCGGCAAGAAATGATCCCCAAGACAGATATTCGATGGAAATACCTATGAACAGAGAACAGAAATACATTGTATATTCTGGGAAAGTGTGGGCATGGCATATGTTTTCCATTAAGAGTGGAAAACAAATATGCAACCGGAAAACTATGATATGAGTGAAAACACATTGAAGTGCGGCCCCCAGCCCCCCCGGCGGCTGCTGTTGAGTGCCGAAGTGTGGCCACAACTGTTCGTCAGGAATGGGGAACCACAAATAGGTATTGCGGATAACCACTTGTGCTCCGTAAATAGTGATTGTGGTCGGAGGGAGGTTGGCTGCTTAAGACTTGTGCAGATGGTGCATGCCACAGTTTGATTTAGACTTCAATGATTTCAGAGCAGCCATAAGAGAGTTCTACCCATCAACCCCTTCTATGCATCGGATGGGTTTCTTCTAAGCGTCAAAGCTATGATAAATATTGGAATTCAGTGTAGGACTTCCAGAAATAGTAAAATTTTTAGGCAACAGTCGAGATAATTCCACGACTAGCCAGGTCTGGGAGAGAGCCTGTTAAGGCTCAAATTTTCATGAGGTTCCATGCATCATGCGCTTCGAGCCAAGTGAATAAATTGTCAGGCAGCAGACCTACACGAACCCACAAAACGCTTCCCCAAACTCCCCACACAGATGCCGTGTTGTCCAGGGCTACCTTTGATTATGGCTAAATTACATGTGTGTGTGCCTCGCTCGGGGTTTCCGTTGCCCCTTGGCATGCGTGCTTGCAAACCGTAAAACAGTAAAGTTGGGCACAAGTCAAAGTAGCAGCAAAGGGACTGTCAGAGAGGTACTCAGACCTAGAGGGAGAGAGGAAGAGAAAGGTAGAGAGAGGAGAGTTATGTTCTTTTCGAACCAAACAAGCGAACATGTTCGCTCGTGTCTCGAGAATCAGCTGTGCTTGCAAAAAAGAGCAGCAGGAGGCGAAACCTTTCGGGCGCTGTTTGCTTGAAGTTTCAGCGATTGAACTGCACACGCACATGAACCCACAGTCCCCACACACACACACACACACAAACAGATATGTACATCCATACATATATATATTCGATACTGTTTGCCAGAGGGAAAATGTTCATTATTATTTAATGTTTGCTAAACATTATCCCCGCCCCACAATTGAGATAGGGTCGTTTGGCTGTCTCAAGGGATTATTACCTTTATATATTGACAGAAGTAGTTACACATACACATACATATACATATACTGTATATTATATATTATTCGTTGTTATTGTTATTTTTGGCGTGGCTAAATCGTTTTTTTATATATAAAATGCAGAGCTCTGTACACACGCGTTCCGAGAAATCGCGTTTTGAATTGGGTCACATTTTCGCTGAAGTTGCACAAGTCTCGCACGCTGCGATTCAATTTTGATATTTGATTTCAAGAAGTGGCTTGAACCCGTTCGTGGCCTGGCCGCACGATTTGTCCGAATCGGAACTCATAAAAGTATGCTAAATTTCCGTTGTTTGTCACAGTTTTGCCCACTTCACCAGAAATGTATATGTATTGGGTATGCGGGGCATACGGGGTGAACGGATGGGGAGTACTATGGGTCGTCGCCGCTGCCTTCCTGCGTTCGAAAGCACAACGTTCCCAAAGGCTGTACGGGAGCGAACTGAGAGCACGGCACGGCTCCGCTATAAACATGTTGAAAGCGGTACGGAACTTTCTCTCACCCCCCACCAGCTCCAGAATTCGAAAGCTTTCGTGCAGCCTTCTGCAGGCCCCCATATGTTGGAGTCGAGGCTCCAGAACAGAGAGCTTTAGTGCTTGCAGGCACCCCCACCACCCCCATTGGGGTAGGTAAGCAATCGAACTTTCAATATATTTAGTAATGAATGAACAGCGCTTTCTGCCAAAAGTCGGAAGTATAGGGTAGGTGGCGCTGGCATGGAATTAAATGGTTAGTTCCATTAGAAAGCAATGCATTGCTTGTTGGCGGCACTGTGAAATCGTAAGAATCATGTCATGTAAAATTCTTGTAATATAGTGTAATACGAAGAGGAGTGCTTGGAATCGAAATAAGTCGCAGCATACTCTTCGTCGCTGGCCTTAAAGCGGAAGCAGCGGGGTGGTAAAATCATTTGAGTGGAATACATGTAAAATTTGAAAATTGTACATTTAATTTGACATTACATTACATTCTACATGTGTAGAATACATGTAAAATTTGAAAATCGTACATTTAATTTGTGTAAAATACATGTAAAATTTGAATTTTTTTTTTTGTTTTTATGGTGTACGTTTTTTTTGCAGTATTTCTGTTCTGTTTTTCAAGTAAAATTTTTGTAATTTTCATATGGTATTTTTTCAACATTTAATAGGAAAAAAAACAACAAATAAGCTTTAATTAAAAGCTCAATTAAAAGCTCTTCTTAAATTTTTACCAGTTAAAAATTTAATTAATGCCAGCTAAATTTAAAAAAAATCAAAACAATTTTAAAATGTAATTTTTACTGTAAAACTGTGGAAAAAAAGATTTGTTTAAGAAAAAAATAAGAAAGTCCGTGCACGCTTCCCTTCCTCGTCAATATTGTACATAAATAAAATATTTCTTTAAAAATTGTCGCATAAAATTTTAAATTTATTTTCATCATAAATATTTGCTTTAGCGAGTAATTGCTGAGAATTTTGGAGAGTTTATTAACAATATAAGGGCAACAATACGGGTAACGTAATGTAATTGGTTTTTTTTAATTCCGTCATTTGAAATGGCAGTGATGTAGCATACATCATTATATTGGCCATATGAGTCGCTAGCAATCGGCCCAGCATTTCGAACTTGCTTGAGTCAATACGGTTTATTTGTAATGGTGGTCTGCCGGCAGTCGCGAAGTATTTTTGTATCATTTTCTGTATGCCATCCACCTCCGTTTTATTGCTTGGGTTTGTCGGCGTTCCTTTAAATATAACTGACCAATTGTCTGCTGTAAAATTCAGCTCGTACAACTTCTGAACTGTGACATCCGTCTTGAGTACGGATGAAGGAATATTCCGCTGATGAAAGATAGGCAGCTTAGAGAATAAACGATAAGCCCTGGAATCAACTTATCGTACATTCAAGGAGGTTTGAAAACCTGTAAACCTGTACAATAATAGTATAAAAATGAAGAGATTGATGTAATTATATCCCAATTAATTATGTAATGTAATGTAATTATATCCCAATTACATCAATCTCTTCATTTTTATACTATTATTGTATAGGTTTACAGGTTTTTATCCTCCTTGCCGATCTATCGCTGATATAAGATAATACCCGATTGGTTGCTTGCTTAATAAACAGGCGACAAAAAGGTGATCTAATGTCACCTCCATCTTCCAAAATTAGGGTAAATACTTGAGTTGAACAGGCTTTCTAAAGATTTAGAGTTTATAAAGCTGTTGCTCCACCTGCAAGTAATGCCTGCCATCTTGAGCCCTATTTCAAGTTCGAGCTGAACGAAATGCTCGTTAAATGTTAATTAGAACGCTGAATCAGCTGTGTTAGCTCATTAAAAGTTTTGCGTACCCATTTTCGTTGTTATTGTTAGCCAAAATGGGGCCATGGCAGGCCAAGCGAGGTCCAGGACCGACCTTTGGCTCCCCTTAGCTCCCCTTGGCTCAGTGATAAGCTCGTGGAACAAACGTCATTCGAATACAATGGCTGAGGGCAAAGTTAATTAATGTATTAGCCCAGGTAGAGACCGATGGCTCACACTTTGGCAGGTGCCCCAAGCTACCAATCAACAAGCAGTAGAGAAATCTGGCTAATAACAGTAGGGAACGTGCATTTGCATTCGTCCTTGAGGTTGAGGGGCCGAGCTGAGATACAGATACTACAGTTGGCCCGACACAATTGAAACATTACAGTGCCAATGTAATCCTTTGGATTTTGGCCCAGCCTGCTGCAACACGAACCCAGCTATCTAGGGGCCATGTCCATGCCAATCACTGCAGTCCTGGAAAGTTTATTGCGGTGATGGAATGTCGAGGAGAGGTCACACAATGGCAGAGAGTGTTCAGTGTATGAGGAGTGGATGGGTCAGGTGCATTGGATCATTCTAGTCCCCCACTTGTCGCTACCACTCAGCGCAATCAGTCGGGGCTTAAGACATTGGTGGCGACTCCAACAACAGTGGCAAATAGGAAAAGTAACAGCAACATTGTCGGCATTATTGACAAAAGTTTTCCGTTTGTTTTTGGCAACCACCTCTCCACTCTCTGTCTTCGCGTCTCCCTGTCTGTGGCTGAGGGAAATCCCTCTCTTTCACATTGACTGAGGAAAAGCCCCATCGGTTTCTCTGTGACTGAGGAATATCCCTCTCTTGCTCTGTGGCTAAGGCACACCATGAGCGAGCAAGGAGCGAGCCGAGCACATTTTTGTTAGCTGATTGAAATTAGTTGATGCATAAAAAAGTTTGTTTGCCAACAATTTCGTTCGAAAATATTTCGGCTCTAAAGTAAAATTATGACTGCTTTGCATATTTTTCGGTTTCCAATGTAAAACTTTAGACCCGAAGCCAGCTTATTGGCATTGGCAAATGTCGGGAATTTATGGCCTGTGCAAATGTTGGTTTACCATCTCCATCTCCATCTCAGCCAAGTGCCATAACTGTAGGATGGATATTGGGCCATGGCCCCGACTCAATTGGGGGATTCTACTTATGCGGATTCCGATAATTGCATTAGCCGATTCCCCTGTTGATTCTGGTTGAAGTGGTTACATTGTTAGTGCGATTACTAGCAGCAGAGTAATTCTTTAAACAGAAAGTAATTGAATAATTATGTTATTCTGTGGCTCGATGAACCTCACAGATTTCCGTCTGACAGCTGCCACGACATCAAACTTCACATCTGAAAGATACAGCTTACGTGTCTGGGAGTGTGTGTCTGTGTGCCTGTGTGCCTGAGCGCCTCAAGGATACACAAGGATGGCTACTAAGAAGCAACACAAAAATG